TGCATTTATAAAGCTCATTTACTAAAACTGGAGAAGACCAATCAGCTTCTAGCTTTCATTTTCAAAGCTCAACTAAACAAGCTGAAGTTGGAAGCTGAATGTCTGCCATGCACAACTGCTCCAGTTTTAGTAAATCCCCCCTTCCCTCCCCCCCATGGTGAACAATCTTTCTACCTCCTTATATGTGAATATCACACTATACCTGGAATTATATTGAATGTAGGACAGAACTTACCAACAGACAACGTTAGCAGGAATATGTCCTAATAGTAGCTGAATCCAGTCTTTGTATTCCAGACACATTGCCTATTAATAATCACAAAAGAACATGCAGAACACGACATGCGGTTAGTGTTAGGTTATGCTGCACACAAATACACACACTCACTGCATCAGCACTTGTGAGGACCAGTCACACTTTAATTCAGACACAACATTTCAAAGTACATTCTGAACATTTTTATAAAATGTAGGTCAACCTGGCGCTTCACTATTAATAATGCAACAGGCAAAGACTTCTTTATTATTATAATGTGTTGCTCATTTTGCTTAACAAATAGTAAGCCTTTGGGGACATCTAACAACTGGGCTAAAGCTGTATGCTGAAAACATACTAATAGACTTCAACAAAACAATATTTTGTAAAACTATTAGGGAATTCTGTTATCAGCAATGGTCTCAGTTTCTTGAGCAGTTGAACAACATCAGACTGTGCCTTTGTTGCCCAATGACCTGGCAGGTGACACTGGAAGCTACAAAAGGGCAGTGTGGCAGAGGTATCTTACAACCCCTGGCAAAACGTATGGAATCATCACTCTTGGAAAACGTTTGTTCAATTGTGTACGAAAAAAAAAAAATAAGACTAAATCACAGACATGCCTCAAAACTATTTGAATGTAACATTCCAACCTTCTAGCTTTAAGGAAAACTTAAAAAAAAAAAAAAATGATGAAAAACTGTAGTCAGTTGCAACTGTTTTTACAGATCAAGCAGAGGAAAAAAATATGGAATCACTCAATTCTGAGGAAAATATTATGGAATCATGAAAAAACCAACTACAGTACACCACAAGTACTTTTATAACAGCTTACATTCTCTGACGCATGGATTTAACTATTGACAAACAGTATTCTTCATCAATCCGGCTCTAACTTTCTCTTATTGCAGTTGCCAGATCAGCTTTGCCAGTTGGATCCTTGCCATAGACAATTTTGTTTAATTTCCACCATAGATTTTCAATTGGATTGAGGTCCAGACTATTTGCAGGCCATGCCATTGACATTATATGTCTTTCTTGAAGGAAAGTTTTCACGGCTTTAGCCCTATGGCAAGATGCATTATCCCAAAAAATGTCATCATCACCAAGTGAGGGAATCAGAAAAGTGTCCAAAATCTCAATATAAACTTGTGCATTTATTGAAGATTTAATGACAGTCATCTCCCGTACCCGTACCTTTACCTGACATGTAACCCCATTTCATCAATGATTGTGGAAATGTACATGTTTTCTTTAGGCAGTCATCTTTATACATTTCATTGGAATAGCACCAAACAAAAGTTCCTCCATCATCACCCTGCCCAATGCAGATTTTTGATTCATCACCGAATATCACTTTCATCCAGTCACCCACAGTCCATGATTGCTTTTTTGTAGCCCACTGTAACCTTTTTTTTTTCTGTTTAGGTGTTGATGGTTCTCATTTGACTTTTCTGTATGTAAATACCTTTTCCTTAAGGCAATGTCTTACAGTTTCATCACAGACATTGACTCCAGTTTCTACTCCTTTGTTCCTCATTTGTTTTGTTGTACATTTTCTGTTTTCAAGGCATATTGCTTTAAGTTTTCTATCTCGACACTTTGATGTCTTCCTTGGTCTACCAGTACGCTTCCCTTTTACAATCTTCCCATTTGATTTGTACTTGGTCCAGATATTAGACACAGCTGATTGGGAACAACCAACATCTTTTGCAACATTCCATGATGATTTACCTTCTTGAAGTTTTATAATCCTTTCCTTTGTTTCAACTGACATCTCTCGTGTTGGAGCCATGATTCATGTCAATCAGCTTGGTGCAACAGCTCACCAAGGTGTGGAAGCACTCTTTTTTTTAACTGCAGACAAATTAGCAGATGTAATCTGATGCAGATGTTTGTTTTAGAACTGCAAAGTACATGATAATTCCATAATATATTCCTCAGAACTGAGTGATTGCATATTTTTTTTCCTCTACTTGATCTGCAAAAACAGTTGAAATTGATTAGTTTTCTCTCTTTTTTATTTTATTTATTTTTTAAGTGTTTCTTAAAGCCAGAAGGTGATTCCATACTTTTTGCCATTGGTTGTAAGTTAGTCAACAATATAAGGATCACTGATGTAAAAAGAGACCAATGAAGGGATTCCCTCTAATATACAAATACTAATATAGCCTAACCAATTTTATACTTTGATGGAATGGGGGTATAGCATACTCAGACTAATCAAAATTACTAATCTCCATCGAAACTTGTTAAAGTGATATTAAAGCTTTTTTTTATTTGTTTATTTTTTTTTAAGAACATGTCATACTTACCTGAACTGTGTAATGGTTTTGCACAAAGCTGCCCCAATCCTCTTCTTCGTGGGTCCACTGCCATTGCTCCTTTCTCCTCCCCCCTGACTAATGCCCCCAATAGCAATCCACTTGCTATGGGGGCACTTGTGTGGGCTCACTCCTAAGCCCTGCTCTATATGTCCCGTGCACTTCGCTGGATCAAGAGGGGGCTCAGGTGAGTATTAGGGGGGCTAAAGGGGGGGGGGGAGCAACACACAGAAGATTTTTTACCCTTCAAGAATAGAACACATGAAGGTTAAAAACCTTCAGCCTTGAAAACCACTTGATAGGATGAAAACACCTTCAACTGTAAATCCAGCACCACCAGAGTCCCTTCCTGAGAAAAAGTGTCAATATAATTATACACCAGGTGACCAGAATGTGGGGTTTGCACAATTCAAGCCTGGTGAGTTTTTTTTTTTTTCCTCCCGTGCATTGTGTCTTTTATAACCAGGTGCATACACTGGATCTAGCCATACAGAATGAGGTCCCTCTATAACTTTGGGATAAAAAGAGACCAAGTACAAGATGACTCAGTACATTTGCTAAAATTTAAAGACTATTGTGAGTGCTACAGGACAAAAACACTGCCACAACCCTATTTAGTCTGTTGAGGATAAACAAACAAAACCTAAAACACAATCACTACAGGGGAGAGTGTATATCCAACTTCCACCAATCCTAGCTAACAAAAAAAAATTATGTAAGTATATATTCACCAATAATATGAAAACAGTATAAAATTGTGAGGAGCCGGTGATGTCATGCCGTAAGCCGTAAGTGTACGGTCAGCAATTTTGCTGGAATGGCTATTTACTGCTGTGCACCTGGAATTGTGCACATTTTAATTTAAGTATATACTATTTTGATAAAAAAATATATTTTATACAGAGAGCACTATATAACCTTTTCCTTTTTGAGTCCTAAATCAATATTGACCAGAGGATTGCATAGGATGGAGATGTATTGTTGAAATATCTGGATGCTGGCGAGATATTAACAGCCATGGTATAGGAGACCCCACTTAAAAGGATAAAGCGCATGTGACCTAATGTTTGGTCAACAAATAAAGTGAGCGCATACAAGTGTTGGTGAAGGGAGATGCAGAAGTGGAAAATCTGAAAAGGGCCTGGCACTTTTGCACATATCACAAATACTCACATTTGAGATTTTGCTTAAGAACATATGGACACAATGGACTAAGAGTTTAACATTTTAATTTGTTTTGACACATTATTTTAGTTCATAATATTTACATATTGTGTAGCACTGGTTTTGACATATTCATTTGTTTGCTGATACTTAAGGCACTTTTGATTAGTTATTATTTAGTTTATAATATTTGCATAGTACTACGCAGCACTATTTTTTGACATATATATTCTGTTGTTGAAGATGTTGAAGGTGAAATACTACATTTTCAAAGTGAAAGTACTTATTTAGCATGAAGTATCTAAATTAGAGATTCCAACTGGTGGCCTTCCACGCCCATGCCCTTTTTGACCTTAATTCTACTAATGACACCTTTCTGAGTATCACAGTGATTGGTGGACATTACTGAGCATAATGGTTTAACTACCTAGCATTTCTACATTTAAATTGCTACTGCATGTCAAGCCTTCTTGCAGCTGTGAGTGGTTGCTTTCCATCAGTCTAAACCAGGGGTCTCCAAACTGGGGCTCGAGGGCCAGATGTGGCCCTTTGCTAGCCTTTATCCAGCCCTTCGGGCACTATTCCTCCCAATGATATGAAGCAGTATTCCTCCCACTGACACCAACAATGAGGCACTATTGATAACACTTATGTGGTACTATTCCTCCCATTAATACCAATGATGGGGCACTACTTTTCCTCCTACTGACCACCATCCCTGAGGCCATGTTTATTCTCACTGATGCTGGGCCCGAAACATTTTCTACCCCCACTGGCCATACTCCGGCCCTAAAAGTCTGAAGGACCATAAACCGGCCCTTTGAAAAGTTTGAAGACCCCTGGTCTAAACAAAAGTCTCTGTTCCCCCAACTAGCAAGCATCCCTCTTTCCTGCAGATAGTGGAGATCAGAGTCCATAGTCGAGTTAGGAGAAACCCAGTGGTTGTTACGAATGAAGAACAGGTAGATCTTCTATCAGACACATCAAATTTATCAGACTGAGCATCTAATAAACAACTCTCTGGAGGAGAAACATAGACCAAAGCTGGCCATAAACTAGTAGATTTTCAATTGATATTTTATATTTCTGATCATAATGCATAGAAAAAAAAGTTACAACACACTATTAGGAAACAAGCTATAGTAGTGTAAAAAGATAGTTATGAAGAAAACGTCAGCAAAAGTAGTAGCAACACATGCACTGAAAGGGCACACACTTATATCGTGCATTCTGACACACAAGAAGCTGGCAGTCTTACCATCCATCTGGATTTTCTTTGGCTGCATAGAAGGAGAAGACATTGAAGAGTTGACTCTGAAGTTGGCAGGGAGTGTCTCCGCAGAGCCGGCGCTCAATCCTCGCACATCCTTTGGTCGGAATTTCTTTCGCCACGATGGGGCCCGTCTAAAGCTTTTATCGTCATCCTAAGACAAAGACCAAATTGTCAGTGTGGAGCTGACCTTTCTCTGTAGCATGGGGTTCAGCCAACTATGTGCTTTGACTCTACTCTCCTGAGCATTAATTCACTAGAAAGGGGTATGTTTAAGTAAGGAAGTCACAGCACCTAGCTCTAAAAAAAAAACGTGTTCCATAATATCTGAAAAAGTTGACTAAAAAGGACAAAAATAATGTTTACTTTAAGCCCAACTCCAGCCATGATAAGCTTACCAGAGTTTAATGAGTCGAACATGGGTTTTTCTTAGGCGGCTTGCCATAATGTTCATTGTGTTCTTCACCCCACAAGTTTTCTTGTTTACATGCGGGTGGAAGTACAGCTCCCCGCTATTCTTCCGTGCCCTCTCAGCTCTAAGTGCTGCAGTTACATAAGCTCCTATTCCCTCCTTGCCATTCACAAAATACATACAGCTCCAGACTTCATATTGTAAATGGCCAGTCAGCGAGGGAGGAGAACATGCAACCGTAGTACCAGGGTCTATGCAGAGCCACCTTTAGAAATCATTGGGGACCCGTACAGTCTAAGACTTTTGTAAAGTTAATCTGGCATTTAAAGAAAGGTTAATTCTGAAGCATGTACATAAGAGGATAGGAAACATTTCTATCATTGGCGAGGCATGTCAAACTGCTGCAGAGACACTGCTTCTTCTACACAGGTGGCAGCGGTATTTCTCTGGAGCCTGCTGCCAGGGAAGGGAGTTAGGACTGGTGCTGTGGAGCAATTATACTACAATAATGTTCTACCATACCACAGCCAGAAGACAGTTAAATTTAAAGCAGTATTAAACCCAAAACTGTAATATACTCTGCAGCTTACCAATCAGATGTGTTCAGCATATTCCTTATTTTTTTTTTTTTGTCGTTTTTCCCTGTTTTCACCTGGTGATCTGGCCAGTAACACACCTCCCGTATTAGAATGCCTACACTTTGGATGAAGGAACACAGGCGCACCTTTGTACAGCAGCATTGTCAGTCTGGGAGGAGGGCAGTGTTTGTTCCCCAGATAGTATCAGATTTAGATACACTAATAAATTGAAGCCAAACTCCAGCTTACACTTTTGTTCCTTTTAGGATAAAGGTTTTAGATTAAAAAAAGCTGATCATTATAAGCACCCCTGTCCCTGTCATTGTTAAATGATTTGTCTCAATCCTCTAACTGCTCCATCTGCAAGACCAGTGGTTCTCAACCTTCCTAATGCCGCAACCCTTTAATACAATTCCTCATGTTGTGGTGACCCCCAACCATAAAATTATTTTCGTTGCCACTTCATAACTGTAATTTTGCTACTATTATGAAAAATGCTAAAAATTTCAATTGGGTTCAGTGTTGCATGACCACACAATTTTCAAAGTGTGACAGCGCTGAGAGCTGAAAATTGGCCTGGGCACACAAGGGGTAAAAGTGCCCAGTAGGCAAGTGGTTAACTAGATCAAAGCTGCAACTAATTCAAGGCTAAGCTCCACCCACTGACCAATCAGAGTGTCTTTTCCGGCTGCTGAGGTAACCTGACTGGACAGTACAATGGCAGGTGGCACAGCTCAGCCATGACACCAAGTTTATATAGAGAGGTAACAAAGTAGACCTAAATCAGAGAACACACTTACCCACACAAGGCTCTCCTGGGCAGGGGGGGACTGACAACTCATGGGGCCCTCGGGAAATAGAGGCTCATGGGGCCCGTGTCCTCGCCCACATTCAAACCACACCCAAAAAAGCCTCTGAAAGGTACCAGCGGCATCTCATTGGACCCCCTACTGACCCTGGGCCCTCGGGCCAGTCTGCCCCTGCTCCTGGGGCAGACCAATGGTGGTGTATGCTCCCAGGCTGGGCTTTTCAGGAGAACACTCCTCACATGGCAAACAAGTCCCAGCCAGGACTGTACAGTCCCCCTCGGGAAGGATCACCATTCTCTGCATGCTCTGTTCAAGTGAGACTAACTCCCAGCATGCCACGGCACAGAACTCACGACCTGAGCCCCGCAGGGAATGCGGGGAGTTGTAGTCCACGCACAGCGACTAGTACTGCTGTAAAGTACAAGAAACGGACTGGTCGTGCAGTGTTCTCGGTCCAGTCAGCTATTCTGCGCCTCCAGCCCCCACAGGCGGATCTGGCAGTCGTACTGTGCGGCCTCCTCCTCGCTTATAACCGCCTGCTCTTTCACAACCATTTTCTCCTGCCTTTCCTCGCACACCGAATTAATGGAGGACAATGAGGGGCGGGGCTTGGATGCCTAACTACCTAATTGCCGACCCACGTGACATGACATGGCGACACGGCGCCCTCTAGTATGTGAAGTGCTTACTGCAAGCCTTGTGTTGACAGACGTACTATACTATACTTAGGCGACCCCTGTAAAAGGGTTGTTCGACCCCCAGGTTGAGAACCGCTGTGCAAGACAGTTTTCCATAGTGAAAAATAGACTTGCTGGCAGGATCACCAGGTGAAAATTAAGGAAAGAAAGCCTAAAAAAGAAAACTAATGCAGCCATCACATCTAAGAATTAGTAAACTGCAATATAATAAATATTTGTGCTTGGGTTTAATACTGCTTTAAATTCCTGCCCAGTGTTCAGTGTATCTACATACATATTGTAATTTCAATTGGACCTTTTTAATCATAATACATTCATATTCCTACAAATTAATTATTCAGCCTGCACAGAATAAAGCACAGAGGAAAATGGGAGATGTTCTGTTCTTAAATACATAAGAACTACTTGCTAGATGATCATAGTCTCCCTGCCTTATCTTTGTATTTGACCCCTTACAAATGTGCACTATTCTAAAAGCTGCAGAAACAAGTCTAAAGTAAAATTCCTAAAAAAAAAAAAAAAAAAAATACTATAATATTTAACAAAACTTTTTGATTAAGGAGAGTTTCACTTGAATATATTCAACATAAGCATAGAATAAAAAGCAAAGTCTTACATCATCAAATCTTCTATCTGTTCCTCTTATAAGAAGATTATTGAATTCCCGCTCTAGTGTTGCACGTGCCTAAAACAGACAGGATATGAAGAATTACCTGGGGAAACTGCTACATTATATCTGTCCCTCTGTGAGGAGGGCTTATACCTGACCCCAGTTACCTGTGTGTTCTGAGTGGGGATTTGTAGCAGCAAAGCCAATGTGTTATGATCAAATGTCTCATCTAAGGCAATCAGAGAACCATGAACACCGCTTTCTAGAAGATTATTTGCATATTCTTTAAGTCCAATGGACAATACCCAATTGATGACCCGGTCATTGCTCCAGACAATGACATCTGGAAAGAAACAGATCATGAAATTTAAATTAAAAAACAAAACAGTAAAAAAAAAAAAAAAATTGGCATTGTTTACATGGGTGTACCTAATCGTATGCCCATGCAAAGACAGTGTATATTCCATGCATCCCCGTGTGGGACACAGCCACTGCTCCCAATTTGACATCCACATGGGTCAGTGCATCCTGCGCAGGTGTATGCTTAAAGTGTTACTAAACCCACAACAGTAAAATCTTCCTGTATATGCAGTAAATCATGCTTGTTATACTCACTGTGGAACCTAAGGGGTTAATCCTCTGCATTGTGTAAAAAGGCTGTTTGATCCTGTCTTCTCTACTCCTCTTAATCAAATGTCCATGTCTTATCTCCTGATAAGAAAGACTGAACCCGTAGCCATTATGCACATGCTCGTTTAGTGTGCATTGCTAGAGAGGTTTTTTTTTTATTCTTGGGTGAGTGCATGTGATCAGCACAGGGCCAATCAGCACTGTCCAGATGTCAAGTGTTCTGCATCCTCCTAGAGCAGAAAGCAAACTCTTCCTACAAGCTTTAACCAGCACTCACCTAGACACTGATAGAAGTCACAAGACTGCTCTAACTGCTGATGAGAAAAGGTATTTAGCAGTTTAGATTTACTAAAATAATTGCATTTCCATGTTCTCTGTACTGTGGGAGACAAGATAGAGTGAATGCAGGGTCCTGGGTTTAGTAACACTTTAAGAATGCCTGTGTGAGCGACACCTAACTCCAGAAAAGGTTGAACCCTCTACATTCACAAAGCAGTTTTTTAATGTGCTTATTTAGGTTTCTTCTTTATATTTGTACTCTGGCTTGATTACCTTGGCCTAAGCCTTATCTTGGCTTAGGCCAGTGTTTCTCAACTCCAGTCCTCATGGACCCCCAACAGGTCATGTTTTCAGGATTTCCATTATTTTGCACAGGTGATTTGATCAGTTTCACTGCCTTAGTAATTACCACAGCTGTTTCATCTGAGGGAAATCCTGAAAAACATGACCTGTTGGGGGTCCATGAGGACTGGAGTTGAGAAACACTGGCTTAGGCCAAGATGAAGTGTTCCCGGTCCTGAAGCCTCCTTAGATAGTTATATCCCATCTCCGAGGAAGCTACAGGACCAGGCACATAGAATGGCAAGAGGGCAGACCTGTTGTGTCAACAGGAGTTGGCGGTATAAACCCAGAAATGGCAGATGGCTTAAAAGAATCGTGATGGTGAGTGCTGGACCTGGGTTATGTCACCTGAAAGGGAGATCACAGCAGGCTAATGCTGGAATCATTGTGTGGGTGAGTATGTGTTCTGTAGATAAAGCAGCAATATAGGTATTGGTGGGGGGGCATGGTGAAACTTGAGCTCTGCTTTAAAATGCTTACTCACAGTGTGTATTAGGAGCTCCAGCAAGTCAGACAGAGCAAACGCCATTTTCTGGCTGGAAGATAACCAGCATCAATCCTGGCTGGGGGATATCCAGCATCATTTAGCATGAATCCCCCTGCCCCAACAGCCCCTGACCCCCCACTTTCATTTACTGGATTTCAGCTCTTTTAATCACAGAACCTTGGTAACATGTGGGCATTACTTAGGGTGGTCTGCATGCAAATGCAGCCTGCCTAGGAACACCCATTTATCCAGACTGACTTCCACTTATCAAAGTGTTCTGATATTTGTCTAACTCCTCCCAAGAGCCAGCCCAGTGCTGGCCTCAGGGCTGAAGCTTCTTCAGAGGAGTAGCAAGGCGGGGCACTGAGATGCTGCATTTCATAAAAAGCCAACTCATTTTGGGGGGTTCCAAGAGGCCCCTTCTCATCAGGGTTTAGGGATGTCTGGTTCCTGGGAATAAAAAATCTGAAGGTAAATACGCAGTCTGTTCAAATTGGTGGATTTGCATCAAAAAGCATTGGCTATTTATCAAATGTGTTGATATATATAAATATGCATCTAAACAAAATCTGTCAGTCTGGTTCTCTCCTCACATGTTAACAGATTGGCTATCTCATTTCTTTTATGTGTTGCAAAATGTCTTATCTCAAGTTTAATTATTGAAATTTATCAAAAGTGGAGCAGACAGAACCTGAAGCAGCTCTGCATGGCAACCAATCCACTTCTATCTTCACCTTGTTCACTAAAGTTTTGAAACATGAAAAGTTAATTGGTCGCCAAGCACAGCAGCACCAGATTCTGGGTGCTGTAGTTAATAAATTCCACTAACTGTATAGGTGCATTTAATGTTCAAAAGTGTGTAATATGTTGTTTTAGGATTTCTTCACCTGGATAAGTACACATTTGCTTTATAGTACCAGTTATCTTCACACACGAGGCAGACTTGTAGGGAGATATTGCTTTTTAAGGGTTAGGGTTGCTATGTATATTGACTACCAATTTTTGGATTCAATTGTATTAGTTGATAGTAAGGCTACACTTGTTAGGACCTCTCCGTTCTTTCTATGGTAAATATCTGGGCTGCACTGTTATGAAGACTGGCTGTTCCTGTGAATGAACAGGCTGTACCCTCAGCAATAATGCCTGCTGCCTGTGTATTGGTAACCATTAAACATCAATTCCAACATACTATTTAATAAAATAAATCAAACATACAGTAATATATTTTTTATACCTTTAATTTCATTTTGACTTTCATCTCTTCTCCTCTCTAGTTCTTTCCTGTCATAGTTCAACCTCCGTAAACACATAATGCCACACTGAAAACTATTCCTGATTGGAAAAAGAATTGGGAAAATTTTATTGCACACTTCTCTAACTTTTCCCAGACCTCCATTGTACAGATTACAGGGTGACCTGCCATGGTGGATCCTACCTGTGAAAGCTGTCCACCATTTTCAACTGTCCACGGAGGTCCTTCTTTGTCAAATGGTCCAGCATTCTAGCATCAACAAGGCACTCCATAAAATAACTTCGGTACTGAGGCAGGCCCAAGCTAGGCAACCACTCGTTACCAATCCACTCATGATTCATGTCGCCATATGCGAGGGTCTAGAATAAGAGCAAAGCTTTTGTAAAACTGGTTACAAAATATAAGGAAACACTTTTCTACCCCAAATTCCCCTTTGTTTTATGGCATAAACTGAGTGCTTTGTAAAAGCAGCAAATGTTCTGTTAAATGACCTGATCTATTAAATGTCTTCATAGAAGCAGTTACCTGCAAAAGTCAACAAGTATACTCACCTCTGTAGTGGGCTTCCCTCTCCTACCTTTGCTCTGTTCCAGCGCTGCAACTCTGTCAGAATCTTTGGCATGTGACACTTCTGAGAGTGTTGATTGCCTGTGATCCTGCTGTGGGCTGTGGTTCCATCTTCAGACCCCTATGTCACTGCTGTCTCCTGGAGTGATGTAGAGGTTGGTGATAGGAACCACAGAGCTCGGAAGGGGACACAAGAACCTGACATTTCTAGAAATATTGAAGATTTTAAAGAAAGGCTGCAGTGCTGGAATGAAGGGAAGCAGGAGACATAGATAACCAGAAGGTTGAAAATACTTTGCCTACTTTTGCAGAGGACTGCTTTTACCTCATGTTTGGGGTAAGCATCGCTTTAATATGTCCTGCTATGGAACTGTCAAAGATACATTAAAAAGAGGCAGCAATAAAAGCTTCCCTGATTTCTTTCAGTGACTGCCCTGAACCTTAGACGCATATTGTTATGTGTTTGTAAAGGTTCAGATTTCTTTCCCTGTATTTGGCTCCATCCGTCTTCCCACCAACTCTGAACAGCTCCCCTATCTCTGCTGAAGGAAATCATCCCCACAACATGATGCTGCCACCACGTTTCATGGTGGGGATGGTGTGTTCAGGGTGATATGCAGTGTTAGTTTTCCACCACACATAGCAGTTTGTTTTTAGGCCAAAAAGTTAAATTTTGGTCTCATCTGACCAGAGCATCTTCTTCCACATGCTTGCTGTGTCCCCCACATGGCTTCTCGCAAACTGCAAATGGGACTTATGGTTTTCTTTCAACAATGGCTTTCTTCTTGCCACTCTTCCATAAAGGCCAGATTTGTGGAGTGCATGACTCATAGCTATCCTGTGGACAGATTCTCCCACCTGAGCTGTGGATCTCCGCAGCTCCTCCAGAGTTACCATGGGCCTCTTGGCTGCTTCTCTGATTAATGTTCTCCTTGCCCGGCCTGTCAATTTAGGTGGACGGCCATGTCTTGGTAGGGTTGCAGTTGCGCCATAATCTTTCCATTTCCAGATGATGGATTTAAACAGTGCTCTGTGAGATGTTCAAAGCTTGGGATATTTTTTTAATAACCTAATCCTGCTTTAAATGTATCCACAACTTTATTACTGACGTGTCTGGTGAGCTCCTTGACCTGTATGATCCTGTTTGTTCACTAATGTTCTCTAAAACCTCTGAGGACTTCACAGAACAGCTGTATTTATACTAAAATTAAATTACACACAGATGGACTATATTTACTAATTCGGTGACTTCTGAAGGCAATTTGTTCCACTAGATTTTAGTTAGGGGTATCAGAGTAAAGGGGGCTGAAAACAAATGCACGCCACACACTTCAGATATTTATAAAAAAAATTGGAAAGCCATTTAGCATTTTCCTTTCACTTTACAATCAATTATGTGCCACTTTGTGTTGGTCTATCACATAAAATCTCAATCAAATACATTTACGTTTTTGGTTGTAACATGTAAAATTTCAACTGGTACGAATACGTTTTCAAGGTAGTGTGTATATCTATATATATCCATCCCCTTTTGTCTTCAGAACTGCCTTCATTCTTCGTGGCATAGATTCAACAAGGTGCTGGAAACATTCCTCAGAGATTTTGGACCATATTAACATGATAGCATCACGCAGTTGCTACAGATTTGTCGGCTGCACATCCATGATGCGAATCTACCATTCTACCACATATCAAAAGGTGCTCAATTGGATTGAGATTTGCTGACTGTGCAGGCCATTAGAGTACAGTGAACACATTGTCATGTTCAAGAAACCAGTTTGAGATGATTTACGCTTTGCGATATAGCGCAATATCCCGCTGGAAGTAGCCATCAGAATATGGGGACACTGTAGTTATAAAGAGATGGACATCATCAGCTAAAATACTCAGGTAGGCTGTGGCGTTTAAATGATTCTCAATTGGTACTAAGGGGCCCAGAAAATATCCCCCACACCATTATACCACTAGCCTGAACCATTGATACAAGGCAGGATGGATCCATGTTTTCATGTTGTTTATGCCAAATTCTGACCCCACCATCTGAATGTCACAGCTGAAAACCGAGACTCCTCATACCAAGCAATGTTTTTCTAATCTTCTATTGTCCGATTTTGGTAAGCCTGTGAGAATTGTAGCTTCTGTTTCCTGTTCTTAGCTGACAGGAGTGGCACCTGGTGTGGTCTTCTGTTGCTCTATCCCATCTGCTTCAAGGTTCACCATGTTGTGCGTTCAGAGATGGTATTCTGCATACCTTGGTTGTAACAAGTGGTTGAGTTACTGTTGCCTCTGACATCAACAAGACATTTTCATCTACTGCCGCTCACAGGATATGTTCTCTGTAAACCCTATAGATGGTTGGGTGTCAAAATCCCAGTAAATCAGCAGTTTTTGAAATACTCAGACCAGCCCGTCTGACACCAACAGCCATGCCACGTTCAAAGTCACTTAAATCAACTTTCTTCCCCAATCTGACACTCAGTTTGAACTTCAGCAAGTCGTCTTTACTACGTCTAGATGCCTAAATGCATTGAGTTGCTGACATGTGATTGGCTGATTAGCAATAAGTATTACCAAGCAATTAAACAGGTATACCTAATAAACTGGTCGGTGAGTGTATATTTACAGATACACTAATTTTTAGCCCGCTCCAGAATTGCGATCTCCTATGGCAGCAGAGGAAAGAAAGCATTAAAATAGATGGGAATTCAGGGAGCTGTGACGACATGCACAGGATCCCATGTCTCAGCCGTTGATGATGCTCACTTTTCTCCCCTGCAGCTGCTTGTGGCTGACACAGCAGAGCCGGATCATGTGACCGCACGGAGTGGAAAATATGTAAGTATACACATTTTGTTTTTCACAGGTTAGTCAGCAGAGGTGTTGGGAAAGGTGAGGGAGCATTTTTAAGGCTAGTTAGGTTGAGGCTGAAATTCTATTTTAATTGCATCCCAAAAATTTAGTAAAATAGAATATTTTTTGTACTAAGCTGCATAAAATACCAAGTTACTGCTTCTCAAAGTTTCAACTCAACTGTTTTTTTTTTTTTTTGTTACAGTCAAGCTATGTATTATAGAAAATGCACATAATCTCTTTTGTAGTTGATTTCACAGAGCAAAAGACAGAACACTATTCTCCTGTTTGGCAGTGGTCAGCTGTAACATCCATTCGCAAAACAGCGAAAACAGAGGAAACAGAGGAAAAGCTCTGCTCCGACACTATGGAAATAGTTTAAGAGATACTTGAACCGTGTGAAAATGCAACCTAACTAGAAATGGGGAAAACTTGTTTTTGATGAAAACATCACGCCGTAGCCTCTTTGAAATGTGCAAAAACAGCATATAAGCTAGCCTAGAGTGCAGGAAAATGTAAGAAACCGATTTATGTGCGCTAAAAAGTGATTGAAAATGAAAACGTAAATTAGTGAAAAACGCCCAAACCTGAGCCCAGCTTCCCTCCTCATCTTCCTGGTGTTAGGTGGATTAGGAAAGCAAAAGAACACAAAACATTAGTCAGCAGGGTTAATGGGAATAAAGTGGTCACTCCATGCAACACACAACCCCCTCCCCAAACCTCCAGTGCACATGCAATGTGGAAACATATAGAAACATCAGGAACCTCTGGGTTTATAACAGGGTCTCAGTGCCACATACATTTTACTCTACAAAATATAAAAATGTGTGTGTGTATAAAATTTGCACCAATGTTTTTGCTGTAAGCAAACCATGGAACACATGTTAATCGATTGCTGACCCAGGACGTGTGGCTGTTAGAACCTGCAAATTCTAAAGAGTGCCAGACCAAGAATCTGAGTCCAAATCTTTTAATATTAGGGTTTGTTTATAACATATACAGCATATTGCCGTTTCAGAGGCTCAGAACACTGTCACTTCTTCAAGGCTTGTATATTGCAGCAGGGACTCAACACCGGACAATTACCAGGATTACGTGTTTATTGTGTAATCACTGAAATATTCCAGGCCTATTAACGCTTGAGGATAGGAGGCACTGATCTTTATTGACAGCTGTATCATCAATGATTGTCAGAAATTAATGTTTCTGTTCAGTATTTGTTAAAATATAATCATTGATATACTGTAGTCAGCTGCTGCTCTCAGAATGTCTAGTTACAATGCATCCCTTCACCCCTTGCACACAGGCGATTTGAGCCTGTGCAACATACATTCTAGTGTATTCACCCTGCGCGAAAAGCCGCGCGCAGCTGTGCTGTGTGTATATATATATATATATATATATATATATATATATATATATATATATATATATATATATATATATATATATCTAACTATCTATATATCTCTTTATTATATAGCAGTACACAACTGTTCCGAGTATATGCCAGTGCTCTCAAACATGAGTATAGCTTTCGAATATACGCCAGTGCTTTTGTAACCAGAGTATACATCCATACGCTGTACTCATGCTTACATGCACACCGTGACTAACAGATCTCATTGAGGATCCTTAGTGCCTGTTCACACATAGGGGTAACTGGCGTTTTTTTTTACAATGGAAGAACAGCAGTCACCGTTCGCAACCCACAGAAAAAAACAATCGTTATTTTTATGTGCCCTGTTTGCGCAGCCTGGAGTCGTGGTGTAGTCAGCTGCGATAAAATGCAGACTGAAGCTGCATTTAAACACAGTGCACAGAAAGATACCGCATGTCATTGTACAGCACCGCAACACACCAGGCTGCTGTACAATGACATGAATGAAGTGTCACTGCAGCCGAAATGGACTGTACTCTGTCAAATGAAAGCCTTTAACTTGCTACTATGGCCAGCCATACAGATAGATTTCCTTTTTTCAGCCCATTTGCTAAAGAAAAACACTAATTCTTCCATGCACACTAAATAACATGGACAGAGAAATCTCACCTGCCAGCTGTTATATTCAGACAGCCTGCACCTGTGTCTGTCTTAATAACAAAACATTGACTGCATTTACTGGTTGCAGTCCCCGGCTCTGATTTTTCAGTCTTAAGCCAGCCATAGATGGATTGGATTTACCCTACTGAATGCACCAAATTTCGATCAATGTGTGATCACCCCCCGCTCAACAGAAGTTGATCACAAATTTACTTCTGTTGAACAGAAATGTTGAAAACTTTTCTCAGACAGTGGCCAGTGACACTGATCAGTGTATTCTGACTGCAGACAGTCCTGTTATCAGAATACAATGTAACAGTGGAGAGATTCCCCATCCACCTCACTTGTGTCTGCCGGCTGAACAGGTTATACATTAAAAAAAAAAAAAAAAAAAAAAAAAAAAAAAAGGTCCATCTATGGCCACCTTTAGTTTGTTGAGCTGGATGCTAACATGGTCACCTATGGCTCACATTTTAACAGATTCAGCAGGAATTGGCCAAAATTTAAGGCGCATATGAACTGTTGAATGGCAACTCACAGAAGAATCTCAGTGGCAATGAAAGGGCCTCACAGTCTGCCTATTAACACAGAGGTTCAACTGGTTTCTATTAATTTCCCAAATTAGCCTCTCAAGAGTTGAGCAAACCTCCTTAAAAACACCAGTTTGGCCAACACTGAAGAGGTTATTAAAAAAAAAACAAAAACCTAAACTCTATCAAACAAGAATTGAGCGTCTACAAGTACACTCAAAGTAAATCTACAAAGAAAAAGTGGCAAGAGGCACCCGCAGGGGATGCTACACAACACAGGCGGTGCTGCTGTAAACTAACCGTTTGTGGAGAGGCTGTGAGAGTTTCCATCTCTTCATGAGTAACCCAGACATTTCCCGTGGACTATTTACAAGCACATCCAGTGAGAGAAGCAGTAACAGAGAGGGAAGGTGGCACAACATATAAGCAACAGGTACACAGTGGAGAAGGAAAGAGCAAACGCTAAGAGTCTACGGCAATTAGGTTTAACCAGACTGAAGTCTACATAGGAAAACAGCTGAAACCCTAATGCCATTATGAAAACATGCCATTAAGGCAGCATAACGTAAACCACTCTGAAGTTTTTGTTTGGAGGCTCATACAACACAAATTTTACACTTCTTTAAAGGGAAACTAAAGTCTATACAATATTTTTATGACATATAGGTAAAACTGCATCAAACAACATTTTAGTTCCCTGACAGGTCATTAAAGAAGATCTCAAACTTTAACATGATAATGTAATTCCATAAGTTGTTTTCCATCTCTTCATTAAAGCACCTTTCATGAAAAGAATATCTGGTATTCCTGCCATGTAGGTCCTATTTTATGCACCGCCTGTTATGGGATCGCAACTGTCTTCCAATTGTGCTCCTGTATTGTCACCCTGTCAAATGACCTCCTAATTGAAGCTACATGTGGCTGTCCAGACACACATTGCTCAGGTGGGGTTCACTGTTGTCCATGTCACAAAGCCGCTAAAGAAAAATGATGTGCAGCAGACAATGGAGCATATGTATATAGAGAGTAAGTGTCTGAAATCCAGAAAAAGCAGCCAACACCACAGTATAATCCACAAATGAGTCTATTTATTTAATGAGGTACAGTCATAAATCCACGCAGAAATCCTACATGTTTTGGTTGACTGGGCCTTAATCATGACCATAATTAAGGCCTGATTGGTCAAAACGCATAAGTTTCGGACTGGATTTTATTACCAATTCTCATTATTAAGGATAGCCATTTGTGGATTATACCATGGTGTCGGTTTCCTTTTCTCTTTTCTGGATTACATGTGTTGGGCTTACAGTGGCTATCAGCCAGAGCAGGGTGGGTGCCATCAAGCTCATTGAGGTGTTTAGGTAGTAGCACTGTCGTGTGTTCCAGAAGTGGCTGAAAGGATAGAGATAAGCAACACTGAGATGCAAAAAAAAAAAAAAAAAAAAAAAAAAAAAAAAAAAAAAAAAAAGGTGAAAACTGTTTTGACAGACGTTCCACTACAATGTAAGTAATTTTTTTTTTTTTTTTTTTTTTAAAACATCTTAAAACAGTTGTTTCTATATGGTTTGCAGTTAAAGATTAACTGGAGGCAGCCATATTTGACTATAACATATTCAGGCTCCGCTTTCTTAATAGCACTATAAATGGACTGTGCTTTAATACTTCTTCTCTCAGGGCAGGTCTGACCTGACCAAAAACAAAATTGCTAGAAGCCTAAAAGCCTAAAGCCTAAAAGTAAAAGTCCTGTCAAAAAGTACTTTCAGGTAAATGTTACAGTGAAGAATCGAACGTATACCTGTTGAAAATAAACTATTGGCTGTACTTTTTGTTTGCTGAACAACAACGAACTTTACATGATTACCAGACTAGGTTATTCATTCACTCCCACATCAGAGGTGACTCCATTCTCTGACACATTTTACTCAATGGTCTTAATCATAGGAGGCCCTCCTATGATTAAACCAAGTTTGTAAAATGCATCAGAGCAGAGACATGCCAGATAGGGGAGAGAATACTTGTCTGACCTAGTCTAATATCAATAAAGCTGGTTACAGTCCAGCAAGACAGCAGATTGCAGCTTGTGTGTCTGTATGCCTGGAGAGGGGAAGACAGGACCCACACAGCAGGCCGCTGCATGTGCTTGCCTGGAACAGTGTCATTTACATGTGGTTTAAAATAAACTATAGTTTCCCTTTAATCCAATTAAAGAAAATGCATTTTATTGCTATGCATAAAATAAACAGGTTTTTGTTCCAAGAGACATGGGTCCTTGGAACAGCATGAAAAGCTAATAAGAAGTTGGTTTTGCAAAAATGGATGTATAAAACATTTCATAAGATGAATACATTTCAGAAGAGTATTTAAACTGCAAGTGCTATACACGCACACAATATTGCAGTAAAGGCAAAGCTGTCTGAAAAAGGCGTTAGAATCTCTGTCTGCTTTTAATTGCTGCATGTGCCTGCAGTGGGGGATTCCTCTATACAATCAACTGGAAGATACAGGAAGTGAGGTGTAATCTCCCAAAAGCTGAAAATCCACTACTGAAAGCTGTCACTGGGACAGGCGTGCCTACTGAGTGATCCCCCACTGTTGGTATAGTGCCAACTATAAAATTTTAGATTAACTTTAAATACTTCCCAATCAAGTTTAAATCTTTTCAATGGTGGCACAGACAGCAGTCAAAAACCTACTTGAGGTACTAACCCTACACACCACTTGGTCCAAAACTAAAGTTTTGGCTGGAATAAAATGTTAAAGAAAACTCACCAGGTATATCAATGTGTTTAAAATATGTTAAACCCTGTGATGTCAGCAGTTATTAAAAATCCTTTAATCAATTTCCGTGCACATCAAGAGCCCCTGGATCCAAGGTGGATAAAAATAAACAACTCCTGTCCAGCTTAAAACGCATGTATAGCCAGAATGTTTTTGATGTTTTGGATCGAGAATGGAAGGAAATAAAGATTAAAAACCCTGTAAGTTCATTTTTCCTGTCTGTGTACCATTTAGGTTATTCCCCCTTCATGCCTTGTCTCTAGGATAATTAGAAGAAATCTCCCATAGTAAGGGGAATTCTTCCTTAGACATTTCTTCCCAGGTTCAGTTGTACCCATTGGAAGATTTCCTCTCACCTCCTGTTCTGGGGACAACCAATATATACTGGATTTCCTCTCACTTTTTTTCTTGGGGACAATGGTCACAGTACAAACAGGGGAGAACAGACAGCAATAAAAACTTGACAGAGGATGTAACCCTTCGACTCCCTATCCAAAAAAAAGTTTTGCCTTTGTCAGACATTACGATCATTTGTACGAAGTGCCCAGGGGCTCCCTGTGTACACAGAAATCAGTATGAGGATAAGGAAAGACCAATACTTTGGCAGTACTGTTAGTTTAAAACACACTGAAGTACCTGACAGGTTCACTTTTGAGAAGAGGTTTGTTAGCCTAATGAGATTGTAGCAACCAATCGCCCACTTTTCTCTTTTGTCATAGATCTACAACATAAGTTCACAGTGAAGTAAACACCAGCTCTATACATCAATGACTACTGAACTTAAAGAGAACCAGTCATGGACTGGGCTTACACAAGATACAATTAACTATACTGTATAACTTGTGAAAGACTTACGCTTTCCCCTTATTTACGTATACTTGCACTGTCTATGCCTCACACTTCAGTTTAAAATGCCCCGTAGTTGTCTATGCTTGTTTTTAAACACATCTGTCAGGAAAATATTGGACATACTATTAGGACTGGTGTTTAAAGGTAGAGGATCCAATGTAGTTTTGTTGATCTTCTGACCAGGAACAAGGTAGAGAAGTCAGAATTATTGACCTGCTTGCTTGCTGCATGAAAAGCAAAGTCATAATCAAAATAACAGTCCTGACACAATCGAAACTATGTCAGCAACTGCAGCGTCTATATGTCTATGCACAAATTCCCCTTAATTGTGGGTCATGTTTATTTGATACTATTAGACAGTCTCAGATGCTGGAAGACAGTGAGGGAGATTTACCAAAACTGGAGTACTCAGAATCTGGTGTAGCGGAGCATGGTAGCCAATCAGCTTCTAATGTCAGCTTGTTCAATTAGGCTTTGACAGTAAGACCTTGAAGCTGATTGGTTCCATGCAGAGCTGCACCAGGTTTTGCACCATGCGTTTTTAGTAAATCACTCCCAGTGTGTGAGGTCAGGCAATTAACACAGCAGCTGTTAAACTTTAGGCGGCCTCTGACAATCAGGCCAGAGTGTGGGGTTCAAACAAATAAAGTAAAGGGGTCTCTAAGACAGCATTATCATTTCATAATGAGTGTATATTAATATTCTTGCATAAGTCCATCCAAGGCTGATTTTCTTTAAATAAATATACATTTAAAAGGGTGGTGATTGCCAATTTTGGGATACATATTCACAAAATTGTTTTATTTACCCATAAAAATAAATAGGACACATGTCTATTTACAGACACGTTAAAAAAAAAATTACTAACATACTCCAGGAATCAGTTTTTCACAGTAACCAACTATTGAGCAGTCCAGAGCTCACAAGGACCCAAGTACATTGTGCCAGTTGATTGCTATGTTAAACAAAACTGTTAACAAGGTTCCAATACCTCTAACAGAACGATAAAGGATATTATTTTTTTCTCTATCCCCCTGGCAAAATCCCACCTACCCGCACCCATCACACTACCATAATATCACTGTCATGCCCCATTCAATACTTCATCTCCCAGGAGCCAAAATCTTATCGGTGCCAGCAACGCAGACTTCTATACGTTTCTAAACAATCCAACTGTATAAGCCATGGGTGCAATTAGAAACTTCAGGGCCCCGATGTAAGAAACCATGAAGGGTTATTTTTAAAGGGACAGCGCAAAAAAACAAAAAAACATTTAACAAATTTAAAAAAAAAAAAAGTTTAAAGTGCCCCTGTCCCCCCACGTAGTGGTGAACGCATACGTAGGCCATGCCCACATATGTAAACGGAGTTCAAACCACACACGAGGTATCACCACGAACGTCAGAGCAAGAGCAATAATTCTCACACTAGACCTCCTCTAACTTTACACCGCTAAACTGTAGACATTTTTAAAGCATCACCCATGGAGATTTTTTAAGCACCACAGTTTCACGCCATTCCACGAGCGTGCGCAATTTTAAAACATGACATGTTGGGTATCTATTTACTCGCCGTAACATCCTCTTTTATATTTTACAAAAAATTGGGGTATATATTGTGGAGAAGGGTGGATTAGATTTTGCCAGGATGCCTAGAGAAAATTGTGTATAAATGTACAGTTATCCTATAAATTAGGACTTGTGTACACAGTAGCCAGTAAGCTGCAAAGTAGGTGGGAGACCCAGACACAATTTTTCAGGGCTTTGATATCTGGACTGTAGACTATATACTCTCACCCCAAAGAAAGCAGGTAAGAGTTCCACTCTAGTTTGGTTGGTGATTGACATTGTCTTAATGTTAAAAAACATCCTGCTTTTTGTTAAACAAGAGAATCTTTTTTTAATAACACTGATGCAGTTGAACGTACCGTTCTCGAGGTTGGAGGAGCTGATGGACTGGTTAAAGACATGATCTCCTGGATAGCTAGTCTCAGCTTTAGCCTGTGAAGTGGGTTACTGATACCGATCTCTCTCTGGATTTCAGTGTCTGACAAAGCAGACATTATTGCCCCACTCTTCACATTGGCCCGACAGGCAGCCACGTACCAGGCAGGCATCCCGACCCAAAGCTGGAATGAATTAATGTAGGAAAGGAGGTTACACTCTGTTCTCTGATAAGGTTTGCTTAAGTTTATAGTGCAGAAATTACTTACCTCCAACCAGACAACCACGGTTGGACCATCCCACTGTGCAAATGGCAAGCCCTGTCTCCGTGCCTCTTCCAAGAGCTCGTGCCTGCAAATACAGCCATTACTAGGATCCACCTGATTCCTATCCAGTGTTATGATCCAAAATGAAAACATTTATACCACATTAAACTGCAGACGGCACTTTCTATCAATCAGGATAAATAATTAAAGCTGATATTTATTTTTTTTCTTTTTTCGGAATACAGCACCAACATCATTAGTTACATGTAATGATATGTATCCCATCTCTGGCAGACTGCTGCTTCTTGTAAAATCCTCCCTTAAAAGCCATCAAATATTGCTCTGAGCAGCTATCTTCTGGTGCTGCATGGGTTAACAGCTGCCACTGCTAGTGTTAGGTACTGCGCCACCATTCAGACAGTTTGTACTACTAGTCTCCCACAATGCATTATTTTCTGTGAATAAGGAGGAGCAGACAAAGTTCAGTATGTCCACTGCCCATTTACGTAATGACTGGTCTCTGAATGGCAGAGAGGGAAGGCGAGTGGGGAAACTCTTACTACTAGCAGAGACTATTGTTAACCCATACAGGACCTGAAGATAGCCGCTCAGGGAAATATCAGGCGGCCATGAAGACAGTATGAAGCAGCCCACAGGAGCTGGGATACACACCATTACACATAACTAATGTGTTAGTGTGTATCCTAAAAATACTAAACTAGCCAAAAATAGAGTAATAATGCTTACACACCTCATGTAGAAGACTAGCCTATAGCTTATTAACATGAGGGCTGCACCAAAAGTAATACAAAGCGAGCATAACTTTTTTTTTTTTTTTTTTATTTAACTTATACAGGTCATTAAAGTTTCACGTTTGTTGAGTAACTCTTCCTTTTTTCTCATTGATGGTAAATAATGCATTCCAAGAAGAAGCAAGATGCCATTTATGAGTTATGGACAAAAGAGGGATGCAGGTTGTCCAACATCCACAGGAGTCTACAGAAAGTTTACGAAGATGACACTACTGAAAACAGCAATGTGCATAAATAAATGAAGTTTAAATGGTCTCATCTTTGTACGTTTTATAACCTTTTGTGGATGTTAGACAGCCTGTACCCCTTCCTTGTCAAGAACTCAATGAAAGCAAGTTGCTTTTGCTTGGAATCCATTAGTTACCTGCAATGAAAAGAGGAGTTACTATAGAGGAAGAGTTACTCTACCAACATGTGAAATTTGAACAACCTATGCAAGTTAATGAAAAATAATGTTATGCCCACTTTTGCATTACTCTCAGTACATAATTTTACTATGAATCAACCCATTGCACTTTTCTCCATCCCTAAGAACAAAGTCATTTCTGTCACCACAAGGAAACAAATCTTGAAACCCATCCAAAACAAGAACCAAGTGGAAGTGAAAATCAGAAAGTAGTGAGATACAAAATTGTGCCTTCACCATGTAACCAGCAAAAGAGAAGTTAGCCAACTGAATGTCTCCTACTAGCAAATGAGGAACAACCCTTTCAATAATATGTAAAGAAGAGATAATAATTTACATTTTTAGTAGATTGATAGCTAAACTACCTAACAATTTATTTGAGGGACCCTATTGGTGAAATCTCTGAGCTTGAGTTCCTGGGTCTGCAGATTTGCTGTGGTCATTATACAGTCTTCCCACTTTCCCTGTTGAATTAAATGTATTTTATATCGTGAATAAAAAGCACTCAAAATAAGCAAGTGGACAGAAACAGGGCTATGAATTATGGCGTGGAGGATCTCAATGTGGTACCTAAGACATAGGAAGCTAAGGGCTGACTCATACCATTCGATTTAACTGGACAGACCCTTTAAAGCAAAACTAAGCACACGGAATTAATGGTTTCAATTACATGTACATTCAAAGGCATGTCTCTGCCACAGCTGCTAGTGTGCTTATGCCAGCTCTCAACTAAACTTTCAAGTTCTCAAATGGCTGGTGTCATAGCTGGACACGTGTGCAGCACCTTGGCAAATACAATCTAAATAGATGCCAAGATTGTGCCATCTTTGACTGTAAAAGATTGAGGTTTATGTTCCACTTTAAAGTACTGCCATTACAAATATATCGGAGACACAGGTGTGTTGATAACGTATTTCAAAGCTGTCATCAGTACACCCATATGCTATAAACCACATTACGAGAGCACAGTAGCAATGTTACAGGGCCAACAAAGGACTCCTTCCTCAGGAGGCCATTAAAGCATTATGCCATTGCCGCCTGATGGTGTCCTTTGGTGTAACCTCACAGTTATGCTTTGTAATGTGGTAAAGAGGCTGATTACTAATGATTACCATTTGCTGTGTGAACCACTACACAACTGCGCCATTTATTTTGTCAAACACCCAAAACTGATTCAAAGCTATATGGAGTGTGCCTGAACCTATATTTCCTCCATCATGGACCTAGAGCCACTTTACAAAAGTAAAGTGACATCACATGTTCTCTTTATTAACATATGATTTTAAAATGGGAAGTGTAAATTGCACTGCAGGCAAGCTATGCATAACTTATTCAAGGTTTTATATATGTAAACACCTATGCGTAATGTCCCAGTTTTATCAAACAAGCTGCATACAAGGAGGAAAATAAGCTTACAATACTTTGTTTTAAATACAGAAAGAAGACCCACAAACCTCAGAGGGAACATTATAACACAGCACCCCAAAATAGTAAACGCAACCGTCACCTGTTTGCAGAATGATGAACACATGCAAGCAGTGCAGTATAGAGGAAACCATCCAAAATGCAGCAACTCATCATACTCACCCCGTTCTAATACTAGTAACAACAGATTACGTGGAAGGCAAGTAAAGAAAAACAAACAAAATGCTCACAAACCTGTCCCTTACTGTATATCAGCAACATTTTGCCAAGAGCAACAACACTGGAAAAATTTGATCGGTAAATGCCTGGTAGATATTAGTAAATAACTGATACAAAGAGCATTGTTTCCCAAGGATGCAGCTGGCACACAGTCTAATAATATTGCATGACAGCTGGTAAAAAAATAAATAGTGTTTGAGTCAACGAAAACCCCACATTTGTGCCAGGGAAAGCTGGAGCATGTGCTATGCAGTTCCAAAAAGAATACATCAAAGCATTTTCAAAAACTAGCTAAGCAAGCAAAATATATCCCGCCATGAAGTCACAGGTGCTACCTTACAACTAACACAAAAAAAAAAGTTCAAACTGAACACTACTAAACAATTTTGGAAGGATCAGACTTGGAAGAAAATCTACACTGATCTCAGCAAATGTTTCATTTCACGGTTTTCAATTATTGTTGAACATGGCCATCATAGGGCTGTGAATGTGCATGCCAGAAGGAAGAGTAGAAGGTTGATTTCATCTGTATGTTGCAGGGGGGGGGGAAAGACAGTTAGGAAGGTGAGACATCAGCACCTTTTTAAATGTCATGAAGAAGGAAGGTGGTTTTCGGAATGTGTTTCTTCTTCATGAAAAAACTGTATGCATTAGTCTGTACTCCTATCATGTGGTATTGGCTCAAACCCGAGAGTCACATTCTGCAGGTAACATGTTTATATCCGCCACATTCGAGTGAATTTTCCTTTAGGTCCATCAGGAGCAATCACTAATGGAAACCCCGTTTAAAGAAAACATAGAGGCTGTCATTGCTCTTGATCTTCTTAAAAAGCAAAGGAAATATTCTCCTGGCCATTATGGTCTTCCAACAGCTTTGGTAGTTTGTGTCACCAACTGGAAATTAGGTATATTAGAAACTCGGACTTCACTCTGAATGTCCTTATCTGCATGGTTGTCCTAAAGTACTGTATGTGAATACTGAACCACACTGTACTAAAAAAATAGCCTTTTTGACAGGCAGTCCAGCAATGGCAAGTTCATTTAGAAGTACAAGCCAGCAGCCGCAAAGGCTGATGGGACTTGCAGTTCATTCATTCACAGAACTCAACTTTTCAAAAAGTGACAGCTAGTATGGGGAACTTCTCCCTATACTGCTGTCACAGGGAGGTGGGGGGATTGGGTAGAGGCTGCAGCGGTGGGAACATGATACATGTTCCACCCTAAAAAAATTGGTGGATAATGTAATATGTTCCCAAAGGTGAACTTATCCTTTAAAATAATAGTGTGGTGACAAAAAAAAAAAAAAAAACAGTTTTAAAATCAATTATATATTTTTTTTTGCAAAAGGTGGACTTAGGTTAACATCTGCCATAGCTGTTGGGCAATCCAAAGGCAAAATACATATGGTGGAAAAATACAAGAGATTCATTTTAAACTTTGTGCTAAAAAAACTACTTTACATGCTGCTGTAGTGCTTACTAAGAATTCAATTTTAACCAGTCAAGGTAGGTGTTTATAATGTCACACTGAAAGCCTGTTGGATGGGTCAAGGCAACAAATGAGGCTTTCCCTAAAATTCAAAGCAGGCAGTCTGGACAGGATTTTGGCCAATGATTACTGCTCCAGTTTGCTCTAAAATCAAAGTCTCTCCATATAATAATCAGGGCTGATAGATTTTATTTGGTAGCCTAACAAGAAAACACCTACACCAATGTTCACATGTGCTACAAGCAGACTGTACCTGACTAGACTCAAATAATGGCACAGCACAACTGATCAGTCATTTTGTCAGCAGACATTAGACTTACAGTGAGTTACAGCTGTACTATTTATGAACTATACAGTAGTGTTCCAATGAGTGAGAAACCTACAGTTGAAAGCTACTTCTGGGACAGGGACTGAAGTGAATTGATAAAGAAAATAAGTCTTACTTTTTCTGTAGCTTTCGGTTCTTCTCAGTTTGACCTCCCAGCTTTGCCAGTCCAAGAGATTCTTGGGATGTGCTCTCAAACTCTGGAATTCCACCTACAGATTTAAGCAGAATGGAAACACCACTTAGGGCCATTTTACAGAAAGGGGCATGGACTACCAGGCGTGGATAACATGCATTCTTGCACGTGTTTTCTCAAAGTATTGCATTTTAATGCACATTTCTGTGTGTTTTGTGTAATGCTATAATTTAAGCAGAATTCATACATTAAAGCAACCCTGATGCAAAACTAAGTCGCAAAATACATTACTTGTAAAAGAAGAGTAAATACTCTGTTTTTCTGTGTTGCTGACCCTCATGAAAAGGAATTATCAACTGAAATTGGAACATGTCTCTTTCCCAGGTGCACGGCTCAATACTGTGTCCTGTGTGGACGTGGCAGTGGGAACAGGTGAGTATTTACTTTCTTCTTTCTAAGATAACATGTTTTGGGATTTAATTTCACAACAGGTTCACTTTAAAACCTGTTGCATCAACATGCTTTTATAAACTTTGCATTAATTTGAATTGCAAAATGCCAGCAAATACATGTGCTAGTCTCTTTAAATTTACTCCTTGGAGCACCTTGGATTTGAGGCCCAAGCAGAATAGGAATAAGTCTTATCCCCCCACTGATTCACTGTACATTAGAGGCTCTGACAGTCATCTGCTGAATGTCAGGGGGGAGGGCTAAGAAGAAGGAACAAGTGGGTATTGATACTGACTTAAGCCGGCCATAGATGGATCGAATCTCGGCCGTGCAGAAGAGACCAACCAAGATTTGATCCACCTATGGGCAGGCTGATTGTACCCAAGTCGGTCCATCGACGGAATTGGGTACAACCAGCCTGTCGGATTTTTAGCATGCGATTTTTAGCTATAGCTGCTAGCAGTAATGATTCGCATATCTAGGACTTGCCTTAGAGAGAAATTGAAGCATTGGGTACAATTCAGACCTAGGATACAACAGGCTGAAGAAACATCAGTTTGAGCACTAACACAGAATCCAGCAAGCAGCACAAGGTGCCCATACTTCAGCACTATTGGTAACTTAAAATGAGTCTCATGTTACAGTAGAAGAAACAGGCAGATCTACAGCCTACCTGGCCCAAGAGTTTCTTTCCCCAGTTGTCCAGGCCGACCCTTCTCTTTTTTGCCGAAAAGCCGACCAATGGATGACTTTATTCCTTTCTTCTTTGGGGCTTTATTGAGAGAGTCTTGGCTGCTGTTACTGCTACTGGGATTGCTTACTTGACCATCCTGTGATCCTGTAGAACTATATAAGAAAAAGGAATGAGTAGGATATACTGGGTGTGGCAATGCATGTAAACATTGTAGAGTGTCATGAACCAGAGCTTGTTCAACTTCGTGTTACAAAAAGTATTTCAGAAACGAGTTGAACTTCTTCCACCTACTCATTTCGGTGGGTTTTTTTTAGTGACCTAGATTCCTTAGCTCATTAATTTCAAGTGGAAGATGAAGAGCTAAGATCTGTGCAAGTCTTCATGTGAAAACAGTCACATGGAGAAGAATTGGTTATAACCCTAGGTTCACACTTATGTGGATTTCAGTGCATTTTCCAGTTTTCAGACATGCACTACAGTCCATTTAACAAGATTTCCTATGGTTCTAGTTCTTATCTGTGCGTTTTGAACCAGTATAAATTTTTAAACGGTCAGGGACTTTTTCCCCGCAGCAGAATGCGTTTTACGTGTAATAGACTTCAATGGAACTGCATCGAAAACGCATGCAAAACGCATCTACATGCATTTTTGGTCTGTTTCCTGCATGACAACAGACACCTCCCCTAGAACCATTAAACACTGCCCAAAAAAATGCAAAACCCATTAAAAAAAGTGCATTAAAAATGTGTCAAAAACACGTGTGAAAAAAAAAAAACGCAATAGAAAATTACATCAACCGCAACCTGAACAAGTGTGAACCTAGCCTAAAAAAAAAATCTCTCTCCAGCCAAGACCTTTTTTTTTTTTTTTTTTTTTTTTAAATGGGAACAGAAAGAACCTCTTCCATGTTATTTGCGGTTTGCATCCTCATTACAGAGATTTGCCCTGATTTACTGTCAGGAAGTTGCCCATGTGGCAAATGCCACCACAAAACCATTATTTTCAGTAAAATTGGAAGAGGGGTTAGAATCTTTGTCATACCATTGTTGCCGTAGGTGTCTTTCTGCCCCATTGACAAATGTTCTCATTTCTTGTCATGCTGCCAATGGGGCAGGAAGTGAGAGGAAGTCTGCCCTTTGGGGTCAGAGATGGGGAAGGAAAAAAAAAAAAAAAAACAAAAAAAACAAAAAATAAAAAAACCACACAAGTCCATTACAAACCAAAAAAATAAATAAAATAACTGGAGCTTAAAGCATTAAGGTAAAATAAATGCTCCAGTACAATTATAAACCCTGCTCCTAAACCCTTACTTGCTGTCTTTATCAAGACAGCTGGGTCCTCCACAATCCACACTGTTCTCCAAAACTTCCTGGTTGTACAGGAGAGGTGAGTGATTGGCTCCTGCAGATGTCTGTCAGGAGCTGGGAAGAGGGAGCACAGCCATGGCTTTCTGGGCACTGTGTTTGTCAAAGGACACAAACACACACCCTTGGCCAGGAGCGCACATGAATGGATGTCTCCTTTGCAACCAGCTAGGTAACGGAGATGCACACAAAGGATGGAGAATGAAGAGGTTTGGGGACCACATGTACATGAGAAAGGTGGCTGTTTCAAGGAAGCAGTACATTCAATCAGTTCCCATGACCCAACATCACCGTATTATGAAGCACAAGAGCAAAATCTCATTTCAACAGAACTGCTGAACCTGCATCTAGGGGGCAAGTATCATCAGTTATGACAAATGTATGAACTAGGGTTGGTTGCCACATGAAAACAGATTTACATAGTGCTTAAAATGGAACTTTAGTGCTTAAAACGATATGAACAGGCAAGATTTTAATACAGAAGAGACATACTAGCAGTTCAATCTCAACAATGCAAAGATGGCTGAACTCCCATGTATACATGAGAGTGATATCATCTTGGCCTGGCCAATGAAAACAGACGGGGATCAATACCCGGAAGCCACCAGGCTGAAGAGGTCAGCGGGTAGTTCTGAGACAAAGGATGAAGAAAAGCTTAGTATAATTCTTCTTTAAGGTTACCTACTTTCTAATGTCTCGGATGTCCTCATGGCTCATAGTGTGCAATGCTCCTTTATGAACTGAGCTTAGTCGCAAAGATCTGGGAGAGGAAGGAGGGGAAGTCTCACATCGTATTGTAGTCTTGTCATCTCGAGAATCAGTACCTGGAGGCTGGAAAGTGCAAGATATGCATTAGACACAACATACACTAGTCTCCTAACTGCAGTAAAAACAAAGACACTACAGCTCAATAAACGGACATTAAAAGCTGAATAGCAAGCAAAAATAAAAATCCACCCACCAAGGAAGTTAAAACCAAAAGAAAGATAAAACGTGTGCACAACATGAAGTAAATAAATTAAAAAACAAAAAAAACAGTACTGGAGACTCCCTAGTTTTCATGTTAGTTTCTGCAATGGATTGTGCCCTGCTGCCTCCAAGCCATTTTCAATCTGATCCATGATCCTCCAGCAGCAAAATCCTACGGACTTTATAGAGCATTACACATGGCAGCTCAAATGCCGATTTGGCCTGCATTGCTTTGCAGTTCTTAGGATGACGCATGTCCTGTTGCGGTTACAGTGTTGCATGACCGCGCACTTGTCATTCAGCTGAAAGGTGGCCTGGGTAGGAAGGGGGTGAAAGTGTTTGGTATTGAAGTGGTTAATAGATCCCAATGTATTATAAATAAGGTAAAATATATGAAGGGTTAGCAAAATGGCAGCTGGACAGCTCAGGGAAATAAACAGCTGACCTAGAAAGGAGAGAGAATAATATTACCTTTTCTCCTAGAGATGACACTGTGTGTACTCCCCGCTAGACCTGCATATCCTATGGAGCACTGTTTGCAGAGTGCTGCATGGGGCACTTTGACATTGTCACATGACTTGGACAGATCTGGTGACCAAAGCTCTTCTTTTCATGGCTTCCCCTCAACCCATTAATTAAAGGATAAGTTCACCTTTCTTAATATGTTACATGTGACACCCATATACAGGGTGTAATATGTAACATGTTATGAATGGACCAGCCCCCCACACTCGCTCGATCCCTGTTGTAACAGCTAGTGGGGAATCTTTTAAAAATTTAAAAAAAGTATTATGTGAATGGGAAAAATACAAGTCCTGACAGCCTATGCGGCTGTCGGTTTGTAGTTTTCAATGAACTACCATGGTGCTTCACAGCGCTGTGGTAGTTCATTGAGGCTTCCCGTCAGTAAGTATCTGCTAGCTTGTAGGGGATGAACAAGCAGATATACTGACAGGTCAGAGGGAGACTTGCTGATCACTGGTGCAATGCTTTAGAGGCTCCAGAAACAAAAAATAACAAATGCACATTTTTTTTACCTGCAAAAAATGTGCATTTATTATTTTTTGTTAAAAGGTGAACTTATCCTTTAAAATTCTAAAAGGGCTTCACTTTCTTCAGAGTCCAGAAGCAAGCAGGCAGATGGAACATTTGTAAAACACACTGCTGTTTTTTATAGAGTAAATTTGTTTTGTTTTTATTGGGTTTTTTTTTTTGTTATTTTTTTTTTTTTTAAATAAAGCAATAATAAGACCAAATAAGGCTTGGTTCACACCTATGCAGTTTGCTTTTGATTTGTTTCTGCAGTGCTTTTTGAGGTGCATTTTGCATTTGTACACACTTTTTGATGCATTTTTTTATGCTTTTTGTTTTTGGCCAATTTGTTATTGAGCAGATTATAAAATGCAAAATGCGTCAAAAACACACTACATGCTTTTCTGCAGTCTCTCCATTGAAGTCCAATGAACCAAAAATTAAAACAAAAAACCCCGACCCTTTCCTTTCCAAAAACACAGCAGTTGAAAAAAGCATAGATGTGAATGTGTCCCACAGGAAACCATGTTAAATGGACTGTAGTGTGTCTAAAAAATGCATAGATGTGACAAATGCTTTACCAATACTCCCCTAGTTAAATTCCAGTTTTGGATAGAGTAAGATTCTAAAAAAAAAAAAAAAAAAAGGGGGCAACTAAAACACAAAAAACTGTCATGCAATAGCACAAGTTGTTAACAGACAAAATCAACAGGCTATTACCTTTCTACGGTATTTCCTTAAATCGCTAGGCTGATAGAGACATGCAGAAAGAGGAATTAGTAGGAGGAAGAAAGGGAAACCACGGAGAGAGGTACAGAATAACCCATTACTACTGGAGCAGCAAAACTTGACATTTGCATTACACAGTACATACAATAGATATCTGAGAACATTATTTTCTAAGTAAAACGATTCAAGAGATGGTGTTACACACAATTATGAGTGCAAAAAATTGTATTAACTCTCATATTAGGTCACTAGAGGTACAATAACTAATTGGGGGAATAGAATAGTATTCATTCAAAAACAGCATTACACACTGGCAGCTCGGGTCACTAAAGGGAACATGATACACCGCTTTAAAGTTATCATGAGACAGTATTGTATATTATAAGTACAGGCACTGGAGGTGCACAGTATTATCAGTACAGGCACTAGAGGGAGTATGAGGGGGCATTATTGTATATTTTCAGCACAGGCACTGGAAGGGCAGTATTGTACGGTATTATCAGAACAGGATGTAGAAAGGCAGTATTGTACAGAATTATCAGTTCGGGCACTGAAGGGGCATTATTATACGGTATTATCAATACAGGCCATGGAGGGGCATTACTGCATATTACCAGTACAGGCAATGGAGGGGCAGTATTGTACGGTATTATCTGTACAGGCACTGGAGGGGCAGTATTGTACGGTATTATCAGTACAGGCACTGGAGGGGCAGTATTGTACGGTATCAGTACAGGCACTGGAGGGGGCATTACTGCATCTTACCAGTACAGGCACTGGAGGGGCAGTATTGTACGGAATTATCAGTACAGGCACTGGAGGGGCAGTATTGTACGGTATTATCAGTACAGGCACTGGACAGGCAGTATTGTACGGTATTATGAGTAAAAGCACTGGAGAGACAGTTTTGTATGATATCAGTACAATAAAGGCCATATATTTTATCTGCTGAGAGTACAGACACAATACCAGGCCTAGTACTGCCAGTTTAGTGACCAAACGGTGTTACCAGAATTGTGTGTGTATGTATATATATATATATATATATATATATATATATATATATATATATATATATATATATATACATACACACACACACACACACACACACATGCATACATGCACACACACACATACATATACATGCATACACACAGACACACACAGGTGAAACTCGAAAAATTTGAATATCGTGCAAAAGTTCATTTATTTCAGTAATGCAATTTAAAAGGTAAAACTAATATATGAGATAGACTCATTACATGCAAAGCAAGATAGTTCAAGCCGTGATTTGTCATAATTGTGATGATTATGGCTTACAGCTCATGAAAACCCCAAATCCACAAACTCAGAAAATTAGAATATTGTGAAAAGGTGCAATATTCTCGGCTCAAAGTGTCCCACTCTAATCCGCTAATTAAGCCATAACACCTGCAAAGGGTTCCTGAGCCTTTAAATGGTCTCTCAGTCTGATTCAGTAGGAATCACAATCATGGGAAAGACTGCTGACCTGACAGTTGTGCAGAAAACCATCATTAACACCCTCCATAAGGAGGGAAAGCCTCAAAAGGTAATTGCAAAAGAAGTTGGATGTTCCCAAAGTGCTGTATCAAAGCATATTAATAGAAAGTTATGTGGAAGGGAAAAGTGTGGAAGAAAAAGGTGCACAAGCAGCAGGGATGACCGCAGCCTGGAGAAGATTGTCAGGAAAAGGCCATTCAAAAGTGTTGGGGACTTTCACAAGGAGTGGACTGAGGCTGGAATTAGTGCATCAAGAGCCACCACACACAGATGGATCCTGGCCATGGGCTTCAAATGTCGTATTCCTCTTGTCAAGCCGCTCCTGAACAACAAACAACGTCAGAAGTGTCTTACCTGGGCTAAAGAAAAACAGACCTGGTCTGTTGCTCAGTGGTCCAAAGTCCTCTTTTCTGATGAGAGCAACTTTTGCATCTCATTTGGAAACCAAGGACCCAGAGTATGGTGGAAGAATGGAGAGGCACACACTGCAAGATGATTGAAGTCCAGTGTGAAGTTTCCACAGTCTGTTTTGATTTGGGGAGCCATGTCATCTGCTGGTGTTGGTCCACTGTGCTTCATTAAGTCCATGGTCAACTCAGCCGTCTACCAGGAAATTTTGGAGCACTTCATGCTTCCTTCCGCAGACGAGCTTTATGGGGATGCTAACTTCATTTTCCAGCAGGACTTGGCACCTGCCCACACTGCCAAAAGCACCAAAACCTTGTTCAATGACCATGGGATTACTGTGCTTGATTGGCCAGCAAACTCGCCTGACCTGAACCCCATAGAGAATCTATGGGGCATTGCCAAGAGAAAGATAAGAGACATGAGACCGAACAATGCAGAAGAGCTGAAGGCCGCTATTGAAGCATCCTGGTCTTCCATAACACCTCAGCAGTGCCACAGGCTGATAGCTTCCATGCCACGCCGCATTGCGGCAGTAAATTGCTGCAAAAGGGGTCCAAACCAAGTACTGAATACATATGCATGCTTATACGTTTCAGAGGTCTAATATTGTTCTATGTACAATCCTTGTTTTATTGATTGCATTTAATATTCAAATTTTTTGAGATTGTGGATTTGGGGTTTTCATGAGCTGAAAACCATAATCATCACAATTATCGCAAATCACAGCTTGAACTATCTTGCTTTGCATGTAATGAGTCTCTCTCATATATTAGTTTCACCTTTTAAGTTGCAGTACTGAAATAAATGAACTTTTGCACAATATTCTAATTTTTCGAGTTGCGCGTGCGCGTGTGTGCAGTGTGTACATATATGGCTGTGGATACTAGAGGAAGCAGTTTTATACAAATCAAGGTCAGATACCGAAGGAACACCAGTTTACAGTATCAGTCTACCCTTTACAGAAACAGAATAGATCATTAGTTTTAGTACTAGAAATTTATTATGATAGTGCAGTCTTCCCTCTTGAGAGAAACCCTCATTGGGACAAACTATATGCAGAAACATTTATTCCATTGGGGTGTGACAGCTACATGGGCTATGGCTCTAGTTCAGAAAGAAAACGGTCATATAGTTGTGCCTGTCCCTTCATGATGATATCCACATAAACACTTGGTTATTACAGGCACAGTTATGTACTTCTAATGATTACAGTATAAGATCTACATTTTGTAGTGTTGTATTAGTAGTTTACTTAAAGACCCATGCACTGAAAGAATAAGTGTTTATTTTCCACAAGGTTGTATTAAAATGCTCTTTTATTTCAAATGATGTTTTATTCGGAGAAATGCAGGTATTGCAAGAAATATAAAAAGAAAATGCAGTGCAAATTATACAATAATATTATGTCAAAATAAAGTCTATATAAGACCCAAAATTAACGGACGTAGGTGCATAAAGGAAAAAGTTTGATCCAAAAAACATCACCATACACCCGAAACAGATTGGCCTCTTACCAATTTGACCGTACAAAGTCAGTCAACATGCGCAGTTTGATAGAACATGCTTGCCATCACAGCTTTGCCGTGTGACATCGCGCTCAGGAGGAACGGTGGCCATCCTGTTGGTTTGAAACTTCTTGTTTTACCATGCTGGTTATCTTATAGTATAACATTTAAAATCTACTTTAGCAAATCTATTTAGGTTCCAAGTACATCAGAATATGAATAGCGTTTCCTCTTTACACATTCCCTGACCATCGGAGGGGAGTTTCTTCTATTTGGAGATCATTGAAGGTGGAGAAGTTACTTTTCATCCTTGAGGGGATCTCTACTGAGGATCGATTGCTGTATTGATGTTATATCACACTGCGCATGTTGACCGACTTTGTACTGTCAAATTGTCTGGTAAGAGGCCAATCTGTTTCGGGTGTATGGTGACTGTTTTTGGATCAAACTTTTTCCTTTATGCACCTGCTTCCATGCATTTGGCGACTTATATGGATATATTTTGACATAATATTATTGTATAATTAGTGCTGGATTTTCTTCATTTTAAATCATATTATTGCCTTTACATATGCAAGCTGCTTTTATTTTTTTATTTTTGTGGTTTAAAAAAAATAAATAAAGTGCAAGTGTTGGTATATATTTATTGCAAGAAATATACTGACTGGTAAGAAAATGCAGATAAGCAAATACTATGGTGAACCATTATATCTGAATGTAGTATTGAATCCAAACAAATGAGATAGCCAGTGAACAAGAACCAAGTTGGTTGATGATGTATCCTGCGTATAAAATGTTCTTCTGCTGTGGCACATAATGTATTACATAAAGTGCTCAAAGAGCACTACACCAACATCCAACAAACACTACAGTCACGTTTATAAAAAATACATTTTATTGTCCAGTTCTCTAGCAGTCACGTGACTGCTCTGGCTCTGTTCCCCACCTCTCTGTCAGTGGCTAGGGGCATATCTGGATGTTGTCAGCACTACCCATAGGCTGGAAAAACCCATGTCCCAAGGTGCTCATGCTGTACAAAGAAGGCAACAATGCTGCTGAAATTTCAGCAGAGATTTTTCAGAGTTGTTAACCTGCACCAGGAAATGATTCAGGCTGCTCAAAAGTGGCACATCACCAGATTAAAACATGAAGAAATACAATTTGAATTTACTGGGCAAAGTGCAGCATTAGACAAAATCTAAAATTTGATTTTAAAGTTACTTTTTAAATGCTTAGCATGACAAACTGCTGAAAATTAAAGTGGAACTGAAGTTCCTCTGTAAGAAACCGTGAGCAGGAAGGCTTTAGTGCAGAAAAGACATGTACTGCCTGCTGTCTTCTCTGATGCTATTATCTTTTTCAGGTACTTATATAGCGCCGTCAATTTATGCAGCGCTTTACATATATATTGTACATTCACATCAGGCCCTAACCCTCGAGGGGTGCTGGTGCTGTGAACTGAGCTGTGTATGCACAGCGCACATTACAGTGCCAGGCTCAGAGTGCCACAATGACCAGCTCCCGCGCATGTGCAGGAGTGATGCTATCCCCTGCCAGCCAACGAAGAGGCTCGAAGACCGGCACTGGTGAGGGACCACTGAACAGATAACCACTTACCCTTTAGTTACATTTTTTTTTTTTTAAAGGCAATCTTACAATCCACTGCAGTACAAAAAAATAAATGAGATCTAGTTTCTGACCATCCAGTAGGGGTGATTAACAAGAACGACTGCATGCACTGTGTTATTAAATAAGGAAGGGAGATTTCATTATTGCACAACCACCAAATAGATAAAAGCTTGGATCCAAAAATTTCCCGAGATCAAAACATAAAAATGCTAGTGAAGAAACGTGCGACACCCACAACAAGGTTACTAAGCACAACCACTGAGGTGACAATAGTGAGGTATTATGAAGAAGGAGAGGACAAAAGGGTTAGGACCAAGGCTTCAATTTCCCTTCAGCAGCCGATAGAACGTTTAATGAGCAAGAAACTAGAAGTTGGAAGGAGGGAACAGCAGGGAAAAACTTTACCTGGGACAGTTGGGAGGAATCAGGGCAGGAGGGGGGATTGATAAGGGAGGAGTCTGATGAATGAGCAGTTTCTGAAGATGAAGGCTAAAACAACAAATGGGAGAACACACAAATTATACATAGGTGTGCATGAATAATAATGGGGGGGAGGGAAGAAAACCTAAAAAATTTTATCAATTAAAAGGTAAACAAAGAATGCCCTAAAAGAAAAAAGGTAAATTTCCTGGAGTTTGAATAAAAGATATCTGAAATGCCCTTACTACAAGTCATGACAGTACATTAAGAGTGAATTCTCTGATGATATCCTGTGCTAGAGACTGGGATGTAGGCAACACAAATATACAGCAGCATCAACTGGACTATATGGACCTAAGGTCTGAAGAAGGAGCACGCATGACCCAATTGCGCGGCAATCAGCTTGCTGGTTCTCTGCTTTCCACTTTTGGTGACGTCACGGCTGTCGGCCTCAGACCCCCTAGCATACTTGGTGCCCTGGATACCACCAGTGCGGTTGAGAGGTCCACAGATAACGACACCCACAATGGTATCCATCAGACCCGGAGCAATTTGAGCATTGAGGAGCCCGTATCATGTGATATGTGAGCCATCATACTCTTTTTGTGAGTTGCTCTTACTACATTTAATAAATGGTTTTATTCTGCTTACTACACTCAGATAAGCGCTGCTGTGTTCCCATTCTTGCAAATCCTCATGCCTGCATGGTAACTATAGCTTCCTTTGTTTAGGGCTTGGACTCAATGAGACAATATACCCTTACAGGGTATAATAAGAGACCTGAGGAATCGAAAAACCCTCCATCCCAGTGCATAGAACCTTCTTAGGACAGACGGTATCCACATTCATGACATATCTAAAGCCCTACTCTATATTCATATATAACAAATGAGTTACATATTTGCTTAAAATTCAATTACTTCTAAGGCGTCTATATGCCCGTAGGCTTTTCAGAAATTGTATTTGTGAAAAATTACAAGCAACTGTGTCAGAAGTAAAGTGCCAAGATTTAATTAAAATCAGTTGCATATATTAAGACACAACTTTTTTTTTGTAAGCTTTGGATAGAGTATGGTATGGCTGAAACCACTGTCTGGCTGTGTTTTTTTTTTTGTTTTGTTTTTTAATTTCTGTTCCATAGACATATAAAAATAAGAGTAAATCTTTCTAAAATACTGGAACAGGTATCCTCACTGAAAGATTTCCTTTCTATTCTGGTGACAACCCAAAATTATAATTTTTTTTTGCCACTTATTTTCAGTTCGGTTAATTTGGCATAAACGGTACATTTTCCCACTGATGACTAGGATAAAAAAAAAATGTTTTTGCCCTTACTTACTAAATAAATAACTAAAAATTCTGGCTTTATATACACTAACAAAAATGTAATTTGTTTCTCAATGGGGAACTTTCACTGATGCTGCAATTTAATGAAACACAGATTTCCTTTTCCAATTAAAGGTCACCAGTCACCAACAGGGAATCACTTTTAAAAAGGTTTTTCCACAGTAAAGGTCAAATCAATGAGAGAAAAGGTGAAATCTTACTGAAAAGAATGACGCAAAATGAGTGACTCATAAGAAACACTAAATGTATACACAGGAGAATGAACATTCACACTGTTTATATACTCTAGATACCCTATACTCTATAAAGTATCAAGTCCAAATGCTAATGTATTTTGTAAACATGTTATCTTGCAAACCTGCCAATCACTCCAGCCACACACCACTCAAAATGTAAAAGATGCAATTTACACTGCAAAAGCAAGAAATCTGTACACTGAATAACAGGAACAAAACTGGCTCCTGTTCAAATGTAACTATATGGGAAAAAGTATGAGGAAACCTCTCCAAATTGAGTTCAGGTGTTTCCAGTGACAGATACTGCTAAAGCTACAGCATACAAATATATTTTAGGAATTTGGGCACTCCTAAACTTGTGAAAACAGTTTTGGGAAGGCCCCTTTCCTGTTTTAGCATGACTGCGCCCTTATGCACAAAGTTAGGTCCATAAAGACATGGTTTGTTTGATAATGCGTTTATTTTTGCGGTAAATACTGCATAAACTGATCGCAAATAAACTGTTTCAATATCGCATGCAATATTTGGATGAAATAAGTCTTGTGATCCAAATATTACATGCAATAGCCTTTAATTAACGGAGTTCCTTATCTCGGTGTGTTAGCTTTGCAAATTGAACCTTAAATATTTCTCTACTAAGGCTTCATGCACATGGGTACTTTCGCAGAACAGCATATTTTTTGTATATGGAATATCCTGGTGCTGCATACAACTGCTGTTTGCAGCTATGCACTGCTACTTGTGTAAGGTGGCACACGTGGACCAGACACAATGTCGCAAACGCAGGTAGTGTGCACGTGCCCCTTTAAGTAGCAAACCATAGCTGCATACAGCTGCCTTCACCTATTCAAATCTATGGGCAGCTGTACACAGCACCAATACATATTTGGGACAAAACTACACAGCATGTTTACTTTGTAAGGGCAGTTATGCCCACCACATGAAGCCTAACAGGTTTTCCTTAAAAACCTGGGATAATTTTAAAGAGTATCTACAACAAAGCGCTCACTTTGTGCAAACAAAAATACAATCTACTTAGGGTTGCTGCCACCTTCTCCTCCTGGGCACCGGCATGATAGATAAGATGTCAGGCATGGAGGTGGGCTCTTTATAACATTTAGTGAGAGCCAAGCTCTTCCCAGCCCTGATGCACATTCAACAATCTTCATCACTGTGCTGATGGCCACATGCGGATCAGAGACACATGACAAAATAGCATGTTTTCTTTAGTAGAAATAAAAAAAAGGATGTTAGCCTGATCAGTACTGACTGTTCACCTTTATCTTTTTTTTTTTTTTTCACGGATTGTTCCCCTTGTACGACTTCATAACTTCAGTCACAGATCCAAAACCAGCACAAAATGAATTCAGGCCAGAGAAAAGTTGGAATTTCCTTTGTTCTAAACAAGTCAGTGATTGCAATGGCAGATTTCCTATATCAACTTAATCAGTACCCATATACCACGGGTGTCAAACTGGTGGCCCTCCAGCTGTTTTCAAACTACAAGTTCCATGAGGCATTGCAAGATTGACAGGTACAAGCATGACTCCCAAAGGCAGAAGCATGATGGGACTTGCAGTTTTGCAACAGCTGGAGGGCCGCCAGTTTGACACCTCTGCCATATACAAAGAACATTACATTGCTTAAGTAGAGCATCCTGCTCTCCCAGCATTTTATAACCTCCCCAAATAACCTGGTGTGGATTTGGATACATACCAAGGTCATAACACCTAGCCTGTCCACTTCCCGGGCAGGACTGTGAGGCATTCGTCTGGGAGTGGAGCGCCCACTTCCAGGTGGGGAGGAGCCAGCAAGAGTAGAGCCAGGGAAAGAGGGGGGAATAGAGGTCATCGACCGGAACCGTCCAAGGTTATCTAAACTGCCACTGCCCACCCTAGACTCGATCTCTTCAGCTCTCTGCTCAGTCGTCTCCTTCTCCTCCTGAATCAATCTGCATAAAGCCAAACAAGAGTTCAGTAAATATTTTGTAAACTACTGTTGAAGCAAACTCGTGTATATATAAAAAAAAAAAAAAAAAACACACACACACACACACACACATATATATATATATATATACACACACATATACACATATATACACACATACATACACAACACCAGCACGTAAAAATGTTTATCTATGCAAGTAACCAGGCTAATCCTAAAAACCCCCTAAACTAATCAATGTGTTCTAAAAAGGAGTTATAGCACAGTAAGCATAAACTTTTTGCCAGTAATCTAGAAACTTCAGGAATCCCAGTCTTTTTAGAACACATTGATTAGTTTGGTGGGGGGTTTTAGGATTAGCCTGGTTACTTGCATAGATAAACGTTTGTTTTCTGTAAGGTCATCCCTTTGTATTACACACTGATTTACTGGTTTTAATGAGTTGCGTGGGCACATATCTTCCTGGAGAAATTAAAATGTGTATGTGTGTGTGTATATAAAGTATGCGTAAGCACCAGCAAGTAAAAGTAGTTTTCTAGTAATCCGGTATATCACCAAAGTAATCAGTGTGTAATACAAAGGGATGACCTTACAGAAAACAAATGTTTAGCCAGTAATATGGCACCTTCAAGTATCCCTGCCCTTAGTTGTTACATACCTGCACCATGCAGTAGAAATGGACATATGAGTGTTCATGTTCTAAATAGCTTAATATATACAACAAAATAGATAGTAAGGGGGGGGCGCTCGTGAGCAGCAGCCAGGATGGCTGCCTATTAATTTACTGTCTCGGCCGCCGGACACATCGGCCGATTTCTGACCCTCAGGGGGGGTCCCTCCGCTTCCTCCCTGGCCCCCTGTCCCTCCAGCACCCTGATGGGGAAAAAAACCCCGGCCCCCCGCACCTCCAGCGTCCGGCGGACCGTTCGGGAGGTTGCGGCCTACCCGCCGGAGATCGCGGGTGAAGCCGCGGCCTCGATTTTAGGCCGGCCGCCGGAGGCTTCCAGGACCCCGGCCGCGGATTCGCGGTTTTCGCCCCGGACAACAGCTGAAGCCCTGGCTGCAAGTTTGGGTCCCCTGCCATCACTACCTGCAGGTGAGATGGATCCTGGCAGTGGGGAGGACCTGGATCCCGAGCCATCCCAGCGGTCGCACATTCCATCCCTGCGGGATGCCGAGCTCCTGCGCCGCTTTAAAAGTATGCTGCAAACAGAATTGTCCTCCGCTACCACCAAGCTGGCCGACCGTCTTTCGCGGGGAAATTCGGGATTTGGGCAATCGGACGAATGATCTCGAAGATAAAATGGACGCTGCGGCCACAGTCATTGAAAATCACGAACAGGACCTGTGCGCCCATTGACGGCTAGAATTTGACCGCATACATCGTTCTTTGGGCCCAGACGATCCGGGATGGGCCCCGAGGGACATTGTCATCAAGTTTACTTATTACCGCACTAAGGAAAACTATCCTCTTGGCGGCCAGAAATTACCATGATCTTAGCTTCCAGGGGCACCGCTATCCAGCTTTTCGCGGGACCCTCTCAGACCACTCTCCAGAAGTCGACGCCAGTGTTGAAGCCCTTCACCTCGGTCCCTGGTGAAACACAGAATTAAATATGCCTGGGGCTTTCCGTTCCGCCTCACCTTCACTACCAGGGCCGCAGTCATTCTGTGGCTACGCCGGAGGAGGCCCATTCTCTCCTGGAATCTCTGGTACATCTTCTCTCGCATGCCGGGAAGACTGCTGATCGGAGCCCGGCTCATTCCTCTGGATCCTCGGCAAGGCCGCCCCCTCTGGGTCGCGCATCTGGGAGCGGTCGTCTAACAGGAGGGGGGCGTCCTCTCCCCTCAGACCCCTTCGCGATCAAGTCCTTCCTGTTCTTCCTCCAGGCTGAAGATGCGCCTTGGAACTGCCCACATATCGTCTCACCGAGGGACTACCCTGACGAGATTGTGAGTTTGGCCCTTAGGGCCCTCCCGGTTTGTCGACATTCTAGGTTGAGACTGCTCCGGCTTGCCCTTTTGGGTTTCATCCCAAGTTGGGGGGGGGGGGTCTCTTCCTGGACTTAGGAATCGGGACTTTTTGCTGCCGCAGCCTGTTTTGGGTCCATGTGATGGTGCTTTGGGTCTACGTTTTGTGGCATTGGGTGATGGTTCCTTGGGCTCCAGGGTGGGAGGTTGACCCGGTGGGCCTGGTTGGGTGGAGGGGGGTTGGCCTCGTGGTTCTCTGGGTTTCTATGGAGGGTCGTCGCGGAGGTTCCTGCTCCTGGGACCTTTTAGTTTATTAAGATTTACTATATTTCTATTATGTACATTGCCTTTTTGCCCCCTGAGGGCTTCTGTTTTGATGTTTCCATTTGCAGCCATGTGTCCGGTGGTAGAGTTTACCCCTAACTGTATCCTTCATGTGTAGATTGCACGTCATCCATTGGTGTGTGACACGATTGCACTGTTGTGTATACTTTTTGTGTCTTTTTCCTTTTTTCTTTCTTTGTTATTCTCTTTTTCTCTGTTTTTTTTTTGTTTTTGTTTTCTGCAGGGTTCCGGGAACTGCATGGTCCGATCGCCATTGGGAGTGGAAATTGCTGGCTGCTTTGGGCTTTTTTCTGCTGAGCGTGTTGCGTTGATACCGCCATGGCCTCACCCCTTTTGAAAATACCATTCACAAAATGTTCAGGGCTTCAATTCGCCTCAGAAAAGGACTAACAGTTTTTCATCACCTCAAGTCGCAACAAATAGATGTGGTATGTCTACAGGGAGACCAGGTTTTCTCAGTCCTCCGCTCCGCGTTATCTTTCACCTCACTATCCCATCTTTTACACGGCCTCGGCTCTTGAGAAGCGTCGGGGTGTTCTGATAGCTTTTTAAACGCAATCTCCCCCTTTGTCTGTGCTCGGAATATAGCGGACCCCCACGGGCAGGTATTTGCTTCTGCAAGGCACCCTCTGGGACCAGGAGGTTACCTTTGTCTCTTACTACGCGCCTAAACCGTTTTCCAGCATAAATTTCTTTTCAGCATCTTTGCACCATTATTTCTCGACACTCTAAGGGTCTTCTTCTTGTTATGGGGGGATTTCGAATGTTACCTTAGATTCCACACTGGATAGGCGCTTACGCACAAGGAGCGACCCCTCTCATGACTTGGTGCTGGAGGAACGTATGCGCTCTCTTTTGCGACGGGGTGCCTACTAGGACGGCGGGGGGCTAGCGGACGTTCTGGAGGGAACTTCATCCAACTGAACGCGACTTTACGTTCTATTCTAAACCTCATGACTGTTTCTGTAGAATTGATATATTTCATGCAGGTCCAGCAACTCCCCTCGGTTCGTGCGGATAACTATTCCCTCCTCACCCTGGTCAGACCATGATCCTTTGGTACTCCTCCTTGCCCTTTCCGGGTCAGAACGACGCCCTTTTCATTGGCGCATCAATGAACTCTTTACTGACCACTCAGGCTACCTGCCAAGAAATAGAATTCTTCTTACGGACATACTTTACGGAAAACTCGGGATCGGTCTCTTCAGCAGTGCCCCTATTGGAAGCGCATAAGGCCACGGTGCGGGGTCATGTTATACAACTGGCTGCAGTCCGGAAGCGGGAGCGGGGAACGTCGACTCTCGGAGCTTCATTCTCTCCTGGCCTCTGCGGAATGCGCGTTGGAAGTCATCTCCATCCGTGGCCCATAAACGCGCTCGGGGACGCTCTGGCGACAGAAATTGGTGACCTCCTTGCCTCTTCGGAAGGCGGAACGGGCCTTGCGTTGGACCAAACATTAAATTCTATTCCTGTGCTAATAAGCCCGGTCCCATGCTAGCCAGGAAACTCAATTCTGTGGGGAAACCCCATCAAAACCGATTCGGCTTTCCACGGGTGGCTGTACTTCTAATCCCCAGCAGATAGTTTCCCGATTCTCGGGACTTCCTTTCGGCCTCTATGCTGCCCCAGATCCCTTCCCTGTGGCCCAGGCAGAGGCATTCTTTCAGGACCTCCATCTTCTGGATTAACCGCGGCAGCACAGGTGGCCCTCAACGCAGGTGTCACCGTACCGGAAGTGCTACAAGCAATCAAATCTTTACGGTCCACCGCGGCCCCAGGTCCAGACGGCTTCTCCGGTCTCTATTATAAAAAATTCTCAGCCCTATTGGCGCCCTTTTTAGCTGCCCCTACTTTAATGAGTTACGACCAGGGCTCCTTGCCCTCTCCGGACGCACTTAGGGCACATTATCTCTATGATTCCTAAGACGACCGCTGATGTCCAGGAACCGCAAGCCTTCCGGCCCATCTCTCTTCTTTAATGAAGACTTTGAAAATATTGGGCAAGATCCTTAGTTTTCGCATCAAAAATATTTGTGTAGCCTGGTCCACACAGGGACCAAGTAAGGGGTTCGTCCCCGGAGGCAGGCGGGGGGGGTGATAATGTCCGTAAGGTGGTCCATCTTATACATTTTCTGCAACAACGGAAAATCCCAGGATTCTTACTGTCCTTGGGACATATATAAAAGCTTTTGATTCTCTATCCTGGGAATATCTGCGGTTTGTGCTGTCTCGCTGGGGTTTCGGGGATTCTATTCTCTCTTGGATTCAAGCCTTGTATTCCTTTCCTTCGGCTTCCGTTAAATACGCTGGGTATTTCTCGGATCCCTTTCCTGTTGGGCGAGGAGGGACGAGGCAGGGCTGCCCGCTGTCCCCGGCGCTCTCTTTGTCCTGGCGCTTGAGCCACTGGCTTTAGCGCTCCGGAAACCGACTGCAATGTATCGGGAGTTCCATACGCGGGACAGGAGTTTAAGCTGAGCCTCTTTGCGGACGATGCCCTCTTGACCCTTACTAATCCTCTGACGACGCTTCCTAATTTGCAACGGGTTCTTGAGCACTTTTCCTTGATCTCGGGTCTACGTATTAATTTGGATAAAACCGTTGCTCTCAATATTCACTTTGGCTTCAGATTTGGTTTCGCAGCTACAATCCCACTTCCCTTACCGGTGGGCTTCCTCTTTTCTGGAATACTTGGGCATTCGCTTGACCCCCACCTATGACTCCCTTTTGCTGCAAATTATTATCCTTTGCTTAGCTCCTTATCTTCTCTTATGCATTCCTGGCAATTTCCGCACTGTCTTGGATAGGACGGGTTCATTCAGTGAAAAATGACCATCTTGCCGAAATTGTTTATTATTATTTTCGCACCCTCCCAGTGCAAGTTCCCCCTCATTTTCTTCGCGTTGCTTCAGGCTGAATGTTTATGCGTTTTATCTGGGCCAATAAGCATCCCAGAGTTTCTAGAAATACGATCTTTGCTCATAGACTCCAAGGTGGTCTTGGGGTACCCAATGTAACCTAAGTATTATCAGGCGGAGCCAAATTGCCCCGCTGTCTATGTTGCCACGCTCCTCCATATGTTCCTCTCTGGGTCCTGCTGGAACTGCCTAATTGTGCCCCTATCGCACTATCGACACTTCTATGGCTTCCCCCTGTCCCTGCGCCCTACGGTGCTGAGTCCGATCAGTTGCTCCATGGCCTACGAGTCCTGGGAATCGGTACGTTACTCCAAGTGGCCTGATGTCACACCCTTTCTTGCCTTGCTTCCAATCGTTAATAATAACCACTCTTGTCCGCCGGGTATAGAGTTCACCCGAGGTGTATTTTCTTGGTGGGTGGCTATCATGGTTTCTCACAGGGTGCGACACTTTTTGATTTTTCGGTCCTTTCCCACCTGGACTTGGTCCTCCGGCGAGTCTCGGGATGTTCCCGCCAGCGGAATTTTTTCGGTACCTTCAATTGCGGCACTGGCTACTCTCGTCTGAGGGCACTTCTGCTTTCCCATATCAGAATCTGCCTTTGAACGGCTTTGCCAGCAGCGCTCCCGGGCGCCACCGGGCCTTATCTCCTTCTTTACGCAGCTCTTGAACAGCATGCTCGTTGCACACTTTCTCATTCATATGTAGTTCAGTGGGAACGCGACCTGGGAGTGGCTGTGGATCCGGAGGACTGGAATAAAGCCTGGTCACTCATAGCTAAATGTTCGTTTAATACGACCACGCTGGAAGCAGCCTATTAAGGTATTGTTTCGTTGGTATTGGGTGCTCGCTCTGTTTGGCCCAGGATAACCTGCCTGTAGTGATCGAGCCGTTTTCGGGGTTGTGGCCATCGTGGCGATGTACTGCATATCTGGTGTGGTCATGCCCGAGGTTGGTTCGTTTTTTGGTCTCGTGTGTGTTGGGGGGGGGCCTCCATTTCACTTTGTTTCCATCTCTCCATACGCCGGGATGCTCGGTATGCTTTGCTTTCATTGGCCCCATACCGGGGCTCTTGGCTCGTCAGCTAGCGATTGGCTTCTATTTGTTTTTATCAGCCACTAGCAATTGCCCAGGCCTAGGAAGAGGTCCGTTTGTACTTTTTCAGGGGGTGCGGGATCGTCTATGGGGAGCTAAATGATGCTCAATGAACAGATGTCGAGTATATGCAATGACTCTCAACATAAATTTTTGAAAAATATATGGGAACCGTGGTTGCAATATCCCTTTCCCACGCTCCACCCCCGGCCAGTTTGTAGAGGAGGTGATGGAGTTTGTAATTGGCGCTCATGGACCCTTGCTCTCTGGTGTGTGATTTTTGTTTTTTTTCTCTCTTTCTTTCTTCTGCTTCTTTTCTTCTTTCCTTTTCTGTTTGTTTTGATGTGACAGTGGACAGCTGTCTTTAGTTGCGATAATCTGAGTTTCACTGATGTTATTGTTACCTATGTGCCATTGATAGCCCCTACCGTGGGCATACGATTTTTTGCACTTATTGGAATTAGAGCGTTGTCTGCTCTATTATACATTTTTCTTATCGGTGCAAAATTGATAGCGCCCTGCCGGTGGGTGAGTGTTTTGTGTTGCCTCTCAGTTTTATACTGTTTAAAATTAATTAAAAACCATTGAAATACAAAAAAATAAATAAATAAATAAATAAATAGTAAGGTGTTGTCACTTACCTATAGCAAACCCTTTTTTGAAAATGGGGACTTTTGTATATATCGTAATACATGTTTACGCTGGCCAACTATGACAAAGTGGATCACCGCTAGCCTAATCTAGAGATCCTATTCTATCTTGCAGATTTGCCACCTCTTAATTGCGAAAATAGCTAATCTTGTGTTGTACATATAATATAGTGACCATATGGGACAGACATAGGTGGAGATGAAAAGCTCTGGACCAACATTCAGATCTCTATTTTCTACTGCATGGTGCAGGTAGTAACAACTAAGGGCAGGGATACTTGAAGGTGCCAATATTTACTGGCTAAACGTTTGTTTTCTGTAAGGTCATCCCTTTGTATTACACACTGATTAGTTTGGTGGGGATATACTGGATTACTAGATAACTACTTTTACTTGCTGGTGCTTACGCATACTTTATATACACACACATACACATTTTAATTTCTCCAGGAAGATATGTGCCCACGCAACTCATTAAAACCAGTAAATCAGTGCAAACACAAGGTGCATAAAAAGACCTGGCCACCTTGTTACAGCCACTGCATCAGCATTTTTCCACATGGAGGTCTATAAGGAAACCTCCAACATAAGCCAGAAATGCTGACAGTGGCAGCTTTAAGACCTAGAAAAGGAAGTTCTTGGCCTGAAGCCTTTTTCAAAAAAAAAAAAATGGAGGCTTCATAGATCCTCTTATTCAGCTTGGGTATTTCCTAATGGGAAGTAATCACAAAATATCTGTAAGTAGATTACCTAGTGAGTGGAGGCTTTCATGAATTTAATTTTAGAAAGCACAGGAAAGATGATATCTGAACATGTCCATAACCACTTATGTACCTGATTTCCTTATTAATGGCATCTAATTGCTCCTGCAACATAACCGCGAGCGTTTGAGCGTCTGCCTGGCCACAAGGGGAAAGAAGATCCACAGAGCTGAAAATGGTGTCTCTGTCGTCCTCCATATCAGATATATCGACATCACTCTCGAAAGCTTGGGCTACATTAGCTAGTACACTAGCTTGCTGGGCTCGTTCCCAGTCCTGCTCATTAAGAGTCTGTACCTAGAGAAACAGAAAACATGTCATTATGGCATGTGCAGTTTTCAAAGGAGGGAAAAAAGTAGAGAAAAAAAGAAAAAAGCGAGGACACTTACGTGCTAAAAGAGAAGATCCAGAGAGTGAAAAAGAGAAAAAGAGAACAAGACATTTAAAAGCAAAGCTCAAGAGAAGTGCTCAAAGAGCAGAACTATTAGTAGTCTATACAGTGGTGGGCAACCTTTTTTTTCAACTGAGCCAAATCTCGCCAAAACCACGATTGAAATTTATTTTGAGAGCCACATTTTTAAAACTGAAAATACATCCCCCATATAGTAATTCATCCCCCATATAGTAATTCATCCCCCCCCATATAGTAATTCATCCCCCTATAGTAATTCATCCCCCATATTGTGTCAATTCACTTACCTTTGCTCCGCGCGTTCCTTTCGCCGTGTTCCCGCGCCGTTCCAGTCTTCAGGGCGGACTGTGAGAGGAGAGGAGTTCGTCACGCTGCCCCGCCTACATCCTGACAGCCAATGTTTGCCACGCTCCGTAGTTTGCCCATTGCTGGGCTAGCTGCAGAGTCCTGACTTTTGGGGCGGCCGCCCGAGAGGAGGGAGGGGAGCGGGCGCTCGGCACACAGAAGAGCCGCATAAAAGTTTGTAAAGAGCCGCATGTGGCTCGCGAGCCGCGGCTTGCCGACCACCGGTCTATACCAATCATGCATCAAACAACCAGGGCACAACCACAACTTCCATCAAAACCACCTGAAATCTGAACAGATAATTGCTGGAAATGAATGTCAGAGGCTTCCTGGGTAAAGTGCTATTATTGGAAGGTTAGGTCTAAAACACTGTAACCTACTCACAGATTGTTACATGCATGAACCTCCTAAAGCCCATGTTCAGTCAAAACTTTCACTTTCCTTTCTACTTTTAGATAGAGCAGGGAATGGTTAGAAGCGCTTTCAGGTTCTTATTACTGTCTGTGTGCCCATTTGAAAGAATTACCATCACTTCCTATCCCATAATTTTAACAGAAGTGAGATTAATCCCATCTTTAAAAAAAAGTGTCAACAGAAAAGGTGTCCCCACTAAAAATGTCTCTTCTGATCTTGGGAAGCAACAAAAACATTTTTTTCTTATTTAAGGCAGAAGGGCAGAGTGTCAGAATTTTACTGCAGTACGTCTCTTTCTGTCTGAATGACACCTGTGCCACTAACGTCTTGTCCTGCTGACAGTTAAAAGAAACCTAACTCAGGGTTTTCATCCTTTTTGACCTTCCTGGAAGATGGAAGAAAAAACGGAAAATGTTTTGGGCCACATATAAAAATACACCAACAATTAGGACAGCTTATGAGCAGAAAATGTCGGGCAGATCACAAGTTAATGATCACTGATATAGATAACGTACCAGAGAAATAACACATTTTTTTTTTATTGTAAAAGAGGGCAACATAAAATTAGTGTGATATTTGACAGTTTTTGATAAACTGATGCATCAATAACTGGTTCAATGGGTGTAGTAGTAAACCTCAAGGTACTCATCAGATATTTTGGTTCTAATTTTGTGTACTTCATCCCTGAAAGTAGTTGCTCACAAATATAGGTGAAGAGTGGGATTTTTTTCTTTGGGAAGATGAAACTTATAAAAGTCCAGTAAATTGACACTGTCAAATTTTTCTTTGGATGCTCGTGTTCATTAAGTGTAAACACATTTTTACAAAAAATTCCCTCCAAAAATAAACTTTTAAGTAAGTTTACGATTTTGTGGTGGGCTGCATTTATAGCCGTCACAGGATGCATGTGCCCCATGGGCCGCGTTCAACACCCCTCTTCTAAGCTGTCCCACCCTATTCAAAATTGTTGAAAAATGAAAAAGAAAGATTTGACTGGAGTTGGACTTGCATGGCACTGTGTCACTAAGTTCAAAATGTTTATACTCTTACATCCTGCTGATCTTAACTGTTCAAAGCTGGAGACTCTGGCAGAATCTTTACATTGGATACTTCTGGGAGTGGGAGATGCCCATGTCCCCGTCATGTGCTGTGGTTCCATCTGTTGACCTATACGTCACTACTTAAGAGCCCTGTAGTGACATAGTAGCCAGCAGGACTAACCATACAGTATAGTGGGGATCAGGCATCTGATACACCCAGAAGTGTATCAGAAGTGGAGCGGCCACTGCTCTGAAAGAGGCAGAAAGACTTTTCTGTGGTTCTTTCTGATCCCAGTTTCACTTTGTTATCAAGGGCTCAACTTCCTTAAAGGCCAACACCATCTTTAGCAACATGTTCCACCTGTATTTATGGTTTAACATGGAAAATGCTTCTATTAAACAAGCCTCACACCCTGTAACAGCATGCGGGGGTTCTTCTCCCCTGCAGTAGCTGTCAAATTAAAAATTGGCGCAGCTGTATGGGGCTCTGCATGAACAGCCATGTCATTCATTCACAGATATCTGCGAATGTACAAACTACAAGTCCCACCTGTCACCATGGCAGACCGACTTGTAGTTTTCAACAGAACACAAGTGCGGTAATCAGCACACTTGTAGTCTATTGACACTTCCTCCAGCTCTCTGACTGAAAGCCCTACAGAAGTAGAGGCAGAGTTGGAGAAAGTTTGTAGGAGTCTGACATTGCAACCCTGATCCTGCAAAAATATGTGCATTTATTATTTTTTTTTTTTTATAAAAAGGTGAAATTGGCCTTTAATAGCACTTCTACGGATCACCACTTTGGCCAATATGAGCCCTTAGTAAAAATGAAACTAGGAACGGAGGGCTGCACAGAAAAACGCTTTTCTGACTAAAAGGTAAGCAGCTCACAAAACCTACTCTTAAGACAGTGAGGGCTTTTACATCTGAATGTTTAAACTTGAAGAGCTCCCTTTAAAAACAACTCCACCCAAACCAGTTTTATTCCTTTCTGGGAGGGACCGGGTTTGGTTTAATCTACTGTATGGCTCTCATTTTGGTCTAGGATCCAAGAAAAATTGCATCACAACAGGTGTCTTGCTACGGATTTTCCATAGGACTATAAAAAGGACCAGCGACCCCCTCTTTCCATTCATACATTTTTTTCACAAAAGATTCACACAACTTTCACAAAATTTTTAGACTGGATTCCATTGGAAAACTTGTGTGAATCCTGGCTGAAAGTTGTTTGAATCTTGTGTGAAAACAGGATACTGTACTGCGCTGGATCATCATCTTGTAAGATTCTGGCTACTCTGCATTCCCTGGGTTTACGTCGGAAGGAGAATAATGGCTTCCCCTACAGTACAGCAGCTGGGGGAAAGGTATATTTAAAAAAAAAAAAAAAAAGTAATACTTTTTGCTTAAGGTTTTGTTTTTTTTTGCTTTTTTTTTAACCGATTTAATGTTCTAGCATGCTTGTAGTGCAAGGTTCATTGTAAATCTTGGTGACGTATTTTTCTACATACATAAAATAAACAGTATACCTTTGAGGGCTCATCGCGAAGAGCAGCCAACCGTCCTTTTTGCGGCCTTCGTAGAACCATTGCAGAACTATAAGAGTCTGAGTGGCTGTCGGATAAAGAGGAAGGAGCAAGAGCATATCGAAAGTCGGGCACACTGCCAAGGTGAGGCCGGCTGTACGGAAAAAGCATGATTTGTAAAATCACGGTTTCTTTTTTGCATCAAAAGGATTTTACTTACCAAGCCTTACACAAAAACGAACAGACCATTATCAAGAACTAAAGCTAAACCCCAGGCAAATCGCTAAATACACAGATGGAACACATACAAAGAAGCAGTTATACCTGACAATGTATACATTTCTGTCTTTCCATTCCTGAGATTTACACAGCCCCCTCAAAAAACATAGCTAGGAGGCCACCAACCCTTTAGATGTTACAGTTATAGGAAATGGAAAGAATGTAGTGTTGTCCTCTCCCCACTCTCAGTCTGCTGACTGGACAGTTAAGAGCAGCAGCACACTGATCAGGTCCTCTGTTTTCTCTGCAATTAGCATGTTCCCTCTATGCACATTTGCCTGCAATACAACTGATTGGCTCCTCATCCATACCCCACCCTCTCCAAGTCTGAGTGCTGCAGTACAGAATATTGCAAAATGTGAATATCAAGTCAAATTCAGATACTTACACTAGCTTCAGTTAAAAATATATTTAATGATTCACTAAAACATAGCTGAACTAACATGCTTCTTTTATATCTGCATGGTGTTTAGCTTTAATACAAAGGCTTATGAAAACTACTGGGTAGACAAGAGCAAAATGTTTATCTGCTGGCAGATCCTATTAATCTAACTATGCAAATGAGGATTTATCAATTCGCTTCAACATTAACTGCGGTAGATCTGAAAAATTATTGACAAATTGTAACGGGATGCACAAAGTATTCAGTATTCAGTATTCAGATAAAAAGTGCTCATATGTACTGACTTAACTTTTGCATGCAATTAATAAAACATTTGCTTTTGTGATTTTACATATACTCAGTTGGTTCATGTCCATTTTTCTTGCGAACACCAGAGGTGTATTGAAAGTCCCACCTAAGCATTTATTTTTAGAGTGTTCATAACCCAGGAAGATGCAACGGGTTAAAAAAAAAAAAAAAAAAAAAAAACAAAAAACAAAAACCACACACTACATTTTGTATCCCAAAATGATAATTAAGAAGTGAACATACCTATGGTGAAGGGATGCTGCCCGTATCCTGACTTGCTCATTTTCGGCTCTCAGTGATTCTATTTCAAGCACTAGCTGATCCTATTTTAAAAGGCCAAAAGAAACAGAACAGATATTCACGTCTGATGGTTCAGTTTATAGAATTGGATGTCTAACAGAATGCAGGAGTACAGGGAAAGGAGATTTTTACTCTTAGTATTCCAAAAGATTGTTAGCATTGTGTTGGAAGATTTAAGTGCAGCAATCACCTTGGCATACTGCAAGTTCAGACGTGGTTAAAGTGACACTAAGCTCATGTTTATTAAAATCTATTAAAGAATGTATCTTAAATCAAGAAGGTATCGTCTTTGCTCTCAGCGTCCTCCAAATTCTTCTTTTTGCTGCTGTAATCTGACTTCCCGTTAGAGGGAATGGTCCCATTGTATGAAGGAATGTAGCCACTCTCTCTTGCTCGCTCCTGAAATGGACTATGTGATGTGTAGTGTGCACAGAACAGTTCACATGACCACAGCATGCACTGCTTGTTCCAAACAGTAGTGTTTTCAGTGTTTTAAGCTTGGATAAATAAGTACCACAGATCAGTTCTGTAATAAAGTGGAAGGGTCTCTTACAAAAGCATATTTAACCTTAGAGCATATGAAATTAATATTTATTAATATGTCAGTAGGGAGGGTTTAGTCCCTTCATCAAGTGTACCCTATCTATCTTGGTGACCACTGCCACTAACACAGAACATGAAGGGAAATCCAAAACTTTTGAGCTGTCACCAGACCAAGAGGTGAGGACAAATCATTCAAACAGGGACACCTGTTCCTGTAACAATGCCCTAAATCGGGAAATCCCTACACTTTTCACAGATTACCTTCATTTTCTGTTGCATTTTCAGGGCAGAAGTGAAGGGAAATCTCCTAAGCAGGACAGACTGCAAAAAACAGCCTGATAGGGAGTTTAACCTTTCCCTACTATATAAGAAAGGAGTCGTTCTGGGTAAATATGAAAGCAATCAGAGAGCTACTAAACTATCAACCAAAGTCTGAACTGGGATGCTGAAATTGTTGTTTTTTTTTAATTTGCACACCTCTTATTGTGAACAAATGTCTTATCTCAACCTTTACAAAGGGAAGTGATTGTAATTTGAGCATTTGCTTTCTTTAGTGGTTTATGCACAAATATATATATCTATTCAGTACAATAACTAAAATATGGACGCAAAAGAACGTAAAAATTACTTTAAAACAGGGCTCCAATGAAAAAAAATAAATTATTAACCCAATAAAAGATAAAACAAACCAGCTATCGCTACAAAACCTCCCTTCAAACTAAAGATTTACTCTTCACTTTCCAGTTTGATGACCAGCATCATTCAACCCCCTCTTCCTCAAAATCCAGGTCTTCCTGGACCTATCCCATCCTGTGAATGGACAGGCAAAGGTGAAACAGCACAGTGATGAGCTCATCTGTATCACTCTGCTCCCTCCTTCTATCAGCATGCTTCTAGTCAGCACAAACTGATTGGTTCCTTATACTTCTGTTTCCTCTCACACTCCATATTGTACAGGGACTGCAAAGTGCTGATATCGGGTCAAACGTAGTTACTTCTATAGTGACTGCATTTGAAGAAATACATTCAATGATTAAGGAGAACAGAGCAGCATTTTCTAGTGTTCTTATCGGTCTAGAGCTCAGCTTTAAAGTGTAAACTAAAGGCAAAACTTTTTGTTGCTTTGCATTTTTTGGAGTGGAGAGGGATTAGAATACCTCTTAGGCTTTTACTGCTGTGTGTCATTCTCTATATTTGTCCTGGTGACATATCACCTTGAATGAAGGAAAATACTGAATATTTAGTTGTCAACAGATCAGGAGTAGAGGATAAAGCTTCCTATGGTGACCCTTGTTGAAATTTCCCCAATGGGCAAAGATAGCTATAAAAAAAAAAAACTGACAGGGTTTTCACCCCCCCCCCCCCTTACTCTACCCATAAAAGTTTTGCCATTAGTTCTATTAAAGCAATAAGTAAACAAATGTGACCATAAGAAATACTCTATAATCTATTTAACTTATAACTTAAGACATGAGAGCAACCAGAAAGAGGGTCAGACATTGTGATCACAATTTCATATATAGTAACTGTACATAGCTGAAAAGGTATGCAGCATACAGTCCCAAGGTTGATCAAGGTTTGTACATGTGGACACGGCTCCACAAGGGCACAACCATATAACAAGTGATAAGAGGGAGATTATCTGATGTTAGCAGTAAACAATGTGTTTACCATATGAACAAAGCCACAAAATTGATCTGAAATGTTTAATATAGCTACAGAACAACATATTATAAACAATAACATTTAATTTACAAAATTCTAAAATGTATTTATTTATTTTTTAAAATAATGGCTCTGGTATCAAGGGCTTTTAAATAATAATAACAATAACAGCTGCAAGTGTGTACATCATCAAGCTGTCTTACAAGTGGAAGTGACATGGGTGGCTATGAAGCCACCCAATCATGTGAACAACCAAAGAAAATGCAACTACACACAGAGCCCATAGGTTCAGGAGGTGCAGGCAGAGAGCTGGAGGAAGTCTGCAGGAGCCTAACATTGCACCCACAATCTACTCATGGGTGCAATTGCTTTGCAGGCTCCTGGGGGAAAAAAAAAAAAAAAGTGCATTTATTATTTTTTTCCTAAAAGGAAAACCTATCCTTTAATCTTAGGGGGCCTAAAATGTATATTTTAAAATGTCTGCAAGAAATGGTTCCTGGACTGAAGTGGTTAAAGAGCCAAACCCACCTTTTCATGCTGGATTTCCTCAATGAGTTTCTTGGCAGATTCCACATCTCTAATTAAGGCATTCTAAAGATGAAAATAAATTTTTTTATTGCAGCATAATCTAGCAAAATGTTTATAAACTAGGTTTTTACTGTGCTATACATCATAAAGTCATTTGTAACATCTTTTAAAAGCCAGTAAACACCCGAGAAAAAAAAAGTCTCCATTGTGCTTCTAATAGGATACATTACTAATGTAGAAGCACATAAAACACATTAATTGGTTAGAACAGTAGCTAAGTGGTGTGCAGTGCTGCTGTGCACTGCCACTTCCCAGCAAGGATGATACCATCATAGAGTAGAGACTCCTGCAGGTACTTCTGTTTCCTTTCATAACTTTCCATTAATTATCTGTCCCAGCACTGTATGTGAATGCAGTAAGGACTAGCCCTAAAGGCTCCTTTGGTAGCAAATAATAATGTAATTGTTTTTAATTACGCTGTAGTACAATATAATATGCCCCCCCAACCAACATCCGTTATGATTGGACATGGCAGTATTTTGTCAGCAGGTTTCAGCCAATGATTCATGGATGATACCTGCTGATCGCCTGTGTTCTATCACAGCCCAGAGCCCTGTGTTGACAAACACATGGGCTCTGTACAGAGGGAATGATCTGTGTATTTCTTCTCCCTGAAAAGCACGAAGAAGAAAAACTGATCTTTAGTAAAAAAACAGCACATACTACACACATTAACAGTTGTTAGGCACAAATTTAACCCCATGATTACCCCTAGATGTTAAATGCATCCCAGCCAATGTAATTAGTACAGTGACAGTGTATAGTATTATCACTGATCACTGTATTATTGTCAATGGTGATGTCAGTCAGTCTGTCTGTGTCTCCCACTCAGTGGGAGATAGCCCAGATATCACAGTCCCACTACAAGTCACTGATCACCGCCATTACTACTATAAAAAAAACAAAAATTCCAGTATACATACCATAGTTTGTAGACACTGAATTTCACACAAACCAATCAAAATACACTTATTGCAATTTTTTCATCAAAGACATGTAGTAGAATACACTTTGGCAAAAATTTAGGGAGATTTTTTTTCTTTATTGGCTATGCTTTATAGCAGAAAATAAAGGATTTTTTTCCTAATTTTCACTTTTTTAGTTTATATAATTACAAAAAAAAAAAAAAAAAAAATGAAAAACCCAGTGGTAATCATATACCACCAAAAGAATGCTCTATTTGTGTGGGAAAAAAATTATATAAATTTAATTTGGGTTCAGCGCTGCATGACCATGCAATTACCAGTTAGTAGCAAGAGCAGTATTGAATACCAAAAATCACGTAGTCATTAATGCAGCAAAACCTTCTGGAGTTTAAGTGATTAAACCTACCCAGCTACTTATATGACAAGAAGCAAGCAATACCTTATCTTCTATAGATGCCATCCTCTCCTTGAGGTGAAGTTGTAGCCTCTCATTTGACTCTGACAGAAGCTTGTCCACAGTTTCAGATAACGCTTATTATGTTCCTCGTTCATCTTCTCTCTCTGTCGGGCCTAGTACAAAGAAAGTTTGGTAAATACCGTCTCTGAAGAGTACCTATAGACTGGTTCTGTAAAGCTGCTGCTCGGAGCTGTCATTTTCACAGTTCGCTTTATTTAGAAACAGGCATTCTCAGATTCTATTAATAGCTGTAATGCTAATAAGTGTTAGGAGTGTCGGATTTAAAACCCTGAAGGAGAGGAGAATTGTAAGGAGACACTGCAAGGGAAGACTGGTAAACCTAATGAGACTGCAGCCTCCTTAAAAACAAACATTTATTGGTGATCTTGTCTTCAACTTAAATTTTAACTTTGGCCCAATGCCCCCACAAAAAATGTGCTGGAGAATGTAATTACAAGTGCATCTGCACTTACAGTTTTCTCTTAGTCCTGCAAAATCTCACAAATACCTGTTGATCCTGCAAGTCAAGTCCACCTCATACAGATTCCTGCAATGGTGTGGCAACAATGCTGCACTGCTTCTGAATTCAGAGCAGATTAGCCACTCAAATGGAAGGCTGTGTATGCTTGCACTACAGTGGGATGAGAAAATGTTGCAGAGGGAGTGGCTATCAGAATTGTAACTGCCAGTTCACAAACCTGTAGCTCATCAATCAGAATGTAGCCAAACCCAGACCTGCCCGCACCGCTCTGGTTGCCGATATTCCCCCCCCCCCCCCCCCCCCACTATGCGCTGCATGTCTGGGTGGAGGAGAGTGTGGGGAACAAAAAAAAGGTTTGGCTCAGTCAGGGAAGGTAAAGGACTTTTTTTGTTAACTTAAGGCTTGTCCATTACATAGCAACTGGATTTGGTACTTGCTAAGACTGATAGAGTAGTCTTTAGCTGTATTTTAAGACATTCAGAACTTGTACCAAGTTAAAGCAGAGTTCCACCTGAAAATAAATAAATAAAAGTCAGCAGCTACAAAAACTGTAGCTGATAACTTTTAAAATACAGACGCTTACCTGTCCCGCAGTCCAGCGATGTTCTCACCATCGCTGGTTTCACCGGCCGTCTTCTCTCCCTGGCACTGGCATCTTCAGTGTGGGCAGCCGGGTGCCCACTGCACATGCGTGAGAAGCGGGTACCTGTCAAATTCAGGTACCTGCTTCCCCCCCTTTAACGAGGAGCGAGGGACAAAGGCTTAAAGCAGAACGTCTCCTGAGTGGAGCTCCGCTTTAAGTCTACATGCAAGTGAGGATTCATGCAAAGAAACTGCTGTCATTTTATATCTCACTCATAAGCTTGATGAATTTGCTTTGAATCTAGGAGCCAGCTAAAGTCAGGAGACAGTTTTTTAAATCAGCCGTCCGGGGCATCGGGCAATAGATGGTTCACGCCTGGTGCCAAACAAAAAATACCGAAAATTAAAAAAAAAACAAATAATTACTTTTTTTTAGCTTCTGTTATAAAATTTTGCAAATAAGTAATTTTTCTTCTTCACTGATGTGCTCTGATGAGGCTGCACTGATGAACACTGATAGGCTGCACTGATGGGCACCGATTAGGTTGTAAAAGAAAAACACAAAAGGGAGCACTCTCCTCGTGCATTACCGTGGTTACAAATGAATTTAGTAAAAATTTAACAAATGGATACTTACAAAACAAATGTAAAAAAACGAACATGAAGACAAATGAGTAAAATCTTAGCTTTGAAAAAGGGAGTTCTACTCCTAAAACGCATCAGATTTTTTCCCACCGGGTAACATCATTACAGGACTCCAGTCGTGTGACATTGACCCATTTGGCTTCATGTTCATTTTTTACATTTGTTTTGTGAGTAACTGTTTTGTGAGTATCCATTTGTTACGTTTTTAATAAATTAATTTGTAACCACGGTAATGTATGAGGAGAGTGCGCCCTTTTGTGTTTTTCTTTTGCTAGTATCAAGACTACCCCATCTTTAGAAGGCTGCACCTCACCAAGTGACAGACACTGTTTTACATGTGGAGCATAAAGGTTACAGTGCTGGTGTCTGTTTCCTTTGGAAGTACCGATTAGGTTGTATTGATAGTGCAGCCTGTCAGTGCCCATCAGTATCCTCTGATAGGCAGCACTAATGGCCACCAACGGGCACTAATGAGGAGTCACTGACTGGGCTGCATGGATAACCAGATTGGATCTGTTCTGTTGACGAACTGAAGCAATAGCTAGCTGCCCCACACTCCTTGTCCACTCACCGGAAGAATCTGGCACCCATAACTGCAATCCCAGCACCCATCTGTCAAACAGGGAAGGAGATGTCGGAGCTGTGTGGACAGTGAGAGCAAGCAAAGGGAAACTCAGTCAGCATGGCAGGTGTACCGTGCTCATCACAGCCCCACCTACCAGAGGAGGACACTGTTTCCCACAAATGAGTGCTAGGTCCTGCTCCAGCAGGCCACAAAACCACAGCCTCAATTACCAGACAGTCCGACCACTGCACCCTTGGGTGGGCCACATGGGAATACTGAGTCCAGATTACCGCTGCAGTATATAGCCCAGGTGCCAGGATGCAATTTCCAGTTGCCATGGCGACCTGGTGCCTGGGATTTGTCGAGCCCTGCGATATCTGTAATCGAAGATGACCAACTGTAATGTATCCTAACTACAATGTTACATAATTTTTAGAAAAACTCTATATTGAATTTAAGATTTTTACATGCTTATGGCCAGTAACATAACAAAACTGAACAGGGATCACAAAAAGCATTTATTTCTTAAAGCGGTATTAAATCCAAAACCAAAAAAGTAACTATTGCAGCTTACCAATCATTAAATGTGGTGGCTGCATTAGTTTCCATTTTTCAGGTTTTTCTCTTTCCGTGCCCCCACTCTGAATGAATGAGCACAGGGGACACAGCAGAACTGTCAGTCTGGGGGGGGGGAGGTAGTGCTATCATCATTTAAACATACTAACAATTTGAAGCCCCACTATTTATTCATTTTAAACTTTGAAAAAAGAAATTGTTCAGTTGCTTCCTTGTTTCTGGCCTAAGCAATTGAAACCCGGAAGCCAGCCAGTGGCTAGGCAGGGAGCTCTGGGACACCGCATCACTGGATCTAAGGAGAGTATAGATCCGCTTTAAACAGAAGGTACTTATGTCATCACTTTCAACACAATTCCAAAAAATAAAATGGGTATTCTTCATTTTAAGTGGTTGTGATGAAACCTTATATTGCCAAAAGTATTGGGACACCCCTCCAAATCAATTGATTCAGGTGTTCCAATCACCTCCATGGTCACAAGTGTATAAAATCAAGCACCTAGGCATGCAGACTGCTTCTAAAAACATTTGTGAAAGAATGGGTCACTCTCAGGAGCTCGGTGAATTGAAGCGTGGTACTGTGATAGGTTGCCACCTGTGCAATAAGTTCATCTGTGAAATTTGCTTGTTACTAAACATTCCACGGTCAACTGTTAGTGGTATTATAACAAAGTGGAAGCTACTGGGAACAACAACAACTCAGCCACGAAGTGGTAGGCCACATAAAATGATAGAGCGGGGTCAGTGCATGCTGAAACGCACAGTGCGCTGAAGTCGCCAACTGTCTGCACAATAGCTAAAGACCTCCAAACTTGGTGTGGCCTTCAGATCAGCACAACAACAGTGCATAGAGAGCTTCATGGAATGGGTTTCCATGGCCGAGCAGTTGCATCCAAGTCTTACATCACCAAGTGCAATGCAAAGCATCGGATGCAGTGGTGTAAAGCACGCTGCCACTGGACTCTAGAGCAGTGGAGACGTGTTCTCTGGAGTGACGAATCACACTTCTCTGTCTAGCAATTTGACAGGTACCCGCTCCCACTTTCGCCTAGGCGATTGGAAGAAGTTGTCCTCCTACCCTCCCTCCCCGAAGTCTTGTGGGACACGTGACAGGTCCCAGAAGACAACAGGGCCATTCAGAAAGCACAGCACTACTCAGCAGCGCCTGGAATACAGGACAGCAGGTGAAACAGGCACACTGGTCCTGACTAGTATTACAGTGTTTTGCTCAATTTTTTCCATCACCGAGCTAATGTGACCCCAGCACTGACGGAGAGGGACATGGGAGAGTCAAACAAGGATGCTGTGCAGGTAACTGACATCCTTCCTTATCAACTGATGTCCTTGGTTGTCAGGACACTGGTGGCTGGAAGGTCGTAGTGGCGCACAATGAAAACCTGTGTCTTTGTGTAACAAAAAGTCAGGCATCTTCCACCCGCTGGCTTGTACGCAAGTTTTGGAAAACTTTTAGACATTTTGCCAAGGCACCCTGGTTGAGAAAAGGCATAAATAGCTAAAGGTCACTGTATAGCAGCTGTAAAGAGACAGTCTTTAGTCCTAACTTTTCAGCCGGCTAGTGCTAGGGCCCAATTGTACAGTTGGTGCACCTGAGAATGGTCCCATTTAAGCCTGCAGGTAGCAATAAGGCTACAAGATGGCTGTATGGTCAGTTCCTAAAAGGCTCAATCTCTCCCTCTCTAGCAGCAGATAGTAAACCCCCACAACAGCAGCTCACCAATCCCATCAATACTGCAGCTCACCATCCAGTCACACACAGAGATTAGTCCATTCTCTATTCTGCACCCAGGTGACTCTGGCTGTTAATACCAGCAAACTCAGTGCTCCAGATCCCGCTCAGGCTGTCGATATGCAGCAGCAATGGTGCACGCTCTATAGCCATGCACACTCTCCACTCTCCCTCACAGCAAGAGGAAAGCTACAGTCAGGTCCATAAATATTGGGACATGGACACAATTCTTACATTTTTGGCTCTATACACCACCACAATGGATTTGAATTGAAATGAACAAGATGGGCTTTAACTGCAGACTGTCAGCTTTAATTTGAGGGTATTTACATCCAAATCAGGTGAACGGTGTAGGAATTACAACAGTTCGCATATGTGCCTCCCACTTGCTAAGGGACCAAAAGTAATGGGACAGAATAATCATAAATCAAACTTTCACTTTTTAATACTTAGTTGCAAATCCGTTGCAGTCAATTACAGCCTGAAGTCTGGAACGCATAGACATTACCAGATGCTGGGTTTCATCCCTGGTGATGCTCTGCCAGGCCTCTACTGCAACTGTCTTCAGTCCCTGCTTGTTCTTGGGGCATTTTCCCTTCAGTTTTGTCTTCAGCAAGTGAAATGCATGCTCAATTGAATTCAGGTCAGGTGATTGACTTGGCCATTGCATAGCATTCCACTTCTTTCCCTTAAAAAACTCTTTGGTTGCTTTTGCAGTATGCTTTGGGTCATTGTCCATCTGCACTGTGAAGCGGCGTCCAATGAGTTCTGAAGCATTTGGCTGAATATGAGCAGATAATATTGCCCGGAACACTTCAGAATTCATCCTGCTGCTTTTGTCAGCAGTCACATCATCAATAAATACAAGAGAACTAGTTCCATTGGCAGCCATACATGCCCACGCCATGACACTACCACCACCATGCTTCACTGATGAGGTGGTATGCTTAGGATCATGAGCAGTTCCTTTCCTTCTCCATACTCTTCTCTTCCCATCACTCTGGTACAAGTTGATCTTGGTCTCATCTGTCCATAGGATGTTGTTCCAGAACTGTGAAGGCTTTTTTAGATGTCGTTTGGCAAACTCTAATCTGGACTTCCTGTTTTTGAGGCTCACCAATGGTTTACATCTTGTGGTGAACCCTCTGTATTCACTCTGGTGAAGTCTTCTCTTGATTGTTGAATTTGACACACATACACCTACCACCTGGAGAGTGTTCTTGATCTGGCCAACTGTTGTGAAGGGTGTTTTCTTCACCAGGGAAATAATTCTTCGGTCATCTACCACAATTGTTTTCTGTGGTCTTCCGGGTCTTTTGGTGTTGCTGAGCTCACCAGAGCGTTCCTTCTTTTTAAGAATGTTCCAAACAGTTGTTTTGGCCACGCCTAATGTTTTTGCTATCTCTCTGATGGGTGTGTTTTCTTTAAGCCTAATGATGGCTTGCTTCACGGATAGTGACAGCTCTTTGGATCTCATCTTGAGAGTTGACAGCAACAGATTCCAAATGCAAATAGCACACTTGAAATGAACTCTGGACCTTTTATCTGCTCATTGTAATTGGGATAATGAGGGAATAACACACACCTGGCCATGGAACAGCTGAGAAGCCAATTGTCCCATTACTTTTGGTCCCTTAACAAGTGGGAGGCACATATGCAAACTGTTGTAATTCCTACACCGTTTACCTGATTTGGATGTAAATACCCTCAAATTAAAGCTGAGAGTCTGCAGTTAAAGCACATCTTGTTAGTTTCATTTCAAATCCATTGTGGTGGTGTATAGAGCCAAACATTTTAGAATTGTGTCGATGTCCCAATATTTATGGACCTGACTGTATGTCCTGTACAACTTGAGAAAATGCAGCTCTTTCCCCTCCTCCTGGCAATCTCCCTTTGGTAAATGCAGTTCAAAAGCTCTTGATTATAGTAGAGTTTCACTTATTTGGACTACAGTTTCCACAGTGCAATGCTGCCTCAGTCTATTGAACTCTTCCTGCTCAACAGTTCCCTCCTCTTGCCAACATACAGTAGCTGTTAAGCAGTTCAGCACTGCAGGGCAGCAGCTACAAAGAGCAGCTGCAGCCAGTGTTTCTCTCAGTCTTCGTTCTTAGCCAAGTACCTGGCTACATAGGCTAAACCTAACTAGTCCTAAAACTGTGCCTTCCCTCTTTCTACGCTGACTTACCTGTGTAAGAAAGATGCACATACTTACCTATTTTTAGCTTGCTGCTGTCCGATCATGCAAACCCCTGTTTCAGCCAGAGGCGGTTGCAGGGGAAAGAAAAGAGAGCTCAACAAGCTGGAAAAATCTAGGAGCAGTGACGTCACCCATGGGTTCCCATGGCCCGGCTGTTGTAAATGGGTGCCAAATGCATTAAGGGGCACATTTCCCTAACACTGTCATTCACCTGTATTTCTACAATTATATTTTTCATGATTTTTATGCCAATTATGGAAATATGATCAACCACCATTTGTTAAATCAAAAGATTAACTGTTCTTACCGCTGTAAACTCCACAATCTTCTCCTGCCCAACTGTCTGCTATCATATTCTCTCCTGTACATGCTGTTCTGTCATGACATCCGGTCAGATCTCATCTACTGCATGTACAGACTATTGTCCAGCACATACTTCCCACTGTTATACCTTCTACACCCCACTCCTGCTTATACTTCCCACTAAGACACTTCATAAGCATTGTTTACTGTATGACAACATTTCCTGTCCTGAATAGGCACACTTTTGCTGGTTTTCTTTAATTAGTACAGTACTCCTTAAAGATAACAGAATGAAAAAAAAACAAAAACACAGGACGTTTGCAAAAATACATTTATAATTGGTCCAAAAAAACCTACCCTTTGCAGCTCCTGGTTTTTCTCCTCCAGCTGAGATTCCATTTGTCGTAACCTCTCCTCAATATTGCCATGCCTCTCTTCCGCCTGTTACAAAAGGACAAGAGGGCAGAAAGTGTTATATCAATTTTACACTACATCAGTCTCTTTTGTAAATGGTACAATTGCTCAGTGGGTTTCAAAATAACAAAAGGGTAAACAAGGAAATTGGTGACGGCTTGTGATATGTAGAAGCGAACAGCATCTGTACGCCATGTCTGATCATTACTTTATGACAGATCTGTAAGGTTCACAAAGATGATATAATGTAGAAATCACAGCACTATAGCTGCTTTGATGAATGCAAAGTGGCAAGCATTTATCTGTCGCTCAAAGTCCTTGAGCATGTCGTATGACTCCTGTGCTACTCAGGGCATGCCAATTTTCATTAAGGGGCATATACTGCTATATGGTGGGTGAATAATATGTAACCTTTCACCAGTAAGCAGTCCATTAATAGAAGCATAAAATGACTAATTTGTGAACGGTTTTAAGCGACAATTTCCCAAATGTTGTTCAGCCAACAAAACGACAAGCTGCATTTACATATAGGAAACGTGCTAAGTGCAGGCCCTTCTTTCCTAAACATCAGTACAGGAACTTCAGTAAACTAATCTTACAGAATGGCCTTGGCCATCAAGACTAAAATGATTAAAGGCTAGGACGAATCCTCCTCAGAGAGGGTCTACTTCCTTTACAAAGCCAAACAAGAGATCAGCTTTCTTTATGACAGCTGATACAACAGTGCTAAATAAAGTCTATGACCTTTAAGTGGAGCTAATGAGACTTTTTTTTTTTACAAAAATAGTGAAAAAAGTCATCAAGATAAGTTCATGACTGCAAATGAAAGGTCTAAAAAAAAAAAAGCATACTAAATCCATTAGCAATGTTTTGTAACAGTACAACCAATAAGGTCAAAAGGTTCCCCACTAAACGACAAATATAGCACTTCCACCTTAAAATAGAAGGCATTTACATGTCTTCCCGGCCACCACAAAACAAGATATTTATTCTCATTTAATGACGTAGGAAAAGACCACTGCTGTCCTAACCATGACTGCACACAGTTTTGTCACTAAACAATTTATTTATTTTTAATTGCCCAAGTGTCTGTCTTAAAATGGTTAAAAAAAAAAAAAGAAAAAAGAGTTTTCTGGTGGATTCTGAATGTGTTGCTGGGAATTTTTCTTTCATATAAGTAGTATACCTGCACTTTTTAGAAGTGATAACTACCTTCTGTTTTATGGTAAAGCACTTCAGTTGGTGCAAATCCTACCCAGTGTAACACTTTTTTAAGCGCTTGTGTAGTTGAGTACTTAAGGCCAGTCTTACAGCCTGTCCGAATACAGTCTGCCAAGAACCAAGAGCAATAGACGTTCACAATGAAACCTGTAAAGTACACTACAAACAGAACAACCACCACGTATGCAGGCAACTTAGTACGACATGTCTTGTGCACTTGCACTAGCCATACTTCTATCCAGCATCAGCCTCTGATCTCCGGTAGGCACAAATGTGGCAGTTGCTCTGCTCCACAGGATTCAATAATCGTACAAACAGCAGGTAGTTTTGACAGGCTGACAAACAAGGCCCCAAACACTCTAAACAAGTCCTTGTACCTTTAAAGCAGTAATAAACCCAAAACCAAAAAAGTAATATATTGCAGCTTACCAATCATTAGATTTGGTGGCTGCATTAGTTTTCTTATTTTTATGCTTTTCCCCCTCTGTTTTCAACTGATGATTTGGCCAGTAACACACCTCCTGTATTAGAGTGCCCCCACTCTGGATGATGGAGCACAGGGGGCACCTCTGAAGAGTAGCATTGTGAGTCTGAGGGGAGAAGAGTGTTAGATGTGCTAGCAGATTTAGATACACTAACAAATCTAGCTCACACTTTATAAGCAGTTACAGCAAATTGTTTTTTTCCTTCTGGGATATAGGTTTTACAAAAATATATAATAGTGATCATTGTAAGCACCCCTGTGAGTGTTGAATGTTTTGTCTCATCCTTGTAACTGATACATCTGCAAGTGAGCTTGTTCTTTTCAAAAAGAACAGATTTACTGGCCAGATCAGCAGATGAAAATATAAGAAAGTCAGTCTAAAAAAGAAAACTAATGCAACCACCACACCTAAAAATTGGTAAGCTGCAATTAAATGTTTGCTTTTAGGTTTAATACCGCTTTAAACTCTCCACTGTGAGTAGAACAAAATAAAAGATCAATTTTACTAACATAAAATAGCCTTATCACAATATCTTTTAGCAACTAATATCATTAGAAATGTGTTACTAATTAAGAGGATGTCAATTAGGATAACGGATTAGGGAGTCTATGCACACAGCAGTGCTTAAAGTATAACTAAAGGCAATTTTTTTTCCATTTTCAACAGAGTGGAGATGGATTAAAACTAGTGTCAGGTTTTTATTGCTGTCCGTGTCCCCGTTAGGGAGATTCACACTCTCCATTTGTCCTGTTTACCATTATCACTAAAAGTGAAAGTGTAAGAAAATTCCAAATCTTGGGTTGTCCCCAGAAAAGTAATAGAGGGGAAAATCTTGGGACACTAATTCTGGTGACCCGGGGGTCCCCAAGGGACTCCTTTAATTTGTAGGGACTTCCTCTTACTTCCTCTTTTGGCTATGGACAGGAAGTGAAGGTAAACCTTCCCAATGGGACACAGATGGCGAAAAAAAAAAAAAAATCTGACAGGGGTTATATAACCTTCCTTTTACTCTATCCAAAATGATAAAAAATATGTTTTGCCAATAGTTCTGCTTTAAGCTCCCAACTTTAGTCATCCTTATGACGCTTGTTTACACATTTAAAGCCACTGAATTTCAGCACCTGATTACTCAGCAGCATGACTGTAAAAGGTAAATTTTGTTTATAACTATGTTTTGCAAGACTGATCAAGCAGCATTCTTTTTTGTGAGATGTATCCTGATCAATATCACATTTTTACTGGATGACAGTCTGTGTAGGCAGAAGCAGAACATGCTCTGGTGTTTGGTTAGTGCTTAATGAATGCAGTGCAAAGGATTGCTCAGTAACAGACAACATTTCAGCAACGAAAAGGATGGGGAGGTACAGCCGCTGATGGGTAAATGGCATCCTCTACCTGACGTTCACCAGAAAAAGCAATGGAATAAGCAAGGCAAGAGAACAGTAAGCAAATTCTACCTTCCTAGGCACGGGCGCAAGTCCCAACAGCTTAGATTCCTTAGCAGGAGGCTTTCCCGAAGACAAAAGCTCAGACTACAGAGTCAGAGGATAAGAAAAGTAACAAACACACACATACTTTGATTGCTGAGGCAGAGGGAAAGTGTAAGCAAGGTAACATATACACACACATTTAGTAGGCCTAGTTAATTAGGCCATGCAAAAGAGCAATGACAACATAAAGTTCTAATTGCTAAATCAACTGAATTTCACCTATCATTTTGGAACAATGGAAGATTAATTTTGATTGGTTAAGCATTACTACTCTTGGACATTGCTCTTTGCTACATTAAAGGGACAGCCCACAAATAACTGATAATTTAGTTTTAGTGGATAATGGGGAAGTTAAATCAAGAACTTCTTGGTAGTTTCAGGGTTCAAGTGGTAACATATCTTTTCTCAAGATCAAGGCTAGAACACCTAAAACTGCAATGATAAGAATGTCCCCATCTCCCCATGTGATTTTAATTTACTTAGCGAGACCTGAGGAGTGGAACACCCAAGAAACCGCAGCTTAAAAACTCAGACGACTCCACTTATCACTTTTGAGTGGACTGACCCTTTAAATACACCTTAAAAAAAGCAGAGACTGGTAATGCAAGAAAGTAGCTCAACTTCACTGCAGAGTTAGACAGAGGTACAGAAGATACCAAAACAAAAGAATTAACCAAAAAAAATTTAAAGCAACTGCCATTTAAAAAAAAAAAAAAAAAAAAAAAAAAAAAAAAAAGCTTCCCTGAAAATGAAATGGCTAATACTTAACACTTGCTAAGCCAATCTCCATTTACTTCAAAACTACAATGGCTTTTGCGTCAAAAAAATTTATAGGTGTGGGGACACCTGGTCCCCTGTTGCAGTTCCTTCCATTGACTCCTACTTCACGGTGATACCACAGAGTGCAGAGGGTAGGGGGGGGACCAGGCATCTGACACACAGTGAAGTTTGTTGGAGGTTCAAGTTTTCTCAGCCAAGGTAGCATTTGAAGACAGGGGCAACCTTTTCTGCTTGCAGGTAAGTAGTGTTATTTATTTTTAACTAGTGACAAAGTCAACACCATTTTCTCCACCTCTGTATAATAACTTACAACATAAATAACCTCACAATTAAATAAGATTTGACTGGTTGCAGGAATGGCGTGTAGAGACATCCTACAAGAATACCAAGGGCTGGTCTAATAAACTGATGTAACTTCCACCAAAGAAAGGATTTACCACCCATGTTCCTGCCTTGTTTGCTCAATACTGATTGCCAAGATTTTATAGTTCATCTGCAGCACTACCTGAAAGTGAAAAGTGAAGCCACACAGACATTTTTATGTTAACAGTTTTGTTTGAATAGACACAAAGAATAAAAAAAAAAATCTGAAATAAGTCTTGCAGAATATTTTGCACCAGGCTCCTCCTAGTCTGGTTATATATGATCCACTGCCTTAATGAGAGATCACAAATCCAAATACGTAGGATATGGACATATGACTCCTTAACTAGTCATTCTATGGTTCTATTTAACATGTCATGTGATCAAGCTTAAAGGATTAATTCCCCTTTTCTGAAAAATGAAAAGGTGACCTTACAATGCCCTCCTCACCTCTGGTCCCAGCTGCACTTACCTTAGTGGGTGATCGCATCACCATCCATGCAGCGGTCATGGGGTTTGAAAACCGTGCTGTCCTTACATTTTTTTTCCTTGGGGATGCCCAGACGGATTAGAGCCGTTCTGATTAGAAAATGCCAGCATGGCATGCTGACCAATCTGAACTGCTGTAATCCGTCTAGGTGTTCCTAGGGAAAGAAGAGGAAGAATGGCATGCTTTTCATACTCCAGGACTTCTGCTGCACCAGGATGCATGGATACTGATACTGTTTCCCCCCTTAGAGGTAAGTGCAGTGAGGATGGGGAAGGTGTTAGCTCACCTTTTCACTTTCACCTTTTCTGACATTCTGTTCAGTTATCAGGAGTGAGGAAAAGAAGCCCTGTATAAGCTATGCATCACTGGGTGGAGCTTACAATTCTCTTCCCACTCCTAGGTGACAACACTAGGCCAACCACCAATGTTGTCAGAAAAGTAAGAAGTAAGCCACATGCTCCTCCATACCTGGGAGTTCTGGATGTTTCCATCACATCCAGCATCTCACAGTAGACGAGAAGGAAATTCCAGCATCAAACGGAACCTGCTGCTTTAAACTAAAGCCATGCCTTCAAATTAAAGCATCCCACACCTCATAAATTAAGTTGTAAGTGGATTTTCCCATAAAGCAAAAGTCTAACTATTAAACAGATTTGTTTTGAGAAGTAAAAGCAACAAAATGCACAAATCTCCAATTTATTAATTACTTCAGGAGATTATAGTTACTTTTTCTCCGCAAAGAGAAGTCCTTGCTTTTAACTGACCTTAACAGGTTTGTGATTATAGAAGCATATTTAAATCTAATCGTTGTGAAAAAGTAATTTCAAATCTGTTTAGGCCAACCTCTTGATCAAAGAGCCGAATTACAGAGTGCCTGTGTCCTATCAACATTATTGGCAAAAAGAAAAAAAAAGTGCAACACTTGCGTTAAACACCTGAATAATAAATATTAAGTTATCTGATATAGTATTTACTATCTGTGTCAGTCTAAAAACTCATTTAAAGTGAACCGGTAGCTTGCTTCTCTATTAATGGAGTCGCTGACTCAGAAACAAGCATGCAGCCAGTGGAGATAAAACACATGACCTGAATTGCGGGACTCATTGAATCCCTTTAACAAAAATTTGCCCCCCAAAGACTCACTGATCTGCGATCCAGCTGTGGGTTCTCTTTCAGGTTGAAGTATGCCTAACAACATTCAATCCACTTCCTATGATCCCAGGATCCATCCACGACAGTCACATTGAGCTGCCCTGGGCTCACAGGAGAATGCTGCAAAGAATGTAATGTGGTACCATTCTCTGCAGTATTTAGGACCGTTCACTGTCAGAGGAGCAGTAGCATCTCCGGTATTTCTGTCATGAAAATTTTCCTTAACAGCTCCAGGTCTGAGCTTGTAATAATTTTAAACCATGGAGAGACCTGTTCTTTATGTCAGACACTGGGGCTGATTTACTAAAACTGGAGAGTGTAAAATCTGGTGCAGCAGTGCAAGGTAGACAATTAGCTGCTAATTTCACCTTGTTCAATTAAGCTTTGACAAAAACCCTGGAAGTGGATTGGTTTCTATGCACAGCTGCATCAGATTTTGCACTCTCCAGTTTTACTAAATCTCCCCCTCTGCCTTTGACCAAATATGTAGTGTTCTTCAGGGGAAGGAAAAACATCAAAGTTTACGAAACCTCAGAAATGACAACAAAATAGTTGCTTCTGTCTACATCTTCTGAGGATTGTAAATCGCATACATTTTCATCAATAATGTAATCTAGTTAGAGGGTAAATGACTGTTGTCTAATTTGAATGTATAAAATGCAGCTTTTCAGCCATAGCAAATAAAATCATGTCACATTTCAGGTGTCAGATGTCAGAAAAAGGGTGAACAGGTACACTGTCCAAATATCAATAGGTTAGATATCTAGCTTTGTTCAGTCGAATTCTAAACACTTTTTCTTCTCTCCTATGTCATCCTGCCTTACACACCCTTTTGACAAGATAATTAAGGCTTCTCAATTAGATAATATAGGACACTACTTGACGGGTTTCAATGAGCACCCTTACCTGCAGCAAAAAGTTATAATATATACTCAATTATTTAAACACTGGCTGTTTCCTCTGACAGAGGATAAAAGTTAATTTGTATGCGAGAAATGTGATGCCTCATTTATTCTCAGAACTAAGAGTGAGAAAGGCATTATGCAATATCCTCTACCATCGCACCTGTATCTTAAAGTGCAATTCAGAGGAAAAAAAACATATTCAACAAATCCCTGCAAAATATTTTCCATGTTTTATCCACTTAAGGCTCCATTCATACTTGTGCAACTTTGGACACAAAGTTGCAAGACAAGTTGCAGTCCATCATGTTCAATGGCACCCTTTTGGATCTATGCAACTTAAAGTTGTAGCGACTTTGAAAAGGTTCATGCACTACATTGATGCGACTTGAGTTCCAGAGAGTGTAAAGTCGCATCAAAAGTCACTCCAAAGTCACACAAGTGTGAATGAAGCCAAAAAATGGTGCAAGTACAGAAAAATACCTGCTCATGCTGCCAAAAATCCAGTAAGCTCTTGACTTCCTGTTAGCACCAACAATGCTGCCTCTTTTGCATGGAAATCTCAAGCAATGTACAATTTTTCCCTGCAGGATTACAGAAAGCCTCCCATTATGCGATGGAGGAGAGGGGTGGCATTATGTTTCCCAGCAGAAAATAACAGGGCAGGGCTGACCAGGGGCGGACTGACAACTCATGGGGCCCCCAGGCAGTAGGGGATCATGGGGCCCCCAGGCAGTAGGGGATCATGGGGCCCCCCAGGGGGCAGTAGGGGATCATGGGGCCCCCAGGCAGTAGGGGATCATGGGGCCCCCAGGCAGTGATCATGGGGCCCCTGTGTCCTTGCCCAAACTCAAAAAAGCCTATGAAAAAGGTACCAGGGGCATCTCATGGGGCCCCCTACTGACCCAGTGCCCGAGTTTCCAAATGGTCAGTCCGCCCCTGGGGCTGACAACAGTGCTTGAGATTTCAATGCAGCAGAGGCAGTGTCGTTCACTCACTACAGGAAGTTAGACCTTCACTGGACTTCTGGCAGAGCCAGCAAGCAATTTTACTGTTTGTAAAGTAGAAAACATGGGGAAATACAGTGGTGAACAGAAGTTATGAAAGAATGCTGTAGATTAAGGATACTTTCACGATTAGAAGTGTTAGTTTATTTTTATCAATTAACAAAATGGAAAGTAAATGAATAGAAGAGAAAATCAAATCAAAAGTTTGCACAACCACCCTTTCGCTTCAAACCAGCATCAATTCTTCCAGGACGGTACACACACTGCTTGTAGACACAGTTTTGGAAGGAACACGGCAGGAACTAGGTTGTTCCAAATATCTTGGAGAACTAACCACAGATCTGTGGATGTAGGCTGCTTCAAATCCTTTTGTCTCTTCATGTAATCCCAGACAGACTCCAGAATGTTGAGATCAGGGCTCTGTGGGGGCCAAACCATCACTTCCAGGACTCCTTGTCACACTGAAGATAGTTCTTAACAGACAAGTTATCCTTTCCACAAAAATAATGCATTTTTTTTGCAGGTAAAAAAAAAAAAAAAGTGCATTTATTATTTTTTGTGTTAGGAGCCTGTAAAGCATTGCACCAGCAATCAGAAGATCGCTGATGCCATGCAGGTGTCCTGCACACCATCAATGCATCTGCTTGCTTGTACATCCCGTGTGGGCAAGCCGATACTTGCTGACAGGAAAAAAAAAAATCAATGAACTACCACAGCGCTATGGTAGTTTATTGAGGACTACAAGCTGACAGCCACTAAAGCTGTCGGAACTTGTAGTCCATGCATTCACAGAACACTGTGAATAAATGACGTGGCTGTGTAGGCAGAGCCCCTCATGGCCACGCTGTTTTTGAAATCTGACAGCTAGTATGGGGAACATCTCCCTGTACTTTGGTCACAAGGAGGGCAGCGGGCGGCAGCTGCAGGATCAGGAACATGTTCCACCCTAAAAAAAGAAAAAAATGGATGGAACATGTAAAATGTCCCCAAAAGATGAAATTATCCTTGAGCCCGAGTTCACACACATGCGGCTTCGGTACATCTATTTGTGATTCGCACAGGAACCGCACCGCATTCCTGTGCAAATCACATGTGAATTGTGTGCGGTGCGATTGGAGCCATACATTTTGAATGTCTCTAATCGTCCCACATCTGCACCAAGAAGGTGCAGACACTTATTTTTGGGTCCGAACTAGAATCGTACCGCATGGGTATTCAAACCTATGGGATCCAATTCTGCAGATCGTTCCGCGTTTTGCGGATCAATTTCAGGGTGTGTTAACATACACACCCGCAGCGGTTCGCATGAACGGGGTGCGATTCTGATGCAGTGCAGAATTAGCACAGAAAACTCTGCAAATTCTGCACCACATCAGTGTGAACCCGGGCTTAATGACACTGGCTGCATTGTTTGGGGTCATTGTCTTGATGCAGAATAAATTTGGATCCAATCACACGTCTCCCTGATAGTATGGCATAATGGGCAAGTATCTGCCTGTATTTCTCAGCATTGAGGACACCACTGATCCTGACCAAATTTTTAACTCCATTTGCTTTTGATTTCTTTTACTTTCCATTTTGTTGAGTGATAAAAATTAATTATTGACACTTCTATTACTGAAAACAGTCTTCATTTACAGCATTTTTCACAACTGCCTATAACATTTGCACAGTACTGTATGTATGCATTGCAGAGATGTACTGAAAGCGTTTCATTTGACCAGACATACATTTACAGAATTTAATAAAATGCTGCAAATTTTTTGTGTCCTAGTCATTCTGTTAATCTAGACACATTTTTGTGTACATGACAAACATCGTATTTGTGTTACGAATGTGGTGTCATAAAATGTACAAGTCTATCCTGCTTTTCAGAATGCTCACAACGGCTTGGTAGGCTAGTGAAAAGGTAACTACAAAAACATACTGGAAGTCAACAAATTTTATAGGGTTAGTTCACCTTTACTAAAAAACTGCCTTTGAAGGAAAAAGATGCCTGTAGAATAAAAAACAAAGTATAATGGGGGTGCTAAATTAAATCAATTTGTATACACACACTCAAATTGTTGTACTGCTAACCCACATCAGCTTGCCCTTCAATCTCCTTACCTTAGAAAGAGCAGCCACTCTCTGTGCCAGTTCCGCTTCCACCTCAGGCAAGGTTTCTGCTTTCCGTATTGTCTGCTGAAGTTTCTGTTCTGCCAATTCAAGCCGCTCCTGGATCTGCCGATTCTTTTCTTCACTCTGAGAAAATTATCATGATTTAGTGTGTGGGTATTTTAGAAGTCCTGTCAGTCCCTAAACGTTAGTGCTCAATAAATTAATAAATACATGGATGAAGTCACTCAAATGTATCCCTATCCTACATGGCTAAATGTTTAGCACTTCTGCATGGCAGTACTAGGGTCTTCGGTTTGAATCCCAACCACGGCACCACCTGTTTGGAGTTTGCATGTTCTCCATGTGCAGGTTTCCTTGGGTACTCCGGTTTCCTCCCACCCTCCAAAGACATGCTGGGAGGTTAATTGGATCATGTCTAAATTGGCCCTAGTTTGTGTATGAAAGAATGGGAGTTATGGACCTTCGATTGTATGCCCCTTGAGGGTTAGGGACTGATGTGAATGTACAATACAGTGGATATAAAATGTCTACCCACCCCTGTTAAAGTGTCTGGCTTCCGTGATGAAAAAAAAAAATGACACAGAAAATTTTGGAACTTCTTCCACCTTTAATGTGACCAATAAACTGTACAACTCAACTGAAAAGCAAACAAATCTTTGTGGTGCTGGGGGGGGGGGGGGGTGGTGGCTGCACACCCTCTTATAACTGGGGATGTAGCTGAGTTCAGAATTAAACAATCACATTCAAAATCATGTTAAATAGGTGTCAGTACACACCTGTCATCATTTAAAGTGCCTCTGATTGACCACATATAAAGTTCAGCTGTTCTAGTAGGTCTTTGCTGACATTTTCTTAGTCGCATCCTACAGCAAATGCATGGTCTGCAAGAGCTTGCATCATGGACATTGATAAAAGGTATCAGTCAGGAGAAGGGTACAAAAGAATTTTCAAGGCATTAGATATATTATGGAACCCAATAAAGACAGTCGTCATCAAGTGGAGAAAATATTGCGCAACAATGACATCACCAAGAACTGGACGTCCCTCCAAAATTGATGAAAAGATGAGAAGAAAATTGGTCCGGGAGGCTGCCAAGAGGCCTACAGCAACATTAAAGGAGCTGCAGGAATATTTGGCAAGTACTGGCTGTGTGGTACATGTGACAACAATCTCCCATAGTCTTCATATATCTGAGCTACATGGTAGAGTGACAAAACGGAAGCCTTATTTTTTTATGAAGAAAAAAATTCAAGCCCAGCTAAATTTTGCAAAAAAAAAAAAAAAATCTGAAGTCTCCCAAAAGCATGTGGGAAAATATGTTATGATCTGATGAAACCAAGGCTGAACTTCCTGGCCATAATTCCAAAAGATATGTTTGGCGCAAAAACAACATTGCACATCACCAAAAGAACACCATACCCAAAGTGAAGCATGGTGGTGGCAGCATCATGCTTTGGGGCTGTTTTTCTTCAGCTGGAACTGGGGCCTCAGTCACGGTAGAGGGAATTATGAACAGTTCCAAATGCCAGTCAATATTGGCACAAAACCTTCATGCTTTTGCTATAAAGCTGAACATTAAGAGGAAATTCATCTTTCAGCATGACAACGACCCAAAGCATACATCCAAATCAACAAAGGAATGCCTTCACCAGAAGATTAAAGTTTTGGAATGGCCCAGCCAGAGCCCAGACCTGAATCCGATCAAAAATCTGTGGGGTGATCTGAAGAGAGCTGTGCACAGGAGATGTCCTCGCAATCTGACAGATTTGGAGTGTTTTTGAAAGGAAGAGCGGGCAACTACTGCCAAGTCAGGATGTGCCATGCTGATAGACTCATACCCAAAAAGACTGAGTGCTGGGATCACATCAAAAGGTGCTTCAACAAAGTATTAGTTTAAGGGTTTTTTTTATTTTTACTTCCCTCCACCTAAAAGATTTCAGTTTCTTGTTCAGCGGAGCTGTACAATTTATAGGTTTCATTAAAGGTGGAAAAAGTTCTGAAATTATTTATCTTTTGTCTAATTTTTTTTATATCACAGAAACCTGACATTTTAACAGGGGTGTGTAGACTTTTTATATCCATTGTATGTGTAAACTGATGGCGCTATACGAGTACCTGTAATAATAATATTAAAAATAAAATACGTCATTTACAGTAGTTTTATTGTCAACACTTAGCCCTGGTTCACAGTGATGCGAATTTGACCATTCAAATCGCATTACAAAATCACATCCAATGATCGACAATGGAACCGTTCTGACTGACTGACTTCGTAGGAATCACACCGATTAGAAAAGTAGTTTCTGCACTACTTTCGCCGAATTGGGGTGCGACTTACATAGACATCTGTGCATGAAGTCACATTTTGTGTTGCAGAGGATACCAAAAATCTAACTTGTATCTTACTGCAGACTTCTGGGAAAATCAGTGAGCCAATCACACAAGCAGGAAATTACATTTCTGGGAGGCGTTCCATACGCCATTTGTGTACAGAATGCCTCCACTTTGCCATACTGCACTGAATTTTACATAAAATTAGAGGCTGCAGATTGAAAAGAAAAGGTAATTTTAATAACGCTCAATTACAATATAACTTGTGCAGCAATTGTATATGTTATACTTTTTTACTTGCTAATTGTTCCCACAAAAGTGGAGTTACCCTTTAAAGTGGACCTTCCATCTTCAAATTAAGGTAAACTTTTTACACTTGGCTCACATTCCTTCGCATAATCACTGTAGAAAAGCTTAAAAAAAAAAACTGCACAAGAAGAAAAAACATACTCACCTTTCCTTGGCTTCTGTGCACTGCATCTAAACATACTTGTACATACACATGATTTTGCAGTCTTGGTGATCGCCAAGTATTACTGACGGGAAAGAACTTTATGTAAACAATATATTTCTCTCCCGTCAGCTCCTACAGACTGCTTTGTATGGCTCTGCTTAACAGAACCATAAAAAGAATTGTGCTTACAGTGAAGCACACACATAGCCCTATAGTGCCATTAGTACAGTGTCAGTGCTATTAGCACTGATCACTGTATTGGTGTCTGTGGGGATGTCAGTTCCCCCCCCCAGTGTCAGAATGCCCACCATAGTTCCGCAGTCTCGCTATAAGTTGCTGATCACTGCCATTACTAGTAGAATAAAAAAAAAAAAAAAAAAAAAAAAAAAACTTCCTGCGATGAAGGTCATGTGACCAAAAGCCTTTTCATTTTTTTTTTTTATTAAAGGTACTTTACATATACAGTACATTCACATCAGTCCTGATCCTCAAACAAAAGGTCTCTTACTCACATTCATATATGCATATACCAGGGTCAATTTTAGACAGGAGCCAATTAACCTGCAAGCATGTCTTTGGAATGTAGGCGGAAACCCGAGGACCCGAAAGAAACTCATGCAGGCACAGGGACAACGTGCAAACTCCAGGCAGGTAGCGACATGGTTGGGATTTGAACTGACAACCCTAATGTGGCTAGGCGGAGGTGCTAATCACTCAGCCACTGTGCTTCAATTGCAGAAGCCATTTTTAATCTGATCTTAAATCAGAACTAAACTCCGCTATACTGAATTTTGCATCAACTGTCCAAAGCCGTAAGGTACAGCGCCTACCCCCCGCTTATTCTGGGTGCCAGCCTTTAGCCATCTTCATTTGCAGGGGTGGGAATGACATCATTCCCGCGCCTGCGCAGGAGTGCTGTCATCATGACACACAGGCACTGAGCCGGAAAGTAAACAGAGCTGCACATATATTGCTCAGTGTATGTTCTACAGAAAACTGAGCAGGTAAGTAGATTTATTTTTATAGCACAAGAGACTGCCTGCCTACTCACAGTTTTTAAAAAAAAACAAACCGTCTTTACTTCTGCTTTAACTAAAAAAAATTATTTTAAAATCAACATTGCCATTACCTTTCTACAGATCTAACTCTAAATGTTTCTGGTTTTTAACAATGGCAGCATTCTGTACACCAAGCATACAGAATGCCCACAGAAACATTTTCCTCTTTATGTTATAGCTTTTTCCAGCAGTTTTTTTTCTCTTCTTACAACACTAGAACTGCTAATGTGACTGTAACAGACAGACTTTCCCACTTATTCCACTGCATATAAGAGTTCCTATTAAAACAGTTTAGATTTTGTTTTGTACTGATTAGCTGGCAAGTTTGCTGGATAACTCCTTGGACAGCACTGAGAATGGGTCTGCAATGAATAATCCACACAGCCAATTTGCAAGCATAACAATTAGAAAGGATTCTTATTTGCTCAACAATAGCGGTGTTCATTTAATGTGAGGGACCAAAGTTCATATTTTCAGATTCTCCTTTTTAGCAGTCTCCAAATCTCCAGGAGCCTGAAGCAGCATTTTCTCCATAAAAAGTAAAAATTTTCAGCACCCAGCAAGACAATCCTAGAACATTTCAATTTCAGGTCAGAAGGAAAAGATGCTCCAAGCTCAATGTGTAGAATCAATCAATCTTCTACAGTAAACCAAGAGAATTCAAAGTGGTCCCATTTCTTAAGTCACCAAGCTAAAACTAAGCTCCATAGTGGGGGAGCAATGCCCTCCTGTTTTCTGCTCAGTGTCCATCCTCCTCAGGGCTATAACATTTACCGTAGACCTCTACTATTCTATAAATCTTTTTCCAGTAAAACACAGTTTTAAAGTGATTGTAAACCTTAATATATATTAAAACAAAAAACATATGTCATACTATACCTGCTCTGTGCAATCGTTTTGGGGGGTGGGGGCGCTGAACATTGAAGGTTTTTACTTTAATGAAGAGAATGCTTTAAGGTAATAAACCTAATCCCTTTAAGGTTAACATTTGGGCATGATTCTGCTTTAAGCAACACCAAGGAAAACAATTCAAATATACATTTCATCCTACTGTTAAAAATTGCATGTAAAATACCAATTACTACCTGTCTTAGTGCCGATTCTTTATTAGCGATTTCGTTTTCAAGTTTGTCATTGAGGTCGTGCACAGATGTGGCTTCACGCTGTGCGGCGAGGTAGCGTTTTTCAAGGGTCGTTATTCTCTCCTCCATGTCTTCTTTCTGAGCCATGGCCTAAAATACAGACAGAATTATAACACTATGCTCTATACATTATTATTATACAGTATTTATAAAGCGCCAATGGTTCGCTCAGCGCTGTACATTACAAAGGGGGACAGAACATGTGACAGAACAATACCAATACAATGCAAAACATGAGGGGATCGAGGGCCCTGCTCTTTCGAGCTTACAATCTAGGAGGGAGGGGATGGTGGCACAGGAGGAGATATCTGTGGGGGATGGAGTGGTAGGAAGAGTGGAGGAGGTCGGCAGGTTAGGAGGGGGTGGTGTAGGCTTCCCTGAAGAGATGGGTTTTCAGAGTGCGCCTAAAGGAGAGGAGAGTAGGTGATAATCTGATGGGTTGGGGCAGGGAGTTCCAGAGGATGGGTGACACCCTGGAGAAGTCCTGGAGGCGGGCATGGGAGGAGGAGACCAGGGAACTAGAGAGAAGGAGGTCTTGTGAGGAGCGGAGTGTGCGTGCTGGGCGGTACTTGGATATTAGGTCAGTGATGTAGTACGGGGCAGTATGGTGGACAGCTTTGTACGTCAGTGTTAGGATTTTAAATTTGATCTGTTGCGCAATCGGAAGCCAGTGGAGAGATTGGCAGAGGGGGGGGGGTGGCGGAGATGGAGCGGTTGAAAAGGTGAATGAGTCTGGCAGCCATATTCAGGATCGATATAATTATTTAAATATAATTATTATACAGTATTTATAAAGCGCCAATAGTTCGCTCAGTGCTGTACATTACATGGTAGAAACTGAACAGTTATGGGTGAGTAGTAGCAGAAGGAATTAGTATAAGGTATTCCAAATTTTCTTCATAGGTGTTTTAGGTCAGTGGCTCATGCAAAGAGGCCAGACAGCTAAGCAAGTAGTTTTTCCTAAAGAGACAATGGCAGTCCCAATATTTCTATTGTGGTAGTGGTTCGTTAAAGCACGAGCTGAACCCAACAAATGTATAACAATACATCAACCAAAGCAGTTATGTGTTCAATAACAAGGAAACATATTTTTTAATTGTGACTAGTGTAAGCATCTGAACACCTTTTGTAATACTCTGTATAGCAGAATTTAGGTTGGAAAAGAAAGGGGCCACAAGAAAATTCAACCAGGTATGGCGCATGCACATTTGCTAGCAAGGAACAGAATGCAGAAGAATCATTATTCCGCTGATCCTTTAATCTCCTATGGTTCAATTACAAAATCAGGGGAGGTAGGTGACCGAACTCTATTGCTTAACTGCAACAGAGAAGAGCCAGGTCACCCATCTGGCTCTGCACTCTGGATGGGATGTAAATCACAGGGCTGCCTGGACAAAATTGCACATCCTTTGGTAAGTAGCACAGCTCAACCAAATAGTAGCATAAACTTTAAGGCCCTATGCATTATCTGGGAGCCTGCGTCAGCTACTTGTACAGAGTTCAGCTTAAAGCTGGAATTGGACCGACACTCTTGAGCAAATAAAGCATATTTCATGTACAAAACTCTACAAAGAAAAGGATTTTATTTAAAACCCACACACGGGTAATGTGTGTGCTCTGAATCTCATTTGACAACTTACCACCATATAAAAAATAGTTGTGCACATTTATGCCAGCAAGCATTACTAGCTAGTAAACAACCAAACTCCACGTGTACCTCACAAGATATTTTCCTGTGCACATATTTACCTAATGAGGAAAGTTGTGAGGTGTCATAAAATGGCTCAGAATTGGGCAGCCCAAGGATGACTATTTTCTATCCTACCATAGGTGGAAGGAAAGAAAATCATTTGATTCCCCCATCAACACATTGTTGATAGGGGAATGCATCTCTTAGCACTATTGTGTTATGCCGCCTGAGTGAACAAAATGACTGCTGCTAGCGGCTATAAGAGCGGGCAGTAACCGAATGTAAAACATCCGACAGGCTGGCTGCACCCAAGTCAATCAATGGATCGACTTGGGTACAATCAGCCTGCCCATTGATGGATTGACTCTCGGCCAATCTCATTTCAATTGTGTAAGTGTCACCTGTGGTGAAAATCAGACAATGGGTTTTAAAAATAAGAAGGCAATGTCTTTAGCATTTATTTCAGCCTGCTATAGGTGACATAATTTCTTCCTCTCAGAACGTCTATCCACTTCTCTTCTATTCCACCATAGGCAAATCTGTAAACTCACCTCTCGTACGTCCCGCTGCAGTTTTGTGTTCATCTCTTCTGATTTAATGAGATCTTTCCTTGCCGTGTCGAGATCTTCCTCCAGCTCAGTGACCCTGTTGGACAGGACAGCCAGACGTTCCTTCATCTGGCTTTGCTCCTTGGCTTGTCTATCGATCACATCCTGGAGCTCCATCACTTTCGATAGGTCTTCGTTGTGATTTAAAGAGTCATCGGATGATCTCTGTCATAAAAAAAATGTTGACATTTGCCTCAGGGAACTCATATGATCACATTTAAAAATATATGGAAAACAGAAAACACATTAGTGAGAGATAGAGAAAGGTTTGCTATGAAGTCTTACTTTATATCAAACGTTTAAAAGCTACTTGAGTACTTCTTATTCCTGAACAGTTGTAAAAAAAATTTTAAAAAAAAAGCGACAACTATGAACTTTTTCACACTGGGAGAAATTAAACAGAATTCTAATCCTTCCCTCATAAATGTGCAAACATTAAAATATCCTGTTTGCAAACTGAGGGAAATAAGGAAAAGATTTTTGGTATAACAATTTTTTATTGAATTTGTAGAGTGGGTAACAAGAATATTCTCTCTGGTTACAAAAACAAACAAAGAATAAATAGAAGTATGACAAAATTGTGTCGTTTAAATATCAATCGAAATCAAACAATGTAAGAAAGGGATTTTCACATTGTGACATGTCTACAACTAAGTTGAAGAACAACAGAAGATTAATCATCATCTTTCCACTGCCAGGGAAACCCTATTGCTACAAAATCAACATCTAACGCTAGCTGAATGATAGAGCTCACCTTCCCATTAGTGTTTGGTGCATTTTCTTGATCTTGGTTCTGGTCCCCGGTCACATCATTATATATCTTCTTTTGATTGTTCTGTTCTCGAGAAATCATAAGCTGCCAAGGTGATGCACAGTTGAATTAGTAAAGCCATTTCAGGGACAACTACAAAGTTTTATATGGTCAAAAGGAGGGAACTGGATGCTGAGGTGTCAGAAGCAACACTCACCTCTTTGTGTGTTACCGCCAGCTCTTCTTCTAACAAGCTACATCTCTCCAGAGCTACACGTAACCGTTCTCTCACCTAAGGCACAAGATACTGGCTTCAGGATTACAGATGTCAGTCATTACACAATGTGGTGACCAGTTTGGGAAGGCAAACACTGTACATTGAGCCTCCCATAATCTATTTCAGTAAGGCATATTCTAGGCTACCACCTGTCCCACGAACACAGCAGATGCAGTCACATTGATCACCGTTCCTCCACCAGTGGAATGTGTAACACCAATGGGAACTACTGCCTTTTGGAGTAAGTTCATCAATACAAAAGGGGGTTTTAAGAAATAAACACATCACAGATAAAAACGGAGAAGGGTAGTGATTTTTTAACGAATTCAAAGCATTAATTAAACCAAACACCAGGGCAGTTTATTGGGTTTCCATTAAACTTATGTGCGTTCTGTAGAGCATTATCACGTGCTGCATTAAGGCAGCTTATTCATGTGAATGGGATGCCTAACACAGCACCATGGACCAAAAAAGCCACTAATGCACATTTCCCTCAGTACAAGAAAGCTTTGAGCCATTAACGTAGAGCAGTGTTTCTCAACTCCAGTCCTCATGGACCCCCAACAGGTCATGTTTTCAGGATTTCCATTATTTTGCACAGGTGATTTGATCAGTTTCACTGCCTTAGTAATTACCACAGCTGTTTCATCTGAGGGAAATCCTGAAAACATGACCTGTTGGGGGTCCATGAGGACTCGAGTTGAGAAACACTGCCTTAGAGGAACACAGCACAATTTCTTAAGTCAGATTCAAACTGATCCTGGGGTCATCTTACAATTGGCATTAGCTTATAATAACAGGCATCCCTAAGGTGTTACACTCCCATTTTACATAAGTCATTGAACAACTGGAAATGTCCAAACCTGTGACACAACTTGGGTGAATCTGGACCAGTTTTATACTTGAAATCTTGGGTCCTTTCACCCCGGCGCATTGTTGTTGGTCAGTGTGGCCACTCCTCATATCCACATATCAATAGTGAGGCAAGAGAAGCAGACCTGAGCTCTTGACTGCTGCCACTGAATTAATTTTGAATAACAAAAGTGACCCAGGTGGCATGGCTCATGGGGTATTTTCAAGTTGTGGAAACTTGTGCACTCTAAGAGCACAATTTTACTGCCTGCTGCCACAGTGAGACTTTCCCTAAAGAAGGCACAATGATTTGGTACTTACTAGTTATGGTATATACAATGGCTCCAGGTACCCGCCATAGGCAATATAGGCAAATTTTTATTCAACGTTTACATATTAGCCCACCATATTTTCTATGAATGGAGTATGAAAATTCTGTGAAATTAGAGTTAACATGCACTTTTATTAATAGTGCACTGCTGCAAGGCATTCTGGGTTCCGGCAGTCAACCTGCCCCTCCTCTACCCTTGTGCATTCACAGGATGTCTCATATATAGTGAGCAAAAAAAACACAAGGCTTTTGGTGAATGGATTAGGGTAAAGAAGGGGAGAGTGAACAATCCAAACCCTACACTGTACATTAGCCAGAAATGTCCAGCGAAGCACTGGAGCCTGATTTCTACAGTAAGCAGCAGTACTGAAGAGAGTAGGTAACTCATTTTTACAAAACACACTTTATTAAATCTTTTTCCTGGAGTTCCACTTTAATACTACTTTTAAACAACACCCCCCTCCAAAAATGATTCCTGCCCCCTCAACTAAAGCCTACCGCCCCAACTGTCACCTATCTGATCACAGCAGCAGGAATATACAGTATCACAGAAGAACACAGAAAGCTGTCAATCTCAAACTAGTTTTTCAGCATCATTAAGGTATTAACTAGGGGTAAGTCACACGCGTATGGATCTTTGGATCAGTCACACTCATTACCTTTTCATCTAAAGCTTTGTGATGTTCAAAGAGGGACTTTAGTGCTTTCAAAACTTCAACTTCACTCGACACTCCTGCTGGAGACTGAGCCTGCCGCTTCACCACTGTCATTCGCAGAGAGCGCTCATGCCGTGAAACCAGACACTCCAGATGTTCCAAGAGGAGCTATAGAGAGAGCATCACACAATGAGGACAAACCACAGGATTTCTACATTCACCCTGCATAGTATTAACAGCTAATAAGTAACAGAAAAAGAAGTTGGAAAAATTAGCTTGGGTTTCTGTGGGAAAAATGTCACATTGTCTAATGTTTCTTTGTCCATTTGTGGTAGTCTTCTAATATGGACAGTATGTCCAGTAACTATATAAGTGGGTCCAGCAATCCAAACCCAGACAGACAATGCGGGCAAAGTATAACAAAGGGCAAAACACATTTTTTTTTCAGTTTGTAACGTGTGGGAAGGGGTGCATATTACCTGCATATGTTCTATTGGGAAACTACTACAGTGGTGACATGAAGGACCAAAAAACTGTCGCATTTTGCTTATGCTTCCAAGTGATGGGTTAAAAAAAGAAAAGAGATTAAAGTATGAATAGAGTGGTGCAGGGTTAGAACCACTGCAACGTTTTTTATTGCGGTGTCTCCATTAGGAAGATTTACACTCTCCAGTTCTGATCAACTACGTCACCATGAAAGTGAGTGTAATTCCAATGTTACCACCAGGACAACAGGAATAAAGGAAAACTCTTCCAAAAGAGACTTCTGGTGACAACTCTCCAACATTGGAAAAATATCCTCTTACTTGCTGTTCAGAAAATAGCAATCTCCTTCCTTTGATGGCAAAATGTTGATAGAGGATTTAACCCTCTCCTACTCCATCTTAAAATTAAAAAAAAAAAAAAAAAAAGTTTAGGCTTAGATATACTTTAAAATAAACTATCTAAAATCTAAACTTTTTTTTATAGTGAAGTTGCCAAGTCTTCAAACCTGTTCAAAAGAAAAACAGTTTTACAGATGTCACAGTTACAGGAAGTAAAAGAATTCTTCCAATGGACAATCCAACACAAAAAAAACAAAAACAAACCAATACATTTTCATGTGGAGCTCCATTGTCAAGCCAAGATAATTAGGACATATGAATAGCAATAACCAAGTTAAGAGAAGACATGCCTCACATTTAGCACTAAAAATGCTTAAAGTTCAGATTCTCTCAGTTCAGACCCTCTATGGCTGCACTAAATTCCCCCCCCCCCTCTCTCCCTGTTCATTAAAAACACTTTTTGATTTCTGTGTGTGCTGTAGTTCCACCACAAACTTCCTATGGGTGAGCACAGTATTAGGCAGCGTGCCCTAGTGAAGATTTTCATGGAGTACAGTCCCAAGATGACTGTTTATTCATAAATTTAGTAGTAAAACGATCTGCCAGCCATGCAGGGTTGTGCAATAGATATGTTGGCTGCTAGTAAACATCCACTGCATTGACAGATACTGTATATCACACATAGCCCTGCCAAGCTGACTGATCATTTACCATTGTGAACGAATAGTCAACAATGCAGGGCCGTATGATCCATCTGCAGTTGCAGAGGATTTTACTAGTAGTCAGTCCTGCTGTGCTGATTTGTTTATCATTGAATTTGTGGATAAACAATCAGTGCTATTGGGACTGTGTGATAGATCTGCAGATACCAAGTAGGTTTATTAGCAGCCAGCAGCGCTATCATACAACCCAGCAGCACTGACTGATCATCTTCCAGATGCTGGTAAACATACAAGGCACTGGTGAATCGAGCACGCAGCCCCACAATGCTGACTGGCCTTTCATTGGGCTTGTGGTGTGAATGGAGGTGACTCCATGCACAGTACATGTCTCCACCATGCACTTTCTGCAAGAAATAAGCGCCGTCAATTAGCCCTTAGATGGAACTTAACAGAACTGAGAAATACATGTTCTACCACTTGGTCCCCGGGGGAATTTAATAAAGAAGTTTAACTACATCGATAAAATCTTTAAAGGGTGAACACTGTGGACATCGTAGACAAAGTCCATGATTTCCCTACTACTTTCACACAAAATGAGGGTCTCTCTTGTTCACTACTGAAATATCTGCAGTTTACATAAGAAATGCTGCAGTAGGAAGAATTTCCAATGGCCTTTATATAACAGAGAGGCAAAAGCTCAGGTTATCAGAAAGCCACTCTAGAATCCTGAAATCTAGGAATCCAAAACATAAATATCAAAAGCATGATCTAGCAACCTTTCAAGTATAATGGTAAATCTCTGGAGACAGCCCCATTATGCTCTATGGGTGATGCACATGCTTTAAGGCTAAAGGGAAGCACATAAAACTGTAAAAGCACCCGGCCCAGCACAGGAAGTGTTCTGCAGATTTATTTGTATCTCCATCTGAGGTCTGTAAATGTATAAGGGGCACTAATGCACGTATGGGAGGGGAGGGGCTGCTGAAGAAGCAGCAGTACACTGATGACATCACCACTCTGCTCTTCTTAGAAGTGTGTTTTAGATGGACAGCACTATGAAATCCCAGAGAGACTGATTTCCATAGTGTTCATGCTACAGCGCAGTGCAATCATTGCTAATAGCAAGACTTTTAGGTATTCTTGCTGTCTTCCAAGAGGTTTGTGACCTTCTGTAGATGTTCCTGACACACTTACCCGAGTATTGTTTCTCTCGGCCTTCAGTTCAGCTATTTCTTCCTCCCGTTCCAGAAGCTGCTCCCGGCAGATATTGAGCTCCTTAGTAAGTGCTGCAAACTCCTTCAGGAAGAAAAAATAACTTTTGTTAAAAACACTTTAGACTCTTCAATGCTGCCCTAATGTAATTCACTTTGTTCTGATACACTTCCAGTGCTGTTATAATAGAAGGCAGTTTCCGGTTTCTGCTATGATTTTTGATGAAGATCAGAACTGCTTAGCAGAAGCCTATAAATTTATTTTCATTGAGCATATATTGCAGTTATCACTGTTATGTTTACCATTAGATCATTTAAGGGGACTTCCAAATTTTATATGCTTGCTGCATCATGTCTTTATTGTATTACAAATAGACTTCCCCATTATCACGGATCAGCATTATACTTTAATCGTTTTGCTGCCTCGATAAGAATAAACACGCTCATACAGGCAAATAAAGAGCACATTGTGTTAAATCAGTTACCCGACTGACACTGAGAAAGAGGAACAATAAAACACAACCACTAAAGTAGCATTACTAAGCAGAACTTTGTACAGGTGATAAGTATGACTGCTCCCGTATACATATATATTTAGAAACTATTAACAGATTTTTTTTTTTTTTTTACATGAATATACTTATAAGATGTCTTACATTAAGTCACTGAAATCAAAGTATGGATTTTTTAGCATAATTACACTGGTCCAACTTATACCAATGTAAATATGCTTATGCCATACCTGTGGGACCGCTGTGGAAAAGAAGAATCCCTGCAATAATCACTGCTACTACAGTGATTGCTGCTGTCCTTCAGGTCCCATGTCGAATGGTTGCCCTGCTGCAGAGTTACCAAGGGGGGGGGGGGGGGGGTGCTCACAGCAGGTCTTGAACTTTTTCTCAATAATTACAAGGAATTCTGTGATTGGACGAGTTGGAGAGGCATAGTGGGGACGTCGAGATTACATTGATCCTTCCAAAGCATGGCATATACTGTACATAGTTACATTGGCCCAAGCTGTAGCAATGTAACTATGCAATAAAATCCATACATGGAGCTCAGCTTTAAATGACTATAGTTAACTGGAAGTGAACATTTTCATCACTTTAAAGCTTTTTAAAGTCTTGTCTAGAGACAGAAATCACTCCATTGTGTGAAACTCTGAAACTAGTTTGACTTTGCAAGTAGCAGCCCATACAATAAAGTCAAAAATAGTGTTGCACTCCACTATCAATTGCAAACATTATGAGTGAATATATATTGAATAAATAAAAGTCCAGCATCAAAAAAATATATGTCACAATATCACTGCTCATCCATCCCAGGGAAAGAGGGATAATCCAATCCATTTATCACCGAGTCCAATTAAAGCAGTGTTTCTCAACTCCAGTCCTCATGGACCCCCAACAGGTCATGTTTTCAGGATTTCCCTCAGATGAAACAGCTGTGGTAATTACTAAGGCAGTGAAACTGATCAAATCACCTGTGCAAAATAATGGAAATCCTGAAAACATGACCTGTTGGGGGTCCATGAGGACTGGAGTTGAGAAACACTGAATTAAAGGGACACAAGCTTTTTATGACCTCCCTTAATGGTTTGGTCATATACACCAGGTGAGAGCACAACCGGTGAAGGTGCACAATATTTTTTCATGCTTGGTGAACTGCACGTTTATTATCTCGTATCACAGCACTAGAAGTACCGAAGGCACGGACTTAAGGACATGTTTTGCAGCAGCAATATAATTGCAGTGATATTGTGACATATATTTTTTTGATGCTGGACTTTTATTTATTCAATATATATTCACTCATAATTTTTGCAAATGATAGCGGAGCGCGACTTTATTCTATATGACACAATGGTATGAGTATGTGTAGAGTGTAAGCGAACCACATTTTTCACAGTTTTTATACATAATTTTATTTGTGTATCACAATTATAGTATCATTTGAATATTTAAATATTTATTAGCACTTTATATACACCATAGTAACTAACAAGACCCCACACCTCAGCAGCCCATACAAACCGCTATTCCTTTACTAAGACTGGATTCACACCTATGCCTTTTTCCTCCCAATGCGTTTTGTATTCAAAATCAATGGAAAAGCATCAAAATGTTTGTCAACACACATTAATGCTTGATTTTAATGCGCATTGCCAGGTACTTTGTGTCAATGTCAACGTGTATCATAATGCACATCAACAAACACTAATGTGCTTCAAGCTATGTTCACATGCACTGATGTAGGTCTTAACAAATGCATGTGTTTTTATGCATTTACATTGATTTCATTAAAAAAATAATCAAGCAAAAAAGTTGCAACCCTAGCCTGAGCATGCTCTCACTGGGTGAGGCTTAGCACTAAAGACAGGAATGTCTGGTACCTAGTAAAGTGAAACTAGCTACAAAAAAATCACCCAGAGGAGCCATTAAAGTGTTACTAAACCTACAACAGTCAAATCAGTCTGTATATGCAGTAAAGTATGCTGGTTATACTCACTGTGGAACCTAAGGGGTTCCGTATCCTCCTCGAGAAAACTCCTCCTACAAACTTTAACCAGTGCTCTGCTGAACACTGATAGAAGTCACAAGACTGCTCTAACTGCTGATGAGAAAAGGTATTTAGCAGTTTATATTTACTAAAATAGTTGCATTTACATGTTTTGTGTACTGTTGGAGACCAGATATAGTGAATGCAGGGTCTTGGGTTTAGTAACACTTTAAAATCCACCAATAGAATAGGAACCAAGGAATCGTGAAGCCACAACGATGCTAAGTTGTGACACACAAACAGACCCAAACCTATAGTATAAGAAGTGTCTGTACCTTAAAGGAGAAATACAGCTTTTTTGGCTGCACTTCTCTAGTGGATCACAGGAGTGCAGTATGTTCTGCACTCCAGTGACCTGATTTCAGCCAACAGCAGTCTAAAGCAGAGGTGGAGAACATATCAGCGGTGTTTGATCACTCAGTTCTCAGAGCAGAGCTGGCAGGGGATCGATGTTGCATCCACTAAAATTAGTATAATGTATGTGGTTTTCTTTTTTTTTTTTTTTTTTTGAGCCCATACTTCTTTTAAATGAAAAGAACATTTCAAATTCATATAAAAGTACGGGTCCCACAAGCACCATATACTTAAGGACAAAATTTTCTTACGTTTTGGATCAATGGAAACCGATATAACCTCCTTCCTATTATTTGTTGACTGTGTCATTCATTTTATGTAAAGAATGATATAGAAATATCCATGCTGTGAAAAAACAAATAAAACAATGTGCGGCAGCTTTCATAATTAGGCAGTATAACAAACTCACATAACTATAAAGAATAAAACTGTGCAGTACCACTTACATGAATGTACATGAAACCGTAATAAAAGTGAAATAAATCTCAAGATAAATGTGTAAGAAACAGTCCTCAAAAAAAAAAAAAAAAAAAAAAAAATCCCATAATCAATCTACCACCTTCAAAAGTGGAATCATTCCTTATATTAATTGTTCAGAAGCCAGCCACCATCTCCTGTGAATTCAAAACTTACTGAAACAGATGGCTGCCATTACAAACAGCATGAATGCCTATAGTTCAAATCTGAAATAATCAGCATGTGTGCGATGTTCCCCAGTGTCTGATGGCACCTCCCGATCTAGCTGGGATGAGTAAAGCTCACCAGAAGTAGAAAATCTCCAATAGCGTGCAGTGGTATTTCCCGGGATCATAGAGCAGCGTGACATCAGCACTAGAAACTTCACCTAGTGCTGACGTCACGCCGCTGCACAATCCCAGGTTGAATTTTCTCTTTGTATGCATATGGATTGTTTTTATGGAGTTTTAATAAATACTACACTATTGGAAATTTTCTGCCCCTGTGAGCTTTATTCATCCCAGCTCAATCCTACACAAAGGTGCCACTGGACAAAGACACTGGGAAGTATCGCACACACCCTGATGATTTAGAATTTGAGCTATAGGTGTTCATGCTGTTCGAATGGTAGCCATCTGTTCCTGTGAGTTTTGAATTCACACAGAGATAGTGGCTGGCTTCTGAACACTTTATATGAGGAATGATTCCACTTGTGAAGGTGGTAGATTGATTCTTCAAGATTCTTCACCGGGACATTTTTTTTTTTTTTTTTTTTTTTTTTGAGGACGGTTCCTTACAAATATTTACTTTAGAGATTTTTTTCACTTTATTAATGTTTCATGTACATTTAATTGGCTCTGCACAGTTTTATTCTTTATTCATTTTATGTACTGGGGACGCACTAGGGAAGCAAAATCCCCTCCTCTTTGTCATAACAGGTATCTTAATGGGAAGATTTCCCTGCTATTCTAGCTGCGGTGACAACTAACATTTTGGAATTCCCATCACCTTCTGCATTGGTGATAATGACCAGCAGAACAGACAGAGGTTGAATTTTCCCAGTGGAGAAACAAAGACCAATAGAATTTTGCGACCTGTTACATTGCTCTTGGCGCCGCTCAAAGTAGAGGTGAAAGTATATCCCTGTGTCCCAGAAACTAGTTTGCAGGCTTGTCCTAATACCAACCCAGAGGGCTAGTAAATGTAAAGAGGAGAGGATCACCGCTACTCCCCATCAATCCCAGCCACAGCACCACCTGCCTGGAGTTTGCATGTTCTCCCTGTGCCTGCGTGAGTTTCCTCCAGTTACTCCAGTTTTCTCCCATACTCCAAAGAGATGCTGGGAGGTTAATTGGATCCTGTCTAAATTGGCCCTAGTATGTGTGTATGTATGAATGTGAGTTAGGGACCTTAGATTGTACACCCCTTGAGGGTTAGGGACTGATGTGAATGTACAATATATATGTAAAGCGCTACGTAAATTGATGGCGCTATATAAGTACCTGAAATAAATAAAATCAGCCCAGGTGAATCTACGATAAGGAGTGGTCTCAGTCTACATGTAGGCTGAGGCGGCTCCTTATCGTTTATTCGCCTGGGCTGTTCCAGGAGTAGCGGCGAGCCTTTCCTTTTTACAAATAAAAAATTGACAGAGGTTTGAAATAATCCTTATATGAAATTCAAAGCTTAAAAAAAAAAAAAAAAAAAAAAAAAAAAAAACAACTTTAGATGATCTTTACCCTGGTTTCATCCTGTTCTACACATACAGAAAAAATGCTGAACACAGCCAACAGCAATTTGAGGGTGTAGGAATTTCCTCTAGCTCACTGCATGGAGTGTGGGACTAGCTGTTGACCTTATAGGGACCAATCACAAAAATAGTATTTAACAAATTTTTATTAGTGCCACAATAACTTACAATCTAAGGTCCCTATATCACCTGCTTACACTCATATACTAGGGTCAATTTAGATATTAGACAGCGGCCAATTAACCTACAAACATGTCTTTGGAGTGTGGAAGGAAACTGGAGGAAATCCATGCCAAGTACATGCCAAGTACTGGGAGAACATACAAACTCCATGCAGGTAATGTCCTGGCCAGGATTTGAACAAAGGGCCCCAGTGCTGCAAGGCAGGCATGCTAAACCGCTGACAATGAAACGAAAACAAACAGGGCTGGACAAATTCCAGGAGAGAGAAAACCCAAGGTCTGTGGCCTCCAGGAGTGTACTAACTGGTACTTGATCGTATTTTATCTTCATTCGTCCATCACTACTAATAAAAACTGTACACAACCCAATAACACCTCTTGTGGAAGTCCCTATAAAGGTTCAACAGTTTCAACCTTTCCACTGTAGCTGTAAATTCCTAGCTGGTTAATGATTACTAAGATCAATATCAAATTTTAATGGTTGTAAGTCAGCAGATATCTTCCCACTTGGAAATACTCGAAGGACAAAACGGTTTTCATATTAACGTGTACATACTAAGGGCCCGGGGCCTGTGTATCCATGTGACTAAAGCAAACTGTAACTACAGAAAAGGAATGACAATCTGTCTTGCTGCAGAGTTCATTTCTTGCAGACAACCTCAGAGCAACACGAGAGAATAGTAAAGGAATTCCAGGAGACAACGTCAGGCAGTGACCTTTCAGCCCCAGTTCCATACATATAGAGCAATAGATGATGATGGGCTGCAGCTGACGCCAGGCAAGGCTTACAGGCCAACAGCATGGGAAACTACCGACGTGATGAGTTTGGCAGAAAGAGGACGTACCTCTGGATAAATCCTTTCTAACAAGACATGCAAAGTGCAAGACCCTAGATTCCGCTAATCCGAAATCCTAATAAATGAGTTTACAACAGCTTAAAAGGAAAACATACTCTGTAGTCTAATGGGTGTTTTAGTCTTTAAAGCATAAATGAATCAGGACGAAAAGGATGAATTAAAATGTGCTTTACGTCAATATTTTATAAATGCAGTATAATGTTACAACATATTCTTGGCAAATGAGATCTTGTAAGCTCACAGATATGGCTGTAAAGGTACTTGAAGCTTTGTGTGCCCAGAACATCATGGAACAGAGCAGATCATTCCCTTTTTCTACTGAAGAATACTGCAAGTACAGAACACTGTGCACCAGTGCATCATAAGGAGGACTGCTGCAAGGACCTGACAGACAGCCGGCTGCTAATTTTGTTAAAGCAGAATTTCACCCAAAAGGGAAAGTTCTGCTGTAACCCCCCCCCCCCCCTTCTCTCCCATATTTGGAATGTTTTGGGGGGTGAGCGGTTACCCGATTTTGACAGGCACCCACTTCCCTCTGCCTAGGGCAGGGGTGTCCAAACTATGGCCCTCCAGGTGTTGAGGAACTGCAAGTATGAGGCCTTGCAAGACTGACATCCACAGGCAAGACACCTAGAGGCATGATGGGACTTGTAGTACTTCTATGGAAATCCATAGTTTGGACACCCCTGGTCTAGGCAATCGGAGCAGAAGTCTGGCCTCCCTCCTTCCCCTGCAGCCTCTTGGGACACTTGACAGGTCCCGGGAGACTGCGGAACCATTCACGGGGCGCAGTTTGCACATTCGTAGCCTGCTGTGAAGCCTCAAGGAGTTATGGTCAACTGCCAATAGTTAAGATGCTGGCGCCTGGACCCGAAGACTGGCAAAGAGCTGATTCCTGGGACAAGTAAACGCAAGTTTTTTTTTTAGAAGTCAACATCTACAGTATTTTTTTTTCTTTCTTTTTACAGGGGGGAGATCCTCTAACAATGAATGATGGCAGCACAGGACCCAGTGTGCAGTATCAAAGTAGTGGCAGACTACAATAGACTAATTGTATTTTTTTTTTTTTTTTGACAGCCCAGTGGCCAAGGTAAAAGGGGACTAGGGGGAAAAAAGTAAAGATAAAAGCTTAGGCAGACCATAGACGGGCCGTTTATGACAAATTTTCGGCCGATAAACGAAAAATCAGTTGATGCTGCCACCAATTTTCCAGCATGACTGATAAAAGTAAATGAGAAGATCCACGAAAAGTCGACGGTATTGCCCCATTAACGGCGTGAATATCAGTTGATTTTTCGTGCGGACGCAAATTTGACCGATAAAACGACCAGTCTATGGCCTGCATAAGGTATGGATCTTTTTGTAGTCACATTGGTCCAGTTAGGACCAATTTAAGTATGAATGTGCCATACCAGGCCAATCCCCATAGTGGTTAGATATCGCTGTAGTAGGAACCACTAGTACAGTGATTGCTGCTAGCTTTCATGTCACATGCCAAGCTGCTGTCCTGTTGCTTAGTGAACACGGGACGTTAATTTCTTGGCATGAGTGCCATTTCAGAGAACAGTGCATTTTCTCAATAAACACAGTTTTCTATGACTGGATAAGGTGGGGAGACGGGGTGGTTACATTACAATATCAACCTTATCTAAAGTCAGTAATAGTGAACGATCAACTACAGAGACACCTCGGGCAATACTGGTGACTAGTCCTTTGCCCTCTGTTTGACTTTTTTGGGCACTGCTTGCACAGTACAGGTTCTCTTTAAAGAAAAAGTTCACCTTATAGACAAAAATAATAAAACGCACCTTTTTTTGCAGGTAAAAAAAAAAAAAATGTGCATTTATTATTTTTGTCTACAGGAGCCTGGAAAGCATTGCACCAATGATCAGTAGATCGCTGATGCCATACAGGTTTCCTGCAGACCTGTCAGAATATCTGCTTGTCATATGGGATGTATGAGCAAGCAGATATACTAACAGGAAGCTTCAATGAACTACCACGGCGCTCCACAACACTGTGGTAAGTTCACTGAAAACTACAAGCCTTAGAGGCTGTCAGGACTTGTAGTGCATTCATTCACGGAAGTCTGTAAATGAATGATGAGTCCGTGTGGGCAGAGCCCCGGATGGCTGCGCGGTTTTTAAATTTGACAGATAGTACAGGTAAAAGTCTCCCCGTACTATCTGACAGAGGGAGGGGGGGCCGCAGGCACAGCTATGGAAACATGTTACATGTTCCACCCTAAAAACAGCTCAGTTAAACTGTCACCATTAGTGGTCACAAATTTAGGCTACTTTCACACTGATCCGCCGCAAAAATGCATAGGCGTTTTTACTGGACACATGATAAAAACTGCACCAAAAACGCTTCTCAGAGACATTTTTGAGGTGCTTTTCAGGCATTTTTAAAGGAGCTTTTCAGGTGTTTTCTATTGAATTCAATAGGATGAGGCGTTTTTAACGCACCAAACATGCCCCAAAGATGCTGCATTGCACCGCACGTGCAATGCCTCAGTGTGAAAACAAACAGATGTACATTCACATACATAGGGAAGCATTTTTTCTTGTGCTTTTCAGGTGCTTTTTTTTTTTTTTTTTTTAAACACAAAAACGCTTCAAAAACTCCTCAGTGTAAAAGTAGCCTTAAACTCTATGAGAAAGTCACAATATTTGAAACTCTAATCAGAATGATGGCTGTGGGAAAATGCGAACATCTTATAGAGATACATCAGTCCAATAAGTATAACTGCCACTACATCATGCCAAAAGACCATTATAGACTTCAGGCATAGCCAAGATTTTCCGGTATCCTCAAGACACTGGTCTTGAATAACAAAATATCCACAGTTGCTGGGGAAAAGTATTTCTAAACACACACTATCTCCTAACACTTACCTGAGCCCCCTCTTGATCCAGTGATGTCTACGAGAGCCACAGTTCTCTGGGGACTCTCACTCTTGATTGGCTGAGGCAATAGCAGGAGACACTGTCTACCACTGCTGTCAATCACAGCCAGTAAGCCAATCAGGGGAGGGAGGGAGCCACAGCTGTGTGTGTGAATGGAGAGGAGGGAAGGGGCCAGGTATGCTGGCGGGGTTACCCAAGAAGAGGAGGATCTGGGCTGCTCTCTGCAAAACCGCTGCACAGAGCAGGTAAGTAAAGACATGTTTTGTTTTTTTAAATATAACAAAGACTTTAGTGTCACTTTAAGTCCTAATTTTACCTTGTTTTCATTTTCGTTCTCAAGTAATGACGCTGAGTGCAATTTGGATGGGGAAAAGGGGAAGAGAAGGTATGTAGCTTTCTGGGAATTAGATGTTTGTATAGCAGTCTGTGGTATGATATACTAATAGAAATGCTGGAAGGGTGTTGTTCGGAGGAGAGGCGGGATTTTGGGCACAGTCTTGAGTATGTTGAATAGTTTTGGTCTTGTGCTGTCTGAGTTTTCAAAGGTGTTAACCATTTCTGCCAATTGAGCTGGGAGCAAAGTAAAGCTGGCCATACACTGTGAAGCCAAACATGGGCCAAATCAGCAGTACAGTAGATACCGGCGAACATTTGGTCCGTGTGTACAAGTCCTTGTCCAACAGAAGCCGATCTCACGACTAGCTTCTGTCAAACGAGTATCCTGGAAAACCAGCAGCTGATCAGAATCCAATCAGCGCTCTTATGCAGGCCATACATGGGTCGAATTCCAAATAATTTTTTGGCCGAAAATCGAAAACATAGTTCGCTTGGTAATCTGATGGTGCCATCAATAATTTCAAAAATCGAATGACCAAGTCATAAAGTTCACCCCATATAACAGGCGAAACTTCTATTCCTTCCAGGTCATGGCTCATGCGCATATTCTTTTTGGAAAAACGATCATACGATTTGATTGAGTCAAAAATCGGTTGTTTTTCATGAATTTTCCAACATGCCGAAAAGGGGAGGAACCACGAACATCGGCCCGTGCCATTGACACACTAACTGAGCGAAAATCAGCCGATTATTCTTGGGTCGAAATTCCAATGATTTTTCGTCCGAAAATCAGAGATATGTATGGTCAGCATTAGACAATGGTTCTGAGAGCCAAGCGATGTCAGGGTCCCCCTCTTCGAACACAATAGCACAGCGGGGAGATTGCTGTACTTACATCAAATGTTAGAGACCTTCTTGCAAGCTTCTCAGTTTTTGTTTCTATTCAGCTTGCTGCTGAAAAAACTTACCGTGTGTACCAGGCTTAAGTTTACTTCCAGTCAGCCAGCGGCCTGAACGAAAAAAAAAAACAAAAAACCACAACAAGGTGGATCAAGGAATCCCCCTCTTAGAGACACTGTATTCTGGCAGAGCACCCACTGCTCTCAGAACATATTTATAGGTGGCTGCAACCACTGATAGAAAAAAAAAAAAAAAAAATCCAGTAGGTCCGTTTGACCAAAATTCATCACAAAATCAACTTCTTTTAAACAGGGACAGACATGCGCTGATCAAAATATGATCGGTTCAGCGGGAACCGGCCTTCGATCAGTGTGTAGCTGTACCCATTAAACAGAAAACCCATCACACAGTGACCTACAAAGCTTGCAAGGATTGATGCCAAACTTTCGGTGGGTTTATTTGGACCAATGTATGGTCAATTTAAGCTTTAAAAAAAAAAAATGAGATTTTTTAAAACAAAGCTGAAGTATCATTTGCTCTCCACTCTAGCACACCCTGAACTTCCCAGTGTCTAAGACTTTCAAGAGAAAAAAGCAACTGAGTAGTGCCAGAAATACCATGCATCCAAATTCCAACTAAGAAAACCATTTACAGATCTGTTCCTAATAAAACAGTGCAGCTGATTCCAGTTGTTTTATGTCAAAAGCTACATGCTTCAACACTTCCCATTCAGCTCTCTACAGACAAATGGGCAAGAAGTAATCGAGTGCTGGGGCTAGATACCATCCTGCACTGCTTTATGTTTATTTTTGGTTTTAGGAAATCAGTTGAGCAGTGAACACCAACACCTAACAGCAACAGTCTGCCCCCAATATTATCCAGCCAAGGGTGGTCCTCGCCTCATCTGACCCACTGACTATTCCATATGGGTCAGCTGAGGTTATCCTTTCCACAACAGCCAGATGCTGCCTTTCAGCAGATTTAATGTCATTTATTTGGGTTTTACATACTGGCAAACAATGCTAAAGACAAAAGCAACAAAACAGATTGGATTACTGTCTGTTTACAACTGACTTTTAAGAACTAAAAATATGCATTTCTTGAGTTTCTGAGCCAATCTGGTAACACATTTCAAGCAGTAAATGCCAAAAGAAAAACGGAAATATTTTTTTTTTTTTTTTTTTTAAGTGAAAATCATGGAGGTAATGAATGACATGGCTCACTTTGGTATGGCCAGCAGAGACAAAATGGACCTATCCTCTAAAGCAGGAGACGAAGATGTGTTTTGATTATTATACACAAACACACTATATTTCTAAAAGTATTGTGACGCCGGCTTTTACACGCACATGAACTTTAATGGCATCCCAGTCTTAGTCTGTAGGGTTCAATATTGAGTTGGCCCCACCCTTTGCAGCTATAGCAGCTTCAACTCTTCTGGGGAAGGCTGCTGTCCACAAGGCTTAGGAGTCTGACCATTTGTGAGGTCAGACACTGATGTCGGACTAGAAGGCCTGGCTCGCAGTCTCCCCTCGAATTCATCCCAAAGGTGTTCTATCGGGTTAAGGTCAGGACTCTGTGCAGGCCAGTCAAGTTCCTCCACCCCAAACTCTCTCATCCATGTCTTTATGGACTTTACTTTATGCACTGGTGCGCAGTCATGTTGGAACAGGAAGGGGCCATCCCCAAAGTGTTCCCAAAACGTTAGGAGCATGAAATTGTACAAAATGTCTTGGTATGCCGAAGCCTTAAGAGTTCCCTTCACTGGAACTAAGGGACCCTGCAAAAAACAACCTCACACCATAATCCACTCTCCACCAAACTTTACACTTGACACAATGCAGTCAGGCAAGTACCGTTCTCCTGGCAACCGCCAAACCCAGACATGTCCATCGGATTGCCAGACAGAGAAGCATGACTGATCACTCCAGAGAACACATCTCCATTGCTCTAGAGCCCAGTGGCGGCATGCTTTACAGCACGGCATCCAAAGCTTTGCATTGCACTTGGTGATATAAGGCTTGGATGCAACTGCTCAGCCATGAAATCCATTCCATGAAGCTCTCTACACATGGTTGTGTTAATATGAAGGGAACACCATGTTTGGAGGTCTTTAGCTATTGACACTGCAAACAGTTAGTGACTTCTGCGCACTGTGCGCTTCAGCATGCGCTAACCCCACTCTACCACTTTGTGGTGGAGTTGCTGTTGTTCCCAGTTGCTTCCACTTTGTTATAATACCACTAACAGTTGACCATGCAATATTTAGTAGCAAGGAAATGTCACGGATGGACAGGTGGCAATCTATCACGGTTGAATTCACTGATCTCCTGAAAGCGACCCATTTGTTCACAAATGTTTGTAGAAGCAGTCTGCATGCCTAGGTACTTGATTTTACACACCTGTGGCCATGGAGGAGATTGGAACACCTGAATCCAATGATTTGGAGGACTATATAGTGTGTATTATATATATATATATATATATATATATATATACACACACATACACACACACATACATACCACATATATACATATACATATATTACACACACACATACACAATGTTTTGAAATTAAATTTTAACTTTTAGTTGATATAGTTGCCACTGCAACATAAGGTGACAACTGGATTTTTTTTGGGCCCACTAGAAACCTGAATTTGCCCAGCTCTGTTCCTATGAACCCTTCAGGTACTGTTACATATAGGCAATTTAGCTTGTAAATCTCAGCAGTACATACAGAGTCTACAAAAATTCTGCCCCCCAAAATACTAGTTTTCCCCACATTGGGAGCGGCTATATTTCCTCTTGCTAGGCCTAACCTACAATAAAGCAAACTTGATCACTCTACCTCCTCCTGCTTATTCTTTGGACTTTTTGGAATCACCATGTCACTAAGCACCATCCTGAGCTAGGTCCATTATTTTATGTGCATAAATCCCACACATGGCAAAACAGATCCCCCCCTATTGCCTGATTTTCATCTTTTAGTTGCATATGCCAGCTCAATATGAAGCAGCCTCTCTCAATGTTTTTAACACGGACAAACCCTAAATACCTTTCTGGTCTCAGGAAGTTCCTGCTAATAATTACTATATTTACAGCTCATAGTACATTAGTGTGATGGCCAAAATTACGAAGGCTCCTAACATTTAGGGTCAATAGGAAGAATCCCCCTTACACATATATAAAAAGATCATTTATGGTCAGTGGTTACTTAGCTGAGAGGCAGAAATTGCTAATTTTTCAAGAAACACCTAGCAACCTTTGGAAGAACTGTAGTTCTGAAAGGCTGATATAAAAAGAGTGATTTGGGGTAAAAACACCAAAAAACTCGGAAATCATTGTGTGACTTTTGAATCAAACAATATACGGAGACAGTTTTGCATGTATTTTCCTAGATTCATTCTTTAACAGGTTGGTCACTGTTCCATCTCGGGTCTGGAAAAAGGTTTACATTAATGGCATATGCCTAAAGAATAAGCTTTCCTCTTAGCACTCAGTGAACATTTTCTGCCCTGAATTCAGTAATAAGGGCATCTGCTCCATGAAAAGTTCCTACTCAGGAAATTTAAATTAGGTTCAGCTTGTCCTTAAAGAAAAAGAATGAAAGAAGCTGATACAGTGCATACATTACTGGAGCCCAGACGACAGGTTTCAAGGGAACAGCTCTAAGATAATGAAATGGAAAAGATTGTATCTAAGAATTGATTCTAAGTTGCTAACCACAATCTTTCCATTATCCAACGTCTGAAAACCTTTTGTCTCATCGCTCAACGAATGTGAATGAGCCTAATGTTCAGGAGCCAAAGCTCTACTGCCTAGGATGACCCACGTTTCTCACGGCTAACTTCCTTGGCTTAAACCATACACACCGTTTTCCTCCATGCAAACCATAATTTGCTAAAGCTCCATGTACACAGGGTCTCCAAGCAGTTCATTAGTCAAATATTAACAAAAAAAGGCCTAAAAGGTCAGTCATTTGCATTGAATGCAATGTTGGACATACTGCACAAACAGGATGTTGTGTCTGAACACGGAGACTGGATGGATCATTGGATATTAAATAGCATTAACAAGAATCAGCTAAAATGTTCTATTTCCACCAACTTTTTTTTTCCTGTAACCTGCTGGCCATTATCAGACTATACCACAATAATATGCAATTACCATATTAGATACATGGTGGCTCAATGGTTGGCACCTCTGTCTTGCAGCCCCTGGGGTTCTTGGTTGAAATACAAGCCATGGCACCACCTACATTGTGTTTGTGTGCTTTCCCAGTGCTTATGTGGGTTACGTTTGGGTACTCCAGTTTCTTAATACATGTAAAAGACATGCTGGTAGGTTAAATGGCTCCTGTCAAAGTTGGCCCTAGTAAGTGTACAGGGTGTCCCTAACGTTTGGACACATTAGAAATGTGTATGTGTGTGTCAGTCGATGTGTATCAATATACAAGCTCACCAGACTTTAACCCCCTTGACTTACTTTTTTTTTTGGGGGGGTGAGATATGCTAAAAGGAGAAGGTGCACTTAATATGCATGCACTACTTTAGAAATTGGTGCGGCTCCAACCAAGTCGGAACCACACCGATATGACTGCTCTAATAGCAGACAATAGGGTGCGACTTGGCCTACGATTCGCAAGTCGCCTGGCATGCAAAATCGCACCTGATGTGATCCCCCCGAATGGGTCACTCTCAGGAGCTCAGTGAATTCAAGTGGTACCGTGAT